GCAGCGCATGGCCCTGCACGGGGGCACCAGAGGAGGAGGTCAATCATGAGCGAGCTCATCCCCTTGATCCCCTCTCCTCATCCCCTTGATCCCCTCTCCTCATCCCCTCGATCTCCCGGTGTTTTTGATCCCCCCCCCAGCGTAGGGCCCCCCTTATCCCCCTCATTCCCTGAACTTCCTGGTCCCCCGTGACCCCCTTCACCCCCCCCCCCTCTCAACCACTATCTCTGATCATATCCCATAACTCTCACCTTATCCTTTAACCCATACCATCCTTCCAATCCCCTCGCCCGCTTATATTATCCTTAAACCACTCAGCAATATCCCATAACACTCCCAGTACCCCGACCCCCTTTTACCGTATCCATAGACCTGTACACACCAAAACCATCTCCCCACTTTTATTCCCTAACCCTCTTTACATTATAACCCCCGAAACCTTATACTGTAATCCGAAACAACTCAACCCCCCCTCATCCCTTAACCTCGGGGGAGCAGGGGGAGCAGGGGGATCAGGAAATCAGGATTCTGTCGAAGAGGATCAGGGGGTACTGCGGGGATTGAGGGGCACCCCAGGCCAAAGGGGATACGCGGAACACACCACAAGTAAGCGAGCGATTCCGGGGATCAGGATGTACACTCCCCTGAGGGGATCAGACGGATGTGGATGAAACAGGGGTCCCACCTAACCCCGGCGGATCAAGGGGATAAGAGCAGACCCGGAGGCAACTGTGGTTACGACGACAGCAGCTTTGTTAACACTGCGACGGCCATTCATTTCAAATGGCATTACAATGTGATCAGCAGATATAAAGGGGACACGGTGTGGGGATAACAGAGACTCGAGGAGATAAAGGGGATACATAAGATAACGGGAGATGTGGGGAGTTGGGGGAGATAACTGGGGTGATGAAACCACGGGGATAAGAGGGATGAGTGGCCAGGGGATTAAGGAGGAGGGTTAGTGGAAGAGGAGATGAATGGGGATCTGGGGGATGAGAGAGATGAGGGGATGAGAGGGTGAAGGGATTATGAGATTGGGTGATAAAGGGGGTCACGGGGGACCGGGAAGTGAAGGGAAAGAGGGAGGTAAGGGGGACCTATGCCGGGGGGGATCAGAAACACGAGGGGATGAGGAAGATCAAGGGGTTTGAGGGAGATCAAGGGGATGAGGAGAGGGGATCAAGGGGGTGAGGAGAGGGAGATCAAGGGGGTGAGGAGAGGGGATCAAGGGGGTGAGGAGAGGGAGATCAAGGGGGTGAGGAGAGGGGGATCAAGGGGGTGAGGAGAGGGAGATCAAGGGGGTGAGGAGAGGGGGATCAAGGGGGTGAGGAGAGGGGATCAAGGGGGTGAGGAGAGGGAGATCAAGGGGATGAGGAGAGGGGATCAAGGGGGTGAGGAGAGGGGATCAAGGGGATGAGGAGAGGGGATCAAGGGGGTGAGGAGGGAGATTAAGGGGGTGAGGAGAGGGGGATCAAGGGGGTGAGGAGAGGGAGATCAAGGGGGTGAGGAGAGGGGGATCAAGGGGGTGAGGAGAGGGAGATCAAGGGGGTGAGGAGAGGGGGATCAAGGGGGTGAGGAGAAGGGATAAAGGGGGTGAGGAGAGGGAGATCAAGCGGATGAGGAGAGGGGGTCAAGGGGGGGAGGGGGTCAAGGGGGGGAGGGGATCAAGGGGATGAGGAGAGGGGATCAAGGAGGTGAGGAGAGGGAGATCAAGGGGGTGAGGAGAGGGGGATCAAGGGGGTGAGGAGAGGGAGATCAAGGTGGTAAGGAGAGGGAGATCAAGGGGGTGAGGAGAGGGGGATCAAGGGGGTGAGGAGAGGGGATCAAGGGGGTGAGGAGAGGGAGATCAAGGGGATGAGGAGAGGGGATCAAGGGGGTGAGGAGAGGGGATCAAGGGGATGAGAGGGGATCAAGGGGGTGAGGAGAGGGGATCAAGGGGATGAGGAGAGGGGATCAAGGGCGTGAGGAGAGGAGATCAAGGGGGTGAAGAGGGGATCAAGGGGGTGAGGAGAGGAGATCAAGGGGGTGAGGAGAGGGGGTCAAGGGGGTGAGGAGAGGGAGATCAAGCGGGTGAGGAGAGGGGATCAAGGGGGTGAGGAGAGGAGATCAAGGGGGTGAGGAGAGGGGGTCAAGGGGGTGAGGAGAGGGGATCAAGGGGATGAGGGCCCCACCTCTGGGCAGGCCTCGGGCCCCGAGCAACGGCGCCATGGTGACGGGCACGTGACCCGGAAGCGAGTGGTAGAGCGCGCGTTTGTAATTCCCATTAAGCATTGGCGCGTGGCCACGTGACCGCCGTGGTCAATGGCGGCGCTCGTATCCTTAAGCGTGCTACTAAATGCAATCACGCTCTCCACAATGACAATTGATAAATGCCAGCGATTGCTTTCATTCAATATCTGAAGTGGAATTGTTATTGATTTGTTCATTGTCCTTTTGAATTTAAGTCGCTAAGTGCTATTTAGTGGCTGTATGAATTTAAATCGTTAAATTGTTCTCATGTTCGGGAAGTCACGTGACGTGCTTATTGCGTCATTGCATTACAGCGTGCAAAATTGTATTGCAGACGTCATCGTTTTACGTCGATGTTTTGCATGACGTCATCGTATTGCAAGACGCCATTGTAATACATGACGCATTGTATCGCACGACGTAAGTGTATACCACGTCATCATATTGCACGACGCTACTGTATTTCATGACGTCATTATATTGCACGAGGCAACTGATTTTCACGAACTCATCGTATTGCACGACGCCACTATTTAATGACGTCATTGTCTTAATAGTATTTCGTGACGGCACTGTTTTGCATGACGTCATCGTCTCATAACGCGGCTGATGACCTCAGTCTGGCTGCCGCCGTTATACTTTGAATCTTAGAGCGCCAGCGGACAATGGACGGCTCCTTGGCGTCACACCGGTGCGCGGCATTTAAACAACAACAACAACGAAAAAAACACGCATTTTTTGCAATAACGATTTAACTTTTCCCGCGATTCGCCAAACCCCCGGTGAGCAAACCTTGGTGGGGTGCCGTCATCACCATCATCATCACCATCATCATCACGACACGTGTAGTTGTAGCTACTACTACATATGTAGTAACTACTACACGTGTAGCAGCTACTACATATACTACATATGTAGTAGTAGCTACGGGCCCCGCACTTTCAAGGGCCCCGCGCTAAATGCTTTCAAGCTGTCAATTCCGGTTCAGTGATTCTGCACTTGCTCTATTACTATAGTACTATACCGCCTTCAACTTTTATGAACGATTGGGTGTTTTAAGGTTAGCGATTTGTCGTATTTGGCCGTATCTAAAATGAAAAAATACAACTTACTATGCAAGTAAAAACTTTGTGTTTTAATATTCATGTGTTTTTAATGTTAAAGTTAGGGCCCCTTTATAACAGGCCCCCGCACTAGCCGAATCCGGCACTGCCATTAAACTCGGCGAGCAAAACGACTGCGACACGTGGGGGTCCACCACCGCCGCCACCACCACCACCGCCACGCGTTCGAACCACGAAAGCAGCCGGCCGAATCTTAAAGTGCAAACTTTGGGACTCACTCAAGCCGGGGCTACAGCGACATCGATTGCTTTAACGGAGGACGCGGTGCGTCGTGAACGCTGCACCCGTGTTACCGACCGTCACAATACGTCCGAATGCATTGTCACCAGCCCCCAACACACACATATCAGTTAACAGCATCCAACTCTCATCAGCTCAATTGTATTTCCTGAACGAAGTTATCCAGCAGCGTTTGTCTTGAGCCGAATCCCGAGCCCGTTTTGACCGTCTGGGTCTCTTCAGCAGTCCAGGTTTTTTGCTGGACCGTTATCCATAAGAGGGTTTTTTTTGGGTTAGATCGCTCACCACCGTACAGCCAATTAGTAAGGTTTGTCTCGTAAACAAAACATGTCAATTCGTTGCTCGTGCAGCACACCGGTGTGTTGGGAGAGTAAAGCCTCAACATTTACCATGTTATATTGGTCGTAAAAGCCAACGCGTTAAACTGGACTCACGTTACTGGGTGACAAGATGGTATTGTCTCGGCTAAGAGTGCTCCATATGTTGAACTTCTTTCGCACCGTACGTAGCCAAACGTGCTGATAATCGCAGGTGACTCACGTTTGTGGGGGGGGGGTGGAGATGGTAGGGTAGGATGGCAGGCTGTGGGGTCATATGGGGGTTTTGGTTACCATAAATGCAAATCCCATACAAATGGCCTTTTTTTCTGTGGGAAGTAATTGCGAATGATCATTCCCAAAACGAGACAGTACTTTACTTTTTACATTTTTTTTATTTTATTTATTCAGGAAAGCAGCACCGACATATGGGTCGTGCATTGGATGTTTAGCCAATTTTATTTCTTACATCGCGTGGAAAGCCAGTAGACATATAACAAAAACCCCCACCACGCATTATGCAGTAGCTCTCCTTGAAGAGTTGCTCCACTTTTACATCTAAATTGAAAACTCATTTCTTTAGAAATGGGTTGTTGGTTTGTCCTTCCCCCGCACATCCGATTAGCACGGTTGGCTACGTACGGTGCGAAAGAAGTTCAACATGCATGTAATACCTAAACGTATGAACTTCTTTCGCGCCGTACGTATCCAACCGTGCTAATAATAGATGGTGGTTGACCGAAGGAGCAAACCTTGAAAGAATGCCGTCAGCTCCTGCGGGATCTGGCAGATGCAAGGAAAGCATGGCGATGTGTGGTGGCATCAATGCCATTGACCGTGACCTCTTGACCTCGACTGACACCTCATCAGGCGCAAGCTCAAGGTCCTCTCAGATGAGAGGCCGGTACAGCTGTTAGGGGAGACACCAGAGCAGTGATAGTACCACGAGACCTCGCCAAAGGGGACACTTGGTGCTGCCCCGAGAGCCCAAGCCAGTTAGCCCTAACACAAACCCAGCCTCGAATGCAAATTCCCTTATGGCTGGCTGTTGATGGAAAATGTCACAAAACACACATGGACACTCACGTCGGTGATACAGATCCAACAGATCTTTATTTGACCTTTCATTAACTGGAGTGTGACCATCACGTAAATGGCCAAGGCATACAGATTTTAAAAATACAACACAACTCATTAAACAATAGATGTAGGTTCCATGAGACCAATGTCCGTCAGATTGTCCCCGTTTATAAATCTACGTTAAATAGTTTACGTTGTGGTCTCAATTATTGTAGCTGGTTGCATGAAACGACTAAGGTGAACATTTCCTCGACTTCACGACGACGGAGGAAAACTCGCTTAAATCGCTAAAAGTTCAAATTATCTGGAATGCTCCTGTGATATTACATCTCAGAAGCTAGGCGAAGTTAGTATTTCAACTTTGTAACGCGCTGCACAGCATTCGCTCGCTCTCGTGGAGAAAACCACTCGGAGGTGCGGGAAACCGCACATGGGAAAGGCAGCGAGACATTGACCTGGCACCAAGTCCCTCTCCAAGCTCTGCGGTCCTCTATAAATTAAGGTGTTATTGGCCAATAACGGAGTGATTGGGAGATCTCGATGGAGCAGGCGGAATCCACACTATTACTTTGCTGCCTTCTCGCAAGCCAGGATATTTTGCACCTCAAAAACACCCATAGGAAGGGTTGTTTCACATGTGTGATCCACTATCCCCCACGACTTCCACAGTGTTGGATTCCAGGTGTACACAGCCACCACCACTTGGCTTAAGACGAGCAAGTGCTGGGATGGGAGACTGCCTGGCAATACTTTACAGAGTGATGTAGACTTGGCCTGCGAAAAAGCCAGCAGATGCATTAGAGCAATCAGATTCTGTGATCTATTTGCGCGGACCTTTGAGGGTTAACGCCTTGCATGTGGTGCGTTTTCTCCGGATTTCTCCAACATAAAGCCAAAACACGGATGGAATTGGCGAAACAACAAATCAATGTAGCAGGTCCCTCCTGAAAAAAAAAGCCTTTGGACTCGGCAAGGCTTTCTCAAAGGTAAATAAAATTGTTATTAAAATACGTCATGCAACTGACCACAGGTCTCAACCCCACTCGCTTTTCTGCGATAACACTGACTCCATTTAAAATAACAATGAGACAATGCGTCATTGTCCACACAGTATTGCTCTTAGATAATCATCGGTTGCTAAAATAAAGTTTTAAACTAACCGTTCGAACGTGTGACCCCCCCCCAACCCACAATTCGAGGACGTCTTTGAGCATGCAGTTGTACAGCCCCTAATCACTGCGCTGCTGCTGCTGGGTGATGAAAGGGCATTTTTTACTCGGGGAAAAACTTCTGATCTGATCCCTGCTCATCTTCGAAGATCTGACGAGAATGGCCATGTTTTTCGGATGATTTGGTCATAGGTTTGAAGATCTGTAACCATATTCCCTGCAGTCACGAAAGCTTTAAATCAAAAGATCTGTAAACACTTTTTTTTCTAACTTTCATTCTGTATTCTAACACAACCCAAAACAATACTGACGCCAACTGGCCTAGACTAAGAGGATCTCAGATCAATGGGCTTCGCATATGCAGACAGCAGAGTGTTTCCAAGCTGCAAAGGTTATAACTGCCAATCAATCATATTTCATATATTACAAACAGCTTTGCTGATGCATAACAAAATTCGAAGTGCGGCATTAATATTCATGCAATTTATGGAAGTGTTTTTATTGGCTGGCCATGGTCACCAGTTCAACTCTTTCACGTATGTGTTTTGTCAACTCCAGTCCTTGCTAAAGGTTGCCACCTGTCCTGATTTTCCCATAAGTCTGCTTGCCCGGGTAGCCGTTTGCAAGTCTTCCCGGGACATCAATGAAACGTCCCGGCATGCAATAATACACCACTCAAGACTACACCTGGTATGGAGATATTACACTTTTTTTCCATGATATATCCCAGGTTTTATTATACGATGATCCTCGTAACCGCCCCCTCAAACCCCACCCATTTTACGGTGTTTCATGTGCGGCGCACACGAATACAAATTAATATGCACGTGGTAAAAAAGAAATATGGCTGTCGGTTCACATGGTGGACAGCAGAGGGCAGTAGTAACGGAATCCATTGTACTTTGCTCGAGGTCCGTTTCCCCCTCCGAGCGACGTGAGTTATCGTCAAATAATTTCGCGAGAGCCCCAACGATGCGAGGAGTGGGGCCCTTATCCAGGAGTGGGGCCCTTATCCAGGAGTGGATTGACGACACAAAGGGCTGCAATGAAAGGATCACGGAACGGCAACTGGACACCGATGGGCATCCGTGAGGACTGGAGTTGAGTAACAATGGATCTTGTGAACCAGATGGGACCAATTTCATGGGCATGCAGTTGTTTTCTTCTTCTTACAAATTGGAAAATGACACCACACATTACTAAATTGGGAACATACATTGCAAATCGTTGCAAAAAGACAGACTCAGGCCACTCTTTGAAAAAGAGACTTCATCCTGGTCTCTCAATATTCTTACTCGGTTCAACAATACAAAACTTTGGGACGCTTGTTCGGCCCATCCATCATTGTAATGCGAATCAACGACGTATTCTCAAATTCTCGCCCTTTCACAACCGACTGTGAAAGGACGTGAATCGATATGCTGGCTCAACTCGCCACACGGTGGGGGGGGGGGGGGCATGGGTAATGGACAAAAGGCGATCAAGCAGAGCACACACCACCTTCCCTCCACCCCCTTCAAACACAGCACTTGCACCACCGGGCCAACTTTCCACACAGAAACCGTTACACGCGTTCATGAAGCCCGGTTGGATGAGAACAGTCGGATACATTTGAAAAAAAACAAAAACGGGAAGTTTATATTTAACTTGTTTTTCTTTCAGCCGATTTGCTTTAAACGCACACAACATGAAACGTCACGGAGAAGGCGGGCTTCTCCCCTATCGATTCACCGTTGTTGACATGGCTCCGGCCTCGGGAGGACGAGTTCACACGCGTGGAGTTTTTTGCACGCACAACGTCTAACCATTACAAGCCAACTCTCTCGGTTCGCTGCGATCACGGGTGGGTAGAGGCAGGTGTTGTTGGTGGCCTGGATAAAATGAAAACACGGGTAAAGCAAAGCGTGTCACCCAAGGCGAAAATCTACTTGCGTAGAACGCGGGTGAACACGCGAGAATGCGTTGCCCCACGTTTGTATTGCTTCTTAAAATCGGTTTACCCGCCGACGTGATTGGTGGTCACATGCGCAATCAACCGCCTGACCCCCAACGGGTGAAGAGCAGCCGACAATTAATCCAGCGCGCGATTAAAGATACTTTTATTCACTTGTTTGCAAGAACGGGGTTATCCGCGCCGCCGGATAAACTGCCCGAGGACAACCGCGAGTTGACTACTGTGTGCGCAGGGCGGCGGACGATCGCTCCAAAAGCGGCTCCACACTCGATAGCAATCAGTTACGCAGCCAAATCGCTGTCCGAATTGCGCAACTAACAAAACGCCCGCGGGTGCTTCGTCGAAAGCCGAGCGAGTAGTTGCACGACGTCTCAAGTAAACGGCGTGTTCAGGATGGTACCGAACAATGTCGGTCCAGAAATCTGCAGCGCGACGGAACGCACCGCTACAAATCGCCGAGCAGACCGTCGCTTGGAAGTCCACGTCCGTCGTGTCTGCTGCAAGCAGCAGCCAGTCGCTCAAATTTTCCACAAATGGTTGCAGCGACGTCCACGCGTAAAGCGATCGCTCCGGTTTCAGACGCTTGCCGTGGGCGCCAAACGGCAGGGGCCAAGTCGGATGCGGCCGGGCTCGCAAACTCGGCGAGCGAGACGCTGCGAACGCAACATTCTGTACACGGAGCCCCAACGGTTTCGGCAAAATCGCTCGCTCAATATGAAGCGACGTTTCTTTGCCCTCGTTTTTTTTCACCCCTTTAATTTTTTCAAGAAAAACTTAGGTCGTGCCGATAAAAAAGATATTAAGGGCTTTCACGAGTCACTCTTGAAAACTAAAAAAAATGTAGTTTGTAAAACACGGCACCGATCAGAAAATTCTGTCGGCGGGGAAAATAATGCGTCATCACGCAGCAAGTTCTGGCAGGAAGAGCAGCGTCTTTCCTGGGTAAATTAGGGCGCGGATGAAATAGCAAAGCACGAGTAATCCCCCTGCCCTTCCTGACCCTAACCCCTCCACCCCCCTTCGTCCCTCTCTTAACAGTAACACCTAAAAGTCCTGCATTTAAAAAATCAAAGTCGAACCTGTCGTCTGTCACGCGCCGCCCTCACAGTGCAACCTAATGTGACACGACAAGAACGAAACGCAATCAGTACCATCCCCGGGTGGTACCACGGTGCCGATCGGCGCGACATCCGGCACGACGTCCGACGTTTCGCTCCACGCGCTGGGGAGCTTCTTCGGGAAAACGAACTTTAAGGTGCGTCACAGCGCATGGATAGGAAACGTCGGGACATCACGATGACTAACAACCAGCCCGAGTAACACATTGGAGAATGATACAGCAACAACCGCAACAAAAACATATGCACAAGCAACTTCCGTCCATTCATTTCGTTTCCTGGCAAACTTTTTGGTGGTGCTAATTTTCACAGAGCCGTGAGCGGTGGTGGTGGCGGCGGCGGCAAAGGAGGCTGGTTGGTTTGGTTTTGCCGGGCGGTTGAAACGAGGGCACGTGTCGTTACACCTTCTCCTCGTCGACATAACCATCGTGTAGGGGCGATCCAGGCTGTTGTTGCTGCTGCTGCTGTTGCTGCTGCTGCTGCGTGCCGCCTCCGGAGAAAAACCGGGACGCCTGGCTGAGCAGAGCGCTGAAAACTATGGGGCAGATAATGTTCATAACTGAAATGTCCAAAACATGACACCGCAATGGTGGGACAACGCAAAAGGAGAAATGGAAATGAATGTGTTCGAGGAGAAAGGGAAAGAATAGCAGAAGTGGAGAAACAGTTAATGGAAGGCCGAGGTGGCAAAGAACGACGTGAAGACAAACGTGGAAATGTTTTATGACAGAGAGACAAAGGTGTTAATATCGTCGTCATCATCATGCACTGCAGACGCAAGCGTAAGCGAACCGTTCGCGAAATAGCAATGAACCGCCTGCCAACTATTCCATGGGTGTCTCCGGTTGGGGGAGACTTCCACGTGGCAGTGAGCAACCGAGTTGCTTGCAACTGATCTGCCCAGGTGTGGAAGGGCCGCATGAATGCACAAGGGCCGAAACACCTCGCCACCGTGGCGAGATGTAAACTACTTCCCCTGGTATACAGGAGGTCGTGGGTTCGATCTCCACCGTGATGCCCGTATATTTGGAGTATGCATGTTCTCCCCGTGGTCACGTGGGTTTTTCTCCGAGTCCTCCGGTTCTTCCCTCCCCATTTAGAATCAACGTCACACGTTTCGAGTGTTTGGCTTCTATAAATTTGCACACGATGAGCCACTTTGTTGAGCTGTCATTTGTGACCAGGTCGCTCCTGAAAGGAAAAGCTAAATAGTACAGTGGGGCCTTACCGGGTCACATAAAGCAATTGTTTAGTTTTTTCTTTCACACTCGCAGCTTTGCCCCGAAAAAACAAGCCTACGTGTGCCAGGCAAGGTCGTTTTGTTTTACAAGGGCACCTCTTGCCAAATCCGATACCCGACCTCGCCAGGCATTCAGTGGCCGTGAGAGAGAGAACACAGAAAAATAGAAAAAAGCTGAGAAAATTCAAGTTGCCACGTAGTTGGGACAGATCCTACAAACTATGCAACCTCACAGTCAAAATAGCGCAATCATCATAGCAGTATATATACAGGGTGTTTCAAAAAAATGTAAACACTTCCGAGAATTTGCAACAATACAAGAAATGTGCTGCCTCCGGGCTCTGGAGAACACCTGGTGAAGATTCCAGGCCACGTGTTGACAATGATGGCGAACAAGTGGAGACTGACTTTTTTTAAAGATATTAACATACAGTTGTTATCATGTTACGGTGTATTATCCATTATTTTTCCATTAAAAACGATAGTCCCATGTCAGTGTTAACATTTCTTTGAAGCACCCTGTACATATGTCACGTACAGCCCGACTGTGTATCCTCTGCTGGATGAGGGGCCCGCCCGGCACACCGTGCGGGTCTACGGTGGTTAATGGGCCGTAATTCCATCGTGCTGGTTGAAGGCGGGGGGGGGGGGGGATGCGGGGACGTTGGGAGCATAGACGTGCAGTGTACCAATGCATTTTGCCACACTGCCCTCTGCTGGTCACAACGTAAGGCACGCAGCAGCAGCCAATAGCAAACCTGTTGTGCGACACAGTTGGTGGTCGCCCATCCAAACGCTATCCAGGCTCAAAGCTTGCTTAGCTTCCAATGTCCAAGAGGGCGGGAGATGGGGCGCAGCCAGTAGGTATCTGTGGCGCGGCTGCTGCCGCCACAAACCGGTGTGATACCCATTTTACCGACCCTGCAAGGGCTGTATGTTTGGAGCTCGCATGTCTCTCTCTCTCCCCGTGGTCGCGTGGATTTTTCATTCCACATTTAGACTCGACATGCGTTCGGATTATTTAGCTGCGATGAATTGCTGCACGATGGCAAGCCACTTCATCACTGAGCTATCATTTGTGAAAGCCAGGTCGCTTCTGATAAAGAGCTACATAGCTAAGTGATGCCTTACCTGGTAAATTAAAAGTTTAGTTTCGTTAAGCGACTGGGCGACCCCGACCGGGCCCATTGCCGATATCGGTGACACACACAGAGGGCGGAGGCTGTCTTGTTTAGCCGCGTGCACGCAGCGTGGCAGGGTTCGATAAAGGGAAGGGGCGAATGGTGCAGGGCGGAAACGAGGCGACTTACGCTGAGGATCCTCGCCCCGCTGCCCGTCAGGTTGACCCTCGCCGTCGTCTGCGCGGGAACACGAGGAGGCCGGGGTTAGCAAAGAATTACCGTCGTCATCATCATCATCGTCGTCTTCGTCGTTATAGGTGTGTGGTGAGCGGTGGTGTGTATCGATAGGAGCTATGCACTTTTAAATCTAGAATAAAAATTCATTTCTTCAAAAGTGCTTTTGGTGTTTAGTTTGTTGTCCTTCCCCCCGCCCCTCCGAATAGCGCAGTTGGCTACGTATGGTGCGAAACAAGTTCAACATACTGTACACAGATATGGGGAGCGGTGGAGCAGTGGTTGGTGTGCTACGCTTACGAGCACGGCGACCGGAGTTCGATTCCCGCTCATCATGGCCAATACTGGTGACAAATATCCGAACCGGTCCCGGGCCTTCCTTATGTCGACACAGCCTTAAATGAGTACCTAGTGCAGTATGTAAACATCGCGGCGACTAGGGAGACAAAGGCGGCCAGGCGTGGTGCTGGCCACCGACACCCTCGTGTGCTGTGCCGGCCTTCATAGGTGCTCGCCAACAGCACTTGCCCCCAACAGTCTGTTAAGGCTATACAAGGGTTATTTTTCTTTTTATAAATAGGAGTGCCGGTGGTGGTGAGTAGAGGTGAGGGGGGGGGGTTCTCACCGGGGGCCTTGAAGCACAGCTTTTTCTTCTGGTACGCCACGAAACTGGAGCCGCCCGCTAGGATCGCGGCCGCCAGCGCTCCCAGAATCCCCGCTACCGTCCCGGGAACCGCAGCATCTGCGTCTAATAGACACCCGCCACCCCGTCGCCAACATCACCACCCCATCGTCAACATCACCGCCCCATCGCCACCCCGTGACGAACATCCCCACCCCATCATCATCATCACCATCCCATTATGAACATTGCCACCTCACCACCTACGTCACCACCCCATCAACATTATCTCCATCCCGCCATGAACATCACCACCCCATCACGAACATGAGGTTAAGATGTAAAAACATAAAACTGCGACCTACCCGGTCCGGTTGTAGGAGACGGGATGTTGCCTGGATAGAGTTGATTGAAGGGGAGAGAGAACACAACCATTATTTTACGTTTTTACATTTAAAGAAAATATGAATTTTTTTTATTCAAATGTTATTCCGACTGCACGATTGGCATCATCTCGAGACGATAATTCCACTCAGGGAAGGAGATATCACAGAACTACCTCTGAGATCTCAAGGGACCTCTCTTGCCCTACGGCGCTGCAATTTGGTACACGCCCACACGAGATTGGGCATACGGTTACCGTTCGTGCCCAAGGTCCGCTTCGCAAACGTCGTTAAAAACTGACCATTACAACCAACGCAGTGACACTGCACGGGGTGCGGGCGGTTAATCGGTCGGGGCAGATAAGCGACGGTCGCCGTAGGCGATGTCGTACGTATATGTTGAACTTCTTTGGCACCATACGTAGCCAACCATGCTAATCGGAGGTGCAACGTTGTACTGTACTCCTGCTAACGTTCGCTACGAGTGCCGCGCGTTCTCTGCTCACCTCCGCGGGTACCACTGCCGCCGCTTCCGCCGCCCCCCACTGGCCTCTTCCCCCCCGTGATGTCGAGGAGGTCGTCGTCACTGATCGCTGGCGGTGGCAGTGGTGGGGGACGGGGTAGGGGAGGAAATGAGGGCACAATCACTCGACCGTCGCGACCACCCCATTGATGGAACATTGGATGGCATCGACCCTCCTTCCCACCCACGCAGATCCCTCTGCTAACATCCCAATCCCATCCAGCGTGAACTCCAAGTTCACAACTCGCAGTCTTCAAGACCGTCCACGGACTTCCCCCTATGCCTCCGCTCCCCTCATATCTCACTCTACTCCTACATCTCCCCTCATCTCTCTCCTACCTCTCCTCTTTCATTTCACCCTTTCCCCACTCCACGCACTCTCCTAGCTCTCCCCTCTCCCCCTCCTTCCTCTCTGCATCTCATTTCACCGGACAAAATTATACGAAGGATAATTCAAAACGCATGGAAACTGGGCTATAAAAAAAACGTAGAACATGAATGACCGTGGAAAGCGTTGTCCGTTTTTATTGGCTCTCAAAGTACTCGGTTTTAATTACCCAAGTTGTGCACTACATCCCTTGCCCACAACGAGTGAGGAGCGGCTGATAAATTAAAGCACAGGGCGTGCAAAAAAATAAGTATAAAAACATTTCTGCAGGGGCAGTCAATCAGGAAGCCTGATAATACACCCACAGACAATCCAAGAGTTAACTGTATTTGCAAGAGGAGGAGGGGGGGGGGTCAAACGTAATTTTTACACTCCAAACTCTGCGCCAAGCCGGAGTTTTGGCATCTAAGCCAGCGGCCATCAACGAGCGAGGAGCAGCTAACAATTATACCAGCGTGCTGGTTTAAAGATGGCACTGAACAAGCAAAGTTAATCCGCAAGCCGGATAATCGGACCACGGATACATTTTCTGCAACTTTACCCAAATGAGATCCCCGGTTGGCGATTATAAGATCTCCGAACGGGTAGAGCCAGGCGGCCTTCTTCCCCGGGAGGGAGATTGAGTTTCAGCTGTAAATTGTTATCCAGGCGAGAACTCAAGCGAGATCAGCCAACGTGTCATTCGCAAGAGAGACCGGATTCAACGAAATAACAAAATCAACAATAAACCCAATAAAAGTTGAGCAATGAAGCAAATCGAAAACATAAGAGCTAGAACTGTCACATTACAGGAGAAATAGAAAATAGTGCGCTAACATATATTGCACATGAAGGAACATAAGTTTACTTGTAATGCGAGTTGGCTTGCAGAATTAGCTTTTGAATCGTTTATCGTGAAATTAAGTTCGAGAGATTAAAACGGATTTGTGGCCATTGAGGACAGGGCGGGACAGAGGAAGGGTGTGAAGAGGTGGGGGCAGATGTTTGAGATGCGCAACAACGCGAGAGTGGGTGGTGCACAGGGTCCTTACATCCACCGTTGGTTCCATCAAAATTGTGATCCGTCTTGGGCTTTGCTGGAATCGCTGTCAACAGTACACAAACACAAAGACCCCCCCCCCCGGATAGCCTTTAACAGACATCTGGGCCAAGTACTGTTCACGAGCAGCACCTATTAAGGCCCGCACGGCACACGTGCGGGTGAGTGATCAGCACCACGCCCAACCGCCTGACTCCCCAGTGCCGATGTTTATTACACACCACACCAGGTACTCAATTGAAGCCAAGTCGACCTAAAGGGAGGCCCGGGACCAGTTCATATATTCGCCACTGTTATTGGCCATGAGCGGGAATCGAAATCAGTGCCATCGGGTTCATAACGCAGCGTGCCAACCACTGCACTTCCGCTCCCCACAACACGAGATCACGTTCAAATAAATACAGTTAAGGCCCACTGATCCAAGCAGCACTTTGATTCGAGGGCGACCTACCCATGAAGGCGGTCATGGGTGCACGTTACAAGGGATTACCAAGGATGATGGTTGTGCGATGATGATGGGGTGCTTTCACATTTGCGTATTGTCAGGGGGTGGGGTCTCCTTGCAATGAAGAACATTGATTGATACAGTAATAATATATATTTTTTGACTTGTAAGGCACCGCCACCTCCACACACCGCACAGTATCTGCTCATTCTGGCAAAGAGAGCGAGGATGACTCAAGAGGCACGAGGGGCCATGACAGAGAAACTTGGGAATGACAGTAAACAGGCCAGTAACCCGATGACAAATTCCGCCCCCCCCCCCCCCACCAAGCTCTGCGGTCCTCTATATATGTTAACCACCTCGCCTGTATTTGATCCCGGCCTTGACGCCTGTATATGTGGAGTTTGCAGGTTCTCGCCATCGTGTGGACTTTTCCCTCCACGTCTAGAAACATCCGTTGAGAGAATTTGGCTGCTATAAATTTCCACAGAAGCCAACTTCGTGAAGCTATCATTTGCTCTAAGCGTTTGATTGCGGGAGGAAACCGGCGAACACCAATCCACGCGTGTGATGGGGCAACGCGGTCTCCCGCGCAGATGGAACAGGTGGAGTCCAGATTTCTTAGCTGTACAGCCTTTCTCCTGGTGAGCCAGGGTATGGGAGGGAGTTTCACACAACACGTCTGTGATCCACCAACCCTTGCCGCTGCCTCCCACAGTGGTCGATTACACATGTGCATAGCCACTGCGCGACTCGTACGCTCACCTTCGCTCGAGTAAAAGTGGTTCCCATTTGCGCATCCAACAATCGCAAGATGGACAACAGGATGATGGACGAAATAATAACAAACAAGGGGATGTTTGTACGCAGAACTTCTTTCGCACCGTACGTAGCCAACCGTGCTCATTGGCGTTGCGGCGGGGGTGGGGGGATAACTAAACAGAAATATTTCAATTTTTTTATTTTTAAAAACAATAGGATGAAGAACACAAGAGGGTAATGAACAACAATATGATGAACAACAGAATGATGAATAGGACATCAAACAATTGGATGGCAAAAAATAGGACAGCAAACTATACGAAGACAAATGTCACCTATTCGTGGCTTTTGGAAGTATTACCTGGCTTGTTGCTTGGGTCTCCACCCCCAAACAGATCATCGTCGCTGAACTCTGGGTAAGCGGACACAGGGAGAAGGAAAGGTCAAGCAATGTCTAAGCTCACGATCGCACCACCTGCCTTCCCCCAAGTTTGTTGCGTAGAGGAAGGAGGCTTCCCTTTGTCTCGTCGGCAAAAATCCTCAACAAGTGTGCGCGTGTTATTTAGGTTGGCTTACGGTGAAACGGTGGAAAAACAAAAAAAAATTAAACACCCACTCACCGCTACCGCCGCCAGACCTCGATGGAACGTCGTTGTCTTTGGGCTTGGTGGGCGTGTCTGCACGGGGGACACGCGGGCAAAATTTACGGACTCGGCACACAAACCGCAACCGTGCGCACCGCATCGAGGAGTCATCAGTGCACCGACGTCAGGGGGGGAGCGACACCCACCCCCCGTGGCAACGCTTTCAACCGCGGCACCCTTCAACATCTTACCCTAACAGTATCCCTCCCACCCCCCCCCTTCCCCCGACATGGTCCTTGGTCTTCCCTTGGGTCGACGGGGGAATCGTAGAGACCGCTCCAATGGCCCTCCCCTATCCTTGTACAGGCGTGTCCCGCCCAGCACAACCGCTCTCGCCAAAACGATATCGACAAAGCTCGCCCGGGCCACAAGCTCCTCCCAGTCTTTTGGTTTTCATGCGGTAGTTGTTAGAATCAGAATATTCATTTATTTATCTTGCAAAAATCCGATGAGCTATTAAGCTCTTTTTCACAGATGTCCAGTTTTGGGGGGGGGGGGGGGGTCAGAAAGTTACAACACAAAAAAACACGGAAGTGCACAGGATTGAAAAGGTAAGCGGTAAGCAAATCGCTAAAAATAAATAAACTAAACAATTTTTATTTTACCAGATAAAGCTCACTAAGCTATGTAGCTCTTTTTCAGTAGCAAATCGGCCACAAATGATAGCTCAACGAAGTGGCTCATCACGTGGAAATTTATAGCGGCCAAATGTGTCTGTGTGTACACAGCATTGTACCCGATTTCTTTCCCGCATCTCCAAAGTCCAGAAGGTCGAGGTCATCCATTGACTTTGGGGGTGGGGGTTTAGTCGTTGTAGTAGTGGCGGCGGTTGTTGTGGTCTGAGATTTGGTCGTTGGCTTCGGATCTGTCAAACGCGCACACGCACAGACACAAAACGACACAGATCCCCCGGGTAGCCATTTAACAGACCGTTGAGGTAAGTGCTCGTTAAGCGAGTAGCACCCTATGGAGGCCGGCACGGCACACGAGGCGGTGGGCGATCAGCACCACGCCCGGCCGCCTTCGTCTCCCCAGTGCTGATGTTTACACGTTGCACCAAGTACTCGTTTGAGGCCGAGTCGATCTAGGGGAGGTCCAGAACTGGTTCAGATAATTGTGACTGGCGTTGGCCGTGACCAGGTATCGAACTCGGGTCACCGGGTTCGTAGAGCAGCACTGACCACCGTGGTGAAGTACGGTCCATAGCCCGCCCCCACGAGACCTCATCCAGCAGTGGATTTGGCCCAAACGACTGTGCCGAAGTACAAACACCGATATACCATTGCCAGAGGTCTCCTGAAAGTCACTTTGAAGTTATTGTGTCTCACTGGGGAAGATTCAAACTCGGACAGGCCAGACAAGCGGAATCGGCAGAAACAACGGACTCCTTTGTTCGCTGGGTTGGGTGTCTCATGCACACCGCAATTGAGAAGCAACTGGGAGTTGCCACGCATTAAAAATTTAATAGTGCTTTTTTTCCGGCAAACAGGGGCAGTCACTGACAAAGTCCCATGGGACAGCCGACTCGACAACAAACACAAGTGGGAGATGGGAGTGGAGATGGCAGTGGTTCAATGCCGCGCTCGGGACCCGACAACCCCAGTTTAATTCCCGGCAACGGCTAGGATCGGTGGCGAGCGATTTGTGCTTTGTCTAGGACCGCCAAATAATAATTGTTTCGAGTTAAGGGACGACGGCTGTGTGGCAAGGAAGGAAACCAAGCTTCTGCTACTCCTCCTGAGTGATGCAGCCACTGCGTGGAAGTTCCTCAGCAATGGGTGCAGCATTGGGATGTTTTGGACGATTCCAGTTGCACGGTATGTTAGACACGGGAAGAAATGCATGCAGAACAGGCAGATATAATGTACAAACTTCACACAGAAAGGGTGACCCAAGTCGGGAATCGAGCCCGGGCCATTCTTGCTGCGGAGGCATGAGCCTCCGCACTGCGCCACCGCCCTGCCACGCTGGGCAAGTGCTCAACACGGGTGGAGGAATCCGAATATTTCTTAATACTGGAAGAATCCGATGAGCTGTAAAGCTCTTTTTCACAAATTCCGGTAGTCAATTAGCAAGATTCACGAATCAATTATCGAAGTTCACAGTTACCATGGTAGTAGTGATAGAAGAGTGACAGGGAGGCGACTGACCGTCGATAGTGAGTGAGTGAGCGAGCGACTGGGAGTTAACCGGTAAGCACTTGATCATCGATCACCCCGACTGCCAACAAACGAGTAAGTGAACACAACGTGCGTCGTCGTGTGGGGCATTGCCAAGGGAGCGTGTCAGTGAAGCTATCGCCGGTTCAGAGCGGCGCATGCATGAGAAGTGGTTTCCACTTTCTCACACGCACGTCGAAGGGGAGGGGATAGGTGAAGGGGGTAGGTGAAGGAGGCAGGACTGCACCCCACCACACCCCCCCCCCCAACACCCGCCCTCTCCACCTCCAGTGCCCGCAGACGCATGGGCAGGTTTGTCCTGTCGTGCAAAAGCAAACGCCGTGACAACGGTCACTCGTGAAATATTCATTGGGAGCAGCAGCCATTTCCACATGGTCAAAAGAGTCTAGAGCGTGTAGGAAGGGGGTGAGATAATGGGTGTGGAATGAGTTGGGTGTATATGGAGTACACGTGTGTACATGTGTGCGCGAGAGATGTGTACATATGGGTTTGCAAGTATTTTGGGCTGTGTGTGCATAAATGTCAGCTATGTGTACGAGCACGAGATGTGCATGCAATGCATGCGTATCGGCTGTGTATACAATAGAAGGTTTGTGTTTGTACAGAGTGTGTGCATAGGGAGTGTAAGTAAACGTAATCACTCGTTACAGCGCTGTTCTAACGTCGGCTGCAAAACTGGCTCAGACTCGAGCACGGATTCTCATCAGCAGCCACGGGTAACTGGGTCTGCCAGGTCTTCGGACCGGAGGCCCCCGGTGAAACCACACTAGCCGTACCGTTACAAAAAGATTGCATGTGTGTGTACATAGGGTGTGTATACAGTATAGGATACGTGTATATAGGATGTGTGTATTCATGGGTGTGGTTACGAGCTATTTGAAAGTGGAGCATGGTACAGGGGGGGAAAGCGGAAAGGGAAAGTGTTGTGATCTGTAGTGTGGTGGTGGAGTGGATGAGTGGATGAGTGAGTGAGTGGGTGAGTGAGTGGGTGAGTGAGTGGGTGAGTGGATGAGTGAGTGGGTGAGTGGGTGAGTGAGTGAGTGGGTGGGTGGGTGAGTGAGTGAGTGGGTGAGTGAGTGGGTGAGTGGGTGAGTGAGTGAGTGGGTGAGTGAGTGGGTGAGTAAGTGAGTGAGTGGGTGAGTGAGTGGGTGGGTGAGTGGGTGAGTGAGTGGGCGAGTGTGTGGGTGAGTGAGTGGGTGAGTGGGCGAGTGTGTGGGTGGGTGAGTATGTGGGTGAGTGTGTGGGTGGGTGAGTGTGTGGGTGAGTGAGTGGGTGAATGAGTGAGTGAGTGGGCGAGTGTGTGGGTGAGTGAGTGAGTGTGTGGGTGAGTGAGTGAGTGTGTGGATGAGTGAGAGTGGGCGAGTGAGTATGTTGTTGTGATCTGCAGCGTGGTAAATGAGTGGGTCAGTGATCGAATGCATTGTTTTATGTTTTGTATTGTGGAAATAATAATTATTCAGAGTAAAAGATTAAGGCTTTGGCACGGAAAGAAAAACCACACTTCTCCGATAACTCCTTAGCCGTTTTAGTAACATTGCAGCCATTCCATGCCAGCACAGATGTACCAAGCAAGCAGATTAATGGTTAATGGTGTTAGTACTGATAAGAATACAACCGTTAAATATTGGAGGAATTGTGGATTTGACAGTTTTAAGTGATATTATCGATACAATGAGGTAGGAACTGTGTGTGTATGTGGCACCTGCTGGGTCTGCCCCATGACCTACTGCCAGCGGGCGTTCGACACTTCACGTGGCCTCAAGGTGCACATAGCCTGGCACAAGCGTCGTGGTGACGTCACCGCCACTTAGTGGCGAATGGTGGTTGTTGTGTATATGGTGGGGAGCGGTAGTGTAGCGGTTAGCGCGCTACGCTATGATCCTGGCGACCCAGGTTCGATTCCCGCTCACGGCCAACACCAATTGACAATTATCTGAACCAAGTCCCGGGCCTCCCTTAGGTCGACTCAGCCTCAAATGAGTACCTGGTGCGATGTTTAAACATCGCTACTAGGGAGACAAAGGCGTTCGGGCGTGGTGATCGCTAACAGCACTTGCCCCTACAGTCTGTTAAGGCTATACGGGGGATCTTTGTCTTTACATATGTACACAGGGTCTACACGCGCACGTGATTCGTGTTGGGCCCTTGGGGAGGCGATTTTAATCACGGAATGCAGGCTGCGTAAGAGGAGAAATGCCTGCGTTGTGACTCATCATCATCACCGGCTGGGCACAGTGAACCAGCGAGACAACCCCGAGCCCATGCACAGGAAACAGAAGGGACAACCGGCGAATTCACAAAATCCACAGGGCAATGGGACAATAAGCGGCGGGATTAATTTGCCTCCGTCGATGAATCGCTGCCAATTTTCTGCTTTGCGTTATTTCCCAGCAGTAGGAAAATCACTACGTTCGGGTGCAGGTGGCGGCTTAAACCAAAGCAGCGGAAGAAACTAAACCCTCGGATATTGAAGGATGCCAAGTGTAACTTTAAACGCTAATTTTACACACTTCTGACCCCCCCCCCCCCAACCAACACCTTCAGGAGTAATCAACTCATGCGCACGTAAAGTCTTACTGTCAAATCCGCCGCTGGATGAGGGCCTCCCCCCACGCTGTGCGGGTCGTGGGGGTTGTTTGACCGTACTTCACCACTGTGGTAAGTGTTGGGTTTGTGCAGGTGGGCACGCATAGAGATGTGGGGGCATATAAGTACAGTACAGCGGGATTTTGTTGCACTGTCCTCCGATGCACACGATGTGGCCCCACAGCCGCCTGTAACTGTAAACTATTAAAACTATTTTTATATTATTGTACCAGGTAAGGCCCACTGAGCTATATAGCTCTTTTTCAGAAGCTGTGTGCAGTGGTCGCATGTCCAAGCATCATCCCCGGTCAAACTCATGCTTAGCTTGTCAGATCTAGAGATTCGGGCGCATTTCAGGGCGATTTGGTCACAGGTGTTCGTCATGCCACGAGACAAGATTACATTTCCATGCTGAACTATCGGTGCCGCCATGGTGAGATGTTAAATCCCTCGCCTAGTATGCAGGGAGTCGTGGGTTCGATACAAACCCTGACGCCTGCATATTTGGGGTTTGCATGTCCTCCCCATTGCCGCGTGGATTTTTTTCCGAGTCCTCCGGTTTTTCACTCCGCATTTAGAAAAATGCGTTCAGATTACTTGGCTGCTGTTCATCATTTGACCGAGGATGGCCCCAGAAGATTGACGTCATAGAATTGCATCGGAATTTGGGTCGCCGATGAAAAAAAATGTCTTAGCTCATTGGGCCTTTCCAGAAATAAACTGACCACATGAAGGGAATACCGTTCACTTCCCCTGCAAAAACCCTGCGTCATGTGCAAACGAAGCAGCGGGTTTTCTTAATTGTCAGTGCTGGGTTCAGATAAATTGGTTGAAACCCCACATTTAAGCATGCTTTTATTTGTGTAGTTATTGGTAACTGGGCCGAAACCAACGGTATCTATCGCTTTGCAACTCGCAGATGTCAGTGAGGCAGTGGTCGCCCAGTAGTTTGTCTCCACAGGAAACGTTTTTGTCTGCTCATTCTTGCATCACAATACGGGTCTCAAGCTGCAAACCGACGGACGAACTTTTACTCCCCTCCACGCACTCTCCTGACTCTCATTTCTACTCCCCTCCAAGCACTCCACTGCTATGCCATGTAAGGCTTTCCGTCAACGCCCCCGTTTAAAGCCTTCTCTCAGTGGGTGGTGGCTCATCCCTGCCTCTCTGCTGCCGCAACTTTCAGGAACGCCCTTCTCCCGCAACTGGTCAAGCCACAACAGCTCAGGACCTTGGCTCCACTTCGCCCTGCCTATCACACTCCCTATAACTCCCTCTATAAAATAAACACACCCACAGTTTCTGCACTGCATCTTGGAGATGGGGTCACATTTAGACGACGCATAAATATTATAACTTCGTGGTAAACTCTGGATTCACATCAGCCCTACCTGCTAGCATTCAGCTCGCAGGTAAGGGCTCTGGTTAGCAACTCTGAGGATATACCTTGCGAGAGGAAGCTGCTCTTTTATTTTGCAGTACTCGCCCGGGTTAAATAAAAGGAAGCTGGTTTAGTTAGGATACCCTCATGGTGACGGAACGAATGGGCGACGATGGTACGCGGTACGCGTGTGTGCGCGTGTTTTTACACCGGATTACGGGGCTAATTATAAATAGCGGTTATTTATAGACTGGAAGTTTATGCAGGCAATGTCCACCAGTGGAAGACGCGCGAGTGAACGAGTGAGCGAACAGATGGGTGACCGAGTAATCGGGTGACTGGGAGAGGACATAAGTGGGCGAGTGAGAAAATAGGTGAGCGAGCAAGCGAGGGCGAAAGCAAATCAGCAGAGGAAGCTGCTCGGTGGATAAGTGAGTAAGTGGGCGGATGAGCGAGCAGGTCAGCATATAAGTTGAGGATTGAATAGGTACTCTTTGGTTCTATTCGGTAAAGTCACGTAGGTAAAAAATAAACAAAAATCACGACGTTTCGGCCACAACACAAGTGGCCTTCATCAGGTGAAGGGACCAACCTGTCCAGAGGACAGCGTTTGAGTGAAAAAGGTCAAGCGCAGGTCGCCTCCTTTAAGCTGTGAGTGGGTAAACAGAAAACGTCGTGATTTTTGTTTATTTTTTACCTACGTGACTTTACCGAGTAGAACCAAAGAGTATGGATCCTTGCAGTCACGAAAGCTTCAAATCTAGGATTGAATAGGTGTATGAGCGAGAAAGCAAATGAATAAGCTAGTGTTGTGTGGGTGAGTGAGCAAGTCAGTGAACGAGTGAGGAGGTGGGCGGGTATGTGCGTGAACTAGCAAGTGAGGGGGTAAGTGCGACAGTAAGAAAGTAAGTGAGCAAGTACATTAGCGAGCAAATGTACAAGTGGGTGAGTGGAGAAGTACGTGAGCAGGCAAGTCAGTGAAGTGGTGAGCGAGCGGGTGGGTGACTCGGGAGGTCACACTGCATCTTGATGACTTACCATTGTCGTCGTCGTCAAATAAACCGAAGAGGTCATCGTCGCTTAACCCTGTAGAACCAAACAAGACAACAACGATGACGGCAATGATTAAACTCGATCATGGGCCTGATGATGAACCGAATGATGATGCTGCTGCTACTGATGCAAACAAACGACGTTCAGTTAATGCTGCTGACAAATCAAATAATGAAATATATAACAACACGGGAAATCCATTTCTCCACGTAAAATACATAATTTTTTTGGTTCACCAGCCTATGGGACATCTATACCAATGTTTTCTCCAGCGGCATAATTGTTAGGAGCAAAACAAAAAACCCGGACTGGTTTCAACATTCTGGGTCACATCAGCAGAGTCAGGTCTGCTACACCGCTTATTGTCGGTGACGCAGCCTCTTGGCAGCGTGTTTGCTGCTCGTTGCAAAGGCTCACGGTTCAAATCCGGAGGCCGCCCCGATTAAAACTAAACTATTTTTACTTTACTAGTCAAGGCCCACGGAGCTGTATAGCTATTTTTCAGATGCGACCTGGCCACAAATGATAGCTTAACAAAGTGGCTTATCACGTACAAATTATCATGACAAGGAAAAACCGGAGAGCCTGGAGAAAAATCAGCGCCATCACGGGGAGAAAGACATGCAAACTCCAAATATACAGGCGTCGGGGTCGGGGTCGAAACCATGAACTGCAGGGGAGGTAGTTAACATCTTGCCACCGTGTCCCACTGTTTCACAGCTTGGTGTTTTTAGGAAGTTTATTATTACTATTTGGCTGCTATAAATTTCCACATAAGCCACTTTGTTGAGCTATCATTTGTGGCCAGGTCACTTCTGAAAGAGCTACATAGCCCAGTGCGCCCTACCTCCTAAAATAAATATAGTAGTTTAGCTTCAGGATCTGCTCACGAGACCCAGATGGGTCAAAACCGGCCAAAAGTTGGCCCGCTTTAACAAAATGCCGCTGGGAGAGACCGATTGAGCGAATAAGCAGGCACCCTTCCGATGCGAGACGTGGACTGAGCGCACACAGGAGGAGTTGGGGATAACAAATGGGGGCCTGCAGGAAGGAAGGAGAGGGAAAAGTGCATTCCAGCCTCCGTCGTGAGCCACCGTGTGACCACTGACGAAAGAGAAGACGCAGAGAGAATATCCATGGGTCCCAAGGGACAAGAATATTTAATTGGCATGGAGAAACGGACCCTCTGGTCTTCTCGTTATATATAAAAAAAACGGACCGTTCTGATCATTGGAAAACATTTATCGAAGGACCTCAAAATGCACGTCAAAACCATGACATCTCACCAAAGCCAAACGGCAAAGGGTGTTCACGTACCTGGTTTCGGCGTGGGTGCTGCAAGAGAGCAAAGCGACACACGTCAAAAGTCAGACAACAGTCGCAACACACATCTCTCCCGCGTTTCTTTTTTTGCACTTTACAAATTTCGGTTCCCTTTGTCAGCTTTTCTGATCCGCGTCGTAGCAGGCGATGGTGTGCCGATTTTAATTACTCTCTTCTTCAGGCAAGTTGCTCTTGTAACACTAAACTCGATCATAATAAGAATAAAAATCGACACACGCACGATTCTACGCATGTATCGTGAGCGTGACGATCTATCTTTATGGGCGTGGGCCAAACATCTCAATATAGGACCACAAAGCTTGGGCAAATTATTGGCCACCTTCCTCGCTTGTCTGTGGTATCCTGCACCTCTGAATCTATCAAGCACTGTGTATGACAGGTACCGAATGCTGCGCGCACGTTCCAAATTCCAAACTATTTTTTCATTATCAAATTACGCATATTACAACACCCCTGCCATCCGTACACGGTCCGTGCCCTCACATGAACTCGAGACCATTCGTAATCAACCAGGTAGGGTGTTGACTGTTATGTTAGCCGACTCTCTGTGTTGTATTGCATTATATTTCTTAAGTTTACTAGGTTTGTTTCCTCTTTCATTCGTACCTGATGATGATCGCTTGTGTTGCAATCCAAACGTCGCGTGCTATTGTTTAATTTATTTTTTTATTTCTACGTGGACTTTACCGAAAGAACCAAAGAGTAATTCCTGCAGTCACGAAAGCTCCAAATCAAGTTCGAGACCATTCCTCGCCGTACACCTTTGCAAAACATTTTTTTTACAATACTGTAATCGTCTTTCACCGTTGCTGGGGCCGACCGTACTGTTAAATTATACATCACTGTACAGCGTTCGTGGATCACGGCCATGGCATGCAGTAATTTTTTTTTTACATTTTACGGTTTTGTGCTGACACGAGCCATTTCATATGCGAGTCAACGCTCTTTGGGCGAGGCTCCCAGGAGTTGGCGACCGAGGCTGTCACCAAGGTGGAAGATAACCTCAGAGGCAAAAAATGCGGGCTAATGAGTCGACGCAATTAGTAAATCCCAAGATTCATCTCAACGCTCTCCCCTGCATGAGAAAAAGGAGCGGTAGTTTTTAAGAGTCAATCACGGGTTGAGAAGCACCTCAAGTTAGAAATCAGTGGGCCATCTATATAATCTGGTGTTGTTTCATAAGGGTCGGCGCGACTATTGTCAGACGCCAAATTACTCTGAAATAAACACTTGAAAACCCCACACTCGCTCGCTTACACTCTCTCCCAACGTTCCTCAACCACCCCCCACCCCCTCTCCAATCGATCCCCTGGTACCCTCTTCCTACATTATAGCGTTTCCTCCATTACATTCTCACTCTCCCCAACCTCAACAACCACGGGTCTCTCTCTCTCCTCCCCCTCTCATCAGTCTCCCATTCTGGACTGCCACACTTGCCACATTCCCCCTCTCCCGTCCCTCCCTTCCGCGTCCCCCTCTCTCACACTCGGTCCTCTCCACCGTGATGGCACCATGGTTGGCATGGGCCCTGGTGCAAGGAATCAAATAGGATCACCACCTTGTCCAATTCCACCCTATACCCACTCCATAGGTAGGCGGCCTGCGGCCCATTGTGCCAAGGAGTTCTTGGCACTGCCCACATCGACAGCCACACGCCGCTGCCTCCACCCACACCCTGATGACCACCACAACCACGTGACTTTTCTTTTGTGTCGTGCGCGGTGCTTTTAGCGCCACGGCGCGTGGATTTGTAGCGTTTATTTTCATTTGTTTGCTGGCGACTTTGTGTATTTCGTATCGAAATCGCCTCCAGTGCTTTTGCTGCTGGCGGCAATAAAAGTTGTTTTAAAAAGTCATCTCAATCTCTCTCTCTCCCACACGCTCCACTCTCCTTGGCCCCCCAACTCTTCTGTCCCACTGGAAGTTAACTCCCCCGCCACTACTCTCCGCCTTCACCCACCATCCTCTCTTGCACTCTCCCGAAGCACGCTCTCCTCTCTCTCTCACACACACACTCTTCACGCTCTCCTGATACAGTACAACTCTTGCTCTAGTTTATTTTATTTTATTTCTCTCTCACTCAGCGGCCCACCCTCACACTTCTCCCTTGCCGTCTCTCTCTCTGTCTCTCTCCCACACTCTCCAACTCGGCAGACGTGGAATGAAAGAGAGCGCAAGACAACACCACTCCACCTCCCCCCACTGCACTGTGCTGCCCGCCTGCCTGCCTGTGCGTGTGTGTATGGCATCAGTTTACAGTGGCATTAATAGGTTTGCCAAGTGTGTGTGTGTATCCGTGGCCTTCATAGGTGCTCGCTAACAGTACTTGCACCAACAGTCTGTGAAGGCTACACGGGGGATCTTTGTTTGTGTGTGTCCAGTATATTCACGGCATATTCAAATCAGCAGCAGTTGCCATTGCCTATCCACTGCTGGATGAAGACGGCTGGATGCACATTATACAGGCACCGTCTGGTGTACACGCAGGTGGCGTGTTTGTATGTACGTGGAGGTATGTGTATGTTGTGTACTGTGTGTTGTGTATGCGAGGATGATGAGTGAGGTACAGTGTGTGCCTATGTATATTTGTGTTTAGCCAGAAGAGGCCAGGATGAGTCATTGGCAAAGTGTGAACCTGGAGCATCAGTCTGGGGGTGATTCCTGCTGCCTCATCATCATCACCGAGTGATTTTCGAGGGTCATTGTCGAAGTAGCGAATCCAAGCATCCGCCCTCGATTGTTACTACCGATGACAACTACCGGTGACAACTACTGGTAACTACTGCGCGCCGTCTGCTTCAGAGTAGACGTCAGCAGATCCCCGGACGTCTTTCGCAGCAGCAGGAGACTATTATGTGCACATGAACGCGAAAAAAATTCTATTTTACTTAGAAATCAATCATCACCCCCGCCCCCCTTACTGGGAGCCTAATGCCGATTTGCAGGCCAGATACCAAGTCACCGTTTGCCCACACAGACAGCTGGCACTAGGGGTGCCCTTTAAATGTTTCAGATGAGATGCGACCAGTCAGGCGCTCCGAAATGCCCCGGCGTGTATCAGGGCGCCAAATCAAATCATCGGTATGTAGTAAGTGTGTGATTACACAGCAACGAAGATCAAGCCTGGGCCTCCATTTGGTCAACTCGGCCTTAAATCACCAGCAATGGAAGACTGTCGGCTAAACCGGCGTGGTTCTGACAACGCCTCCCTCCTCTTGCGCCACGCCAACCTTAATAGACGCTCGCAAACAGACCTTGCCCCAAAAATGATCCCGGGTACAACAAGGGGGTGTTCTGTCTTGCGTTAAAGTTGAGGCCTGCATGTTTTTGTACGTGCACACACACACATGTGTACGGAATGTGTGTGTGCAGGAATGGGTGGGGGTGTGTGTGTGTGAATGTTTTCGTGTGCGATGGAATTCATAGACTGCTGGTCAAATTGTAGCGAGGAAAAAAAAGTCTTGCCCAACCCGGCACAAAGAATTACGCTGTAGTGTGTTTACACTTTTAGCAAGGCAGTTCACATGCCCCCTAAAATTAGGGTCTGACCCCCCCTACTCCTAGTAGGAATTCTCTGTGGTATTGGCAGCTGACCTATGTGCGTGGTAAAGTGGTTCACGCACCGCGATAAAAACGAAACCAAGGCACCGGAGTTCGATTGGCAGACATTTGAGAACATCGTATCACTGTAAAGCGATGTCTGAACGGGTTCGTCCGTGGCCTCGCCTAGGTCAACTCAGGCTGAAATAAGAACATGGTGCAGTGCGTGGCCGGGCGATAATAACCACGCCCGACCACCTTTGTCTCGCTCACTCCACTGCTGCTGCCCCCGTGTTCTTAACAGTGCACCAAGACACAAGACCCATGGTACAACACAAGAAGCCCACGTACGTGTGGCGTAGTAGGACAACGTGAAGTACGCATCGCAAGAATTGGTGGTAGTGGTGGTGGTTGGGGGGTGGCCATTATGAACGGACCCATGCCAATTTTGCTTCCGATGGGGAGGCAAGGAACGAGCACGAAAATAACGCGGTGGCCTTGTGATCAGACAAAGTCTAAAATGATCTCGGTTCGACCAAATACATCTCTCGGGGTTTTCCCGCGCCACGCGAGGGACAACGCCGACGTCATTACGACTCCCGATTTGATTCCTTTTGTTGAAATGCAACACAAAACTATCGCTGGCAAACTGGAACGACGCGTTCGCGTAATGCGACGGGACGCGTTTCATTCGCTCACATAAAAAAAACAACCTATTGTTGAATTAATTAAAGAGAAAGGACATTAACAACAAAGCTGATGCTGCTGCCACCTCCCCCACCCACCGTACACAATGGAGGGTGCCCCCCCCCCCAAACACGGCACACCACAATGGAGATGCGCTTACCCGACAGGGCGAGAGAGAGCAGCAAGAAGGCAATGGCAGGACGCAATGCGGACCCGGCCATTGCGGACAGCGTGGTCGTGCTTACGACCTTATTCCCTCGGTGGAGAAACCACGATCCAGACGACAGAGAGTTCTGGGATGCGCCCACAAGGAGAGAGGGAGAGAGAGACCGGAGCGCGGTTACGAAGTGTGGGGCGGGGGAGAGGAAGTTCGGAGCGTGGCTTTTTGGAACGGATCTCAGCCACACAGCGGCCACTCCCTGGGCCCTCTCTCTCTCTCTCACCCATTCCTCCCCCTCCGATCTCTCCTCGCCCTGCCCAACCTCTGAGAGCTCTCTCCTCCTTCCCCCCTTCTCTCTCAGATCTCTTCCTTCTCTCTTTTTTAAATGTGTTTTTTTCTCTCTATCCACCTCTCCCACGCGTTATCCTTGCCGATCAGAGGAAACAAAAAGATGCTGGGTGTGGTCGGCACTTTGCTTCGTTCATTATTTTTTTTCAATGCTTTGCTTTATGTGACCCCCCCCCCCTGTTTAAATTAAATATTTTACGAAAGATTTCAAGCTCTACTCCTGCTTCTTGCCACTTCCCTCTCTCTCTACCCCTTCTCTCTCTCTCTACCCCCTCTCTCCCTACTCTCTCTGTGCTCTCCTCTTTACCTCTCCCCTTCAATCTCCCTTCCCTCTCTCTATGTTTTTTTACGATCAGAGGAAACAAGAAGATGCCTCTTCGCTGACAACCGACCTCGCCTTCTCCATCACCCCTCTCTCCCCTTTCAGCTCTTCCACTCTCCTTTTTTTTACGTCTTCTCATTTTTTTTTTGCTGACCAAATGTTAATCTCAGTTTATGATTTTCATTCGCGTCAACATTTCAGCGGCCTTTCGCTTCTGTATTTTAATGTATACTGCAGTGTGAAATATTCACAATGGTAGCCCAATTGCCTCCTAACCCCTACGATATATTACTACAGTACATATAAAATGTTTACAATTTGGAGGGGGTCGGTCTGTTTTGGTAAAGGGGAATTTATTGTTACTTCAATGCTAAATTTTTCTGTTGATATGTAAACTCCTTTGTCAAGGCGCTCTGCTCCTCCCACCTAGCTTAAAAGACGCTGCCAAGCTTAGCAGTGTTCATTGGAGCGCTGTCTTTCCGACAGCTCTGTTTCTTCTCCTGAGGACGGCTGCTTGTGTTGTGGCCGAAATGTCGTGAGAATTGTAATGTTTTATTTTTATTATTTTATTATTTCCCTTCTACGTGGTGACTTTACCGAAAGAACCAAGAATAATTGTCATGCTTCTTTTCGGGAGAGAGTTATGATTAGAGTTAGGCAATGGGGTTTTTTTATTTGTGCTAAGAGTTTAGGTAGCTCAAGAGAGTCCCCATTACAAGAGCCACCACATCCACAGTGAATGAGTACACAAGCCCTCTTTCTCAACTCACCTCCCCTGGCTCGCTCTGCCTGCGCAGTCATTGTTCACAGTATTTGGTGGCCTTAACAAAACAAAGCATTGTACAGTCCGCGTGCAATGTGGTGATCCCATGGGATGCATGCAAAAGACATTCGGATGGAAGTCATGCCTTCCTTTGCTGTTTGTGAACCGCAACCAAAGTGTATGGATTCCTGCAGTCACGAAAGCTTCAAATCAAGATTAAAGCGTATTTGTTTCCAGTCTGCATCCATTCTGCCCTTGCAACAACGATGGGCTTTGTCATCACTTACAGGTGTTGCATTTGAGTCACAATTGGATGAAATTGTCATGATTGGGTGTTGATGAAAGAAGGTTGTTGGTGGAGCATTATACTTACAAATTGGCATTATAACTACACGATCTTAACCCAAAATAAACGTTTTTAGGAGTCAACGGTTTTAGACCAGGCCCAAACACTTATTCTCCATTCACATGTCCAGGCTATAAATAATCACGCGGCAATCTAACGCCCCATACCGGCTAAACTGACGCACTGAACATATTTCAAACAAAGAGATCTGAAGTTCGTACACTTTAATCGAAATACCGGGCTAATGCAGTAGACGGGTTGTATTTTGAAATTATTTCGCACCGTACGTAGCCTTCCGTGATAGTCGCAGATGCGGGGGAAAGATAACAAACTAAGCACAGAGCATCTCTAAAAAAATGATTTTTCAATTTAGAAAAAAAACCTATAGGATGAAGAACAAGAGGACAACTAAAAAAAGGATTATGAACAACAGGATGACGAATATGACGTTAACAGCAAACGATACGATGATGAATGTCACCGATTCATGGCTTTAGGAAGCATCTGGCTTGTTGCTTGGGTTCTGCACTGCCAAACAGAACGTCGTCGCTGTTTTCTGAAGAATATGCCCCGTTATTTCCATAATGACCAGATTTAGGCAATCGTGATATAGTACAAGCAGACACAAGGCGCTCGCTTGTATGGTATGATGATTTTTGTCTTAGGCATTGCTTATACTGTAATGTAAATGGGATGTTCAGTAGGGTTGCCATCTGTCCGAGGTTGGTCATGACAATCCGGGATTTGCCATCTTGTGTTTGGGTGGCAGGAATCTATTTTAATAAAAGATGCGATGGTATTGTGTGGAACGTACAATAGTTACAGTATACTGCACTGTTTTTTAGATATAGGTTGACTGAAACATTTCGTGGGTTTACCTTTGGAAAAGGTGGCAATCCTAATTTCCAGTGTTTAAAAAACAATCACGGAACTCTAAATCCATATCCCGTTGAGACGTGTGTTTGGCTGGATCAGATTTACGTTCGTGGTCATGCGTTGAATTAAACACCCCGAGTGGAATTTTCCACTTAGTTTGTCATTTAAATTCTGCGAGTTTTATGGTTAAACAGTTTTATGCAGCTGGACTGATGCATGCCTGATAGCCATAGCCATGACCACATTTGTCTGGTGTCTGGTTTTCGCTGCCCTTGTGGATTAAACACCCATTGAGGTACTGTACTACTCTGCATCATCTATGCTCCTTTCCTTCCCCAACCCCCATTGCCCAGTGTGGTGAAGTATGCTCAAATCACCCCCTACAGTTCACATTACATGGGGAGCTATGCGCCAGCAGTGAATTAACAAAAGGGGCTGTACATTGGCAAAAAAAAAATAGTTGGTGAGTACATTAACAGTGCTTGTCATTCATATAGATGAGCTCTGCTGGCAAGAACTTTGGAACGAGCTATACAGCTGTTGACACACTTCGAGGCTGGACACTGGGGTCTTCAGATTTCCCAAGACAGAGTTGGTGGTGGTAGTTAGGCATCGGGGCTAGTTAAATTAAATATAGTTGCATAGTTTAAATTGTGAATGGGTTCAATTGGGCACCGAAGGGTGACGCTGTGCTCACAATCGTGTCTCACAGCAAGAATCGCCTGGGTGTGATTGCGTACTCGGGTGAATTTATTGTGTTTAATTGGTATGTTCTATTATTGTTCCGCATGGGTTTCCACCGGGTTCTCCGGTTTACTTCCATAGATTGTAAAGAAATAACCCCAATGTGAGTGGTATTAGTCAAACAGCCCAATGCTGAAGCATTACTCTACATGTTACTCAATTGGGATAACAACCAGTAGCATCACCCCAGGCTAATGCAAAATATGTGCTTGGCAGGACCCTCCTAAAAAAAATGTCTTGAGACTCGGTCAGGCTTTCCTGGGTAAAAAAAGGTATCAATTATGAAAAATAACATAAATTGACGTTGATATATATTAATACACAGGATTGGATGCACATATTAATAAAAATGTGAAGATAAAATGCGACTCGAGCTACATTGAGTTGAGCTTTGTGGCTGACAATTCAGTTTAAATAAACACAATATGCGCTATTGCATAAAATATATATATGAAGTGGGGCTATGACCTGTCATCCTACTGCAGGATGACAGTTCGCGGTGGAAGAATGTATATTTATGGTAAAGAGGACCAAAATACACTTCTTCAAGAAAATAATGCCAATGCCTTTTTTTTCTCCACAATGCACAAAATAATGCCAAGTGATTAATTTATTTAAAACATCAACTGTACAGGGTGGTCCAGATTACTTGTGACCCCCCCTCCCCTCCCATTTAATTCTCTAAAAGTATTTTTTTCGAGTAGGGTTCATTTCAGACATGAATGAATATGCAAGGGGATGTGGGATGTTAGGAGTAAATTCATTGGTGGGGGGGGGTCACAAGACATCTGGACCTCCCCCCCTTGTAACTGTGCAACGTTAACCATGCGACAGCGTCTCGACTGCCACAACTGAATCCACGGCTCCGCCATCTTACGCAGGGGAAGGCTCCCCACTGTGCGTGCCATCATTAAAACACTCGTCGATAACGAAGGGCCGTTGCCCGAAACGTCACCAATTGTATATCTGTTTTAACACGCGGTTGGCTTTCGCGATCAATATTATCCATGATAAGGGGGGGGGGAGGGGGGTGGAACGGGGTGGGTTATATCGCGTAAATATAAATGTCTCGTTAAAACCCGCCACAGCCAATTAGTAAGGTTTGTCATGTAAACAGAACGTACCAAATTGATGAGGCTGCTTGTAATTACTGGCGAAACGTCGAACTTAAATTGTAAATGCGGATTAACTCTCCAGCAGCACACCGTTGTGCTGTAATAAGTAACGATTTGACCACGTTCTGTTTACGTGACAAACCTTAATGGCTGTGTCGGGTGGTGGCGGGTTTAACGACACATTTCTATGCACGCGCTCTAACCCGAAAGAACTTTATTACGAATGTTGTCTTGTCTGTTGGTGTAACTCGTTGACCCGCCCCGACTGAGCGGACATGTGTGGAAAAGAGCTTTATAGCTCATCGGATTCGTCCAGTCTAAACAATTCTGAAAAATTCATTTTTTTTCTCCATGGGAAATATTTTTTAAAAAATAAATAAAGCACTTCAGTGTGCGCATGTGGTAAATCCAGACCGTATACAATGTCCCGAAACACATTTTATTTTTGTTCACGAAATTAGGACACCGCAAGCGATAGCATTCCGCCGCAACCGGACGCGGTTACCCCATTCGCTTGACGCCACCGCGAGTGTTAAAAAAAAACCCAAAATTGCAGCCGTACGAACGAAGAAAAATATTGATTCTGAAAGTTGTGTAAAATCCTTGGTCTGAGTTGAATTAAAACGATGACCTCTCACCACCCTACACAAGATGGCGCGCCGGTGAAGCCCGCGCGACTCAAGCCGCCCCCCACCCACCCCCCGTCCGTTTCCGGGGCAACCAGCCCAAGCAGTAGCGGCAAACAGCGGCGGCGGCCAGAGGCGGGAGGAGCGAAGAGAATCGGCGGTTGGTGGCGAGAGACGACAGCGACGGTCGAGCACGGAAGACTCCACGGCCCTCCCCGCGCTCCCATCAACGGAACCCGGGGGTACACGCAATGGTGAGCGGCGAAAGACGAGGGAGAGAAGTCCCAAACCCCTCCTCGGTGTGGGGACTTGAGCGGCGCGGGGTTAAAGAAGGGAGGGGGGGGTCTCTCCCCTCTCCCACCACCACCATCATCAACCATCACCATCAACCACCACCATGAACCCACCCACCAGCACGCAGGCCCCGGAGTCTCGGGGAAAGAGGGGTTGTGGGAAGTCCGCGATGTCGTTTCTCTAAATGGTGTCCGTCCCCCTCCGATCGAATGTCCCGACACGGGCCCGACTTGCCTCGCTCATCCTGGGCCTCGCTCCTCCAACCCCGGTCGTCCATCGCGGCGTTGCCACAATATCGTTACAATTAAGTTATTGACGGGGGATGGACACTGTTAAGCGACGATTGTATAGCGGGTTTGGGACGATGGCCGAAGGTTTAAGAGTTTGGCAATGGGGCGGCAGCCCAACAAGGCGTTTGGGACGTCAAACCCCGAGCCTGGTCTGGCCTCCCCTCGTCTCCCAATCGTTCAGTCTTGGTGACTTGATTATAATCGCAGCCCGTTGTCAATCCACTGCTCGATTAACCGCCTCGCAGCGCCGTATCGGTCATGGGGATTGATCATGTGGTTTAACCACACAGATGGGTGAAACGGGGGCACGCGAATCGTTTCAAGACGAAGACATTGTCCGTCATCGAGTTTTTTTTCTTGAGGTTGGATCGGGTAAATATAATTGTGTCGTTAAACCCACCACCACCCGACACAGCCAATTAGTGAGGTTTGGCACGTAAACAAAACATGGCAATTAGTTACTTGTTCAGAACACCTGTTTGCTTCTTATCAATTAAAAGAAATCGCGAGCACCGATAGCTGGAACACCGGCCTCGGATCGGGAAGAAAGGCAGTCAGTCGTTAACATGGCGTTAATGATCGCTAGGGTCGCCAGTTAAACCAAGGTGGTCGACTCTAAAGGGGAGACTCGATTCAAGAGAGAATCCAACCCTAATGGGTCGACTTGAATCAAAGGGATGACGAAACAATGACGGCTGCTAAACCAAGGTTGAGTCGACATTCAAAAGGCATGCGACCTGAATAAAGGGAGATATTTCAATGTCTTTCCGCCCAATTGTATCGTGATTGCGCTATTGGTGTCACGTCACGAGACGAAGTATACAATTTCTCTCGCAGAGCAGTGCAACTTTTCGTGTTAGAAAGCGGACACCACAGAGCTACCTCTGAAATCCCTTCAGGTAACCTCTGGCCCACGGAATAGAGTTGCATGACAATCAAACTAATTTAATTCTCAGCGGGAATTTAATAAATGTCATGCGATGTTATTTAGTGTATTCATTGATATTTGGCCTGAGGCCATCAACTCTCTACACTTTAGAACCCAGTTTAATGATGGGCGGCTCTGCTTGAATTTGGACCCGGGTTCTCAGCGGCGCCAGCTCAAACGCTCTGACGGCGAGCCACCCGGTTACCTCTGAATTCATGAGAGTCTTGGAGTAGATGTCCGATCCTGTTCCCCATCTGCTGTCCTCCCAGGCGACTGGGTTTAGGAAACTGGGGGGTGCGGGCGGCGCTCAGCGTAAGAAGAGCGGACCCAAGCCCGAGCTGAGCGAGGAGCAGAAGCAGGAGATCAAGGAGGCTTTCGACCTCTTCGACGCAGATGGCTCGGGCACCATTGACGTCAAGGAGCTCAAGGTTTGGGTGGCTGCCTGTCCGTTACTGCCTGCCAGTCAATGTCTGGATGGCATTCTTCTTCTTTCGTACGGCTGATGTAGATGCAGAGCAGCGACTACAATTTCACATTCAGGTGGTCAAGCCAGATAACCGCGTCAGGAGCAGCGGAGTAGTGTATCGCTGTGGTGTCTCCTTCGTATTTATGTAACGGGCATTGCGTCATTGTTGTTGTATGGTCTGTTCTGGATGACCAGTCGCACACTGGAGAGTTTTTAAGTTTCCGTTTGTGCATCAGGTATCCGCATCTGCCATGGTTTGTGCGGATACGGCTTATAACTTTCATTGACAACTATACTGTTGTCTTGCCTGTCACCAGCCAGATCTGTCTTTTATTGCCTGTTTTCCTTTTGGAGTGCCGGTCTGCCACCGTCTACCTATCAATGCCTGCTTGTAAGGTAGCCTACATACCATTGCTTGCTTGTGAGAATGTTTACCTGCCTGCCAGGGATGTTCTGTCATTGCCTGCTTATAATTGTCTGCCTGCCTGACTGCAGTATTTTCTACTGCCTGGCATGTTTCTGCACCTAAAATTACTGATGCTGAAATTGAAAATGAAAATTTTGAACCCATGTACACTGAGATAGACAAAAAAAGCACATGGCTTTCAGAGAATGTAAGTAAAAACATGTCAAATTTCGAAACGTTAAGTGGGCTTGGGCAGGATGCTTCATTTGAAGGGATGATGATGGTAAGACAAAGATGGATTGACATCCAAAGGAGGATATACGCTCGAGAGGATGTCCACTGCGGATATGAAACAATGAAATTAGCTTACCTACAGGTGCAAATTGGATTGTTGCAATGCAGGTCCTTCAGAGATGGAGATGGCTTGGGGGGCCTTTCATCTGGCAATGGATTCCTCTGGACCGATGATGATACACATGCATAGATATGTGAGGAATGTACATCCAGCAGTCACACAATGCATTGCACATTATGTTGTAATTTTGCCTGCAGGTGGCCATGCGTGCACTCGGATTTGAGCCCAAAAAGGAAGAGATCAAGAAAATGATTGCGGATTTTGACAAGGATGGTTCGGGAAAAATCAACTTCAACGACTTTCTAGCCATGATGACCCAGAAAATGGTAAGTCTGCCCTTTGATCTTATGTATTAATTTTTTTTAATTCATTAACTTTTAACACGCACAGTATTCGCTCACTCAAAGAGAACTCAGGCACGAGGAGCTATTGACAAGCAGTAAATGCAGCCATATCACGTGACATGCAAGGCATGGTAGAACCGATCCTATTGTCACAATCGTACCATTTGCTGTCTATAAATCGCCTTTTGCGTGTCTTCCCCGCACCTCCAGTTAGCACGGTTGGCTATGTACGGTGCGAAAGAAGTTCTATATACATACATAATTATTCAAAAAAATGTACTTTGAAAGCAATACACTGGCGCATCTTCTCGAATATCACGTAATTAACGACGTTCTATCGGTCTTTGTGTTGTCAGAGTGAGAAGGACTCACGGGAGGAGATCCTGAAGGCTTTCCGCCTATTTGACGACGATGAAACGGGCAAGATCTCCTTTAAGAACCTCAAGAGAGTGGCCAAAGAACTGGGGGAGACCCTGACGGACGAGGAACTGCAGGTGAGTGGCTGCACATCTTACACACACCTAGTGGATAGAAGAGAGGCTGGATCTTTGCCGGTACGAGTCTGATGGAAGACACAGAAATTTCAGGTAGACGTACTGCTTCAACACCTCAATGTGCTGTTGAACAAGATTGAGTTCAATCTTAATGCCGATTCCCTGACTGCATCGATCAGAGATCACTTGAATGGATCTCCGTGGTAGCTCTACGATTTCTGCTTCTGAGAACCATTCTCTGCACTGCTAAGTGATCCGAATACATTCTTCAAATGTCATGACACCGATTGCAGTCAGGATAAAAATGCGTACGAAATGACAATCATCAATGGTTACATGTTTATGGAGATATTCTACTTAAGCGCCTCAATTACGTCAACCATGATTATTCCACTGTTGGATGAATGCCTCTCCAAGCCATTGCCATCTGTCGGTCTTGCGACGGCCCCCCCCAACCCTGATTACATTCACCGCAATTGGTTGCCTCTGGTTTCTCTTCCCCAACCCCCCCCCCCCCCCCCCCCCAATCTTGGTTGCAGGAAATGATCGATGAGGCTGATCGTGATGGTGATGGGGAGATAAACGAGGAGGAGTTCTTGCGTGTCATGAAGAAAACAAGTCTTTACTGACCCTTTCCTCAACTCTCGGCCTTACCTGCCCACCGGCACACATTTGTACACACCTACACCTGTATTAGGGGTGCCGCGGCAGGCAATGCAGTTTGGACACTGGCTGTATTTATAGAGTATTCTTGTTTCTATCATTTTTTAAAACCGACTTTTTTTTGTTTTTGCATGTGCCGTGTCAAATCTAAAAAAATATCTGCAGTTTTTGTACATCTTGTGGCTGTGCTTGTATTGATGACAGTATACATCTTAAAGTGTAATTGTATTAGTTTTATAAACGGATGTGAAACGTTTTAAAATGTCAAAGAGTTTAATAAAAGTTACTTGATTGAAGCAATTGTGGGGTTATCATTTACAATACGTAAAGTGGTGTGGCCCTAAAAGGGTTATTCCAACCATATACAAAATTTACAAAACTAATGCATTTGTGTATAGCATGAGGAAGTTATAAGTCAACGACAGTGCTCTTCAAAAAAATCTTCATTACTCTTATTGCAATTTCATTTTGACACGTACAGTTAGTGCATTTGCTATCATTCAGTGCAATCGAAACAAAACGTTCACTCAAGAGGCCACATCGCTTGCTGCAAATTGTGGAAAGCACAAACCCAATGGTGCATCACACCCACAGTGCAACTATGTCAAAACATAATTCAACATGTGTACATATAAAGCTCTTATTAATCCACTGCTGGATGAGGGCCTCTCCCCACCGTGTAGGTCATGGGTTAGGGAATGCAAGCATAGAGGTATAGTACAATGGATTTTGCTGCACTGCCCACCATGCAGCCCCGTAGCCTATAACATGTCATGCACCGTGGTTGCCCATCCAGGCACAACTCATCTTAGCTTCTAAGAAGTGATGGAAATTGGGTGCATTCTGGGTCATAAATCATCCAGGCATAGCCGGATCAATTATAAAAATGGTGCATCCCGAGTGATTTCATCTTCACCACAACCACACTCGCCCATCGCCACAAGAGCCATGGCGGCGGGGGTTCTAGCTAAGGCAGCGGTGCCTCTTCGTACGTTACGCTCACAAACGGTGGCTTCATGGGCAGGAACCAGTACTCAGAGTTATAGTAAAGAAAGAAGCGGTGCTGCAAGACCACCTCCCCGTAAGCATTTAACACGCTCATTAGCAGCCCCAGCAGCGATTGGTTTGGCTGGAAATTGGTGTAGAAGCTGCGGATTTCCTTTGCCAGCTTAATGGCCTCCTTCGACGCCGTCCCGAAGATGGTGCTGGCATTGCCCAGGAGATGGGGCTGCCCGCAGTAGAGGTTGAGGCGCGTGTAGTGTGTGCGCAGGCCTGGCTTGAACATCGCCCCCAACTCGGCGAGCCTCCTGTAGGTGCGCTGTACAAAGCGCGAGCAGTCGTACGATTCGAACCACGAGGTGGCGTTGGGCTCCTCACCGCTCCGCACCGTCCATGTCTCGTAGTAGACGCCCGTGTCGTTGTCGTGCCGTACCCACTTGGCCAAGTTGTTAAACGTCTCACCTGTGACAGGATGGGAGGCCGGGGCTTAATTTCGCTCTGGACATTAAGGGCATTTGTCAAACGTGCTACAGGCATGCTCCCTGCTTCTTGACCAAACTACGGTTATCGTCTCTCTTGACTGGCAAATCCTCACATACATCGGTGTTTACGGAATAAGACATTATTTTCAACACTTTTTTACATTAATTTTTTGGACGATTCTGAGTCCATGCACGAATATTTTTTTTGTTTCATTATGCTCTGGGTGGCACATGGACAGGGGTCGGCAAACTGTGGCTCTTTAAGGACTGCTTTATGATGTTACTTTCATGCAATGCGGCTCTTTAAATGCAGATTTTTTTTTTTTACAGAATTCGAACAAAAATGTCTCTTCTTGTTATTGTGGTTGCCGACCCTGCACATGACTAAGAAGCCACAGATATATAGCAAGACGTATACTGGATGTGGTGACTGATGTGGAAATATTTTCAGGAATTGCCGCCCCGGACAGACGTGGCTGGAACACAACGCTGCGTACAACACTATTGCCCCATCTCTATAAGATAAAGTAATAAATAATACATGGTACAGAGCACGTTTGTCAATCCACTACTGGGCCTCTCCACACCGTGCAGATCGTGTTGGGTTATTTGACCATAATTCATTGTTCAATGCGGATGAAGGACTGGTTCTAATATCGCTCGCTGGTGAGGTTAGCCATGGCTGGGAATTGAATTCTGGTCAAGAGACTCATACATAGCGCAATGTGCCACCCACTCTGCCACCACTCAATGTCATTATAATAATTGTAATGGTCTTTGCCTATAAGAGCTTCAAGATGACGAATCAATTCGCATCTCTCAATGCGCAATGCAACCTTTGGTGTTAGGGAATGGTTTGCGGAAGCAGATATCACAGAGCTACCTCTGAAATCCCTTGGATTTATCCAAATTAAGTGCAGATGCAAACGTAATGTTAGGGATTTTTTTCTGTTGCAGTCATTGATGACTGGGCTGAGACCGCCAACTCAACACTTGCGAAACGTATCAATTTGCTAATTTCGTTTGTGAAAATTGTTCTTCATCTTACCCAGTGAGTTCAAACTATACAATAATTGTTGCATTAAACACTAGTAAATATTTGTTTGGCTATGTCGGGTGAAGGAGGGTCTTAATGACACAAAAGTGGCCAGATCATCGCATGGCCTAACCCAAATATTAAATGTAAATCATAATATTGGCTGAGAAAACCTACGTATTAATTTCACTATCCTTGGTGTTTCAATGCAAGGCACTGAACGAGTCGCACCTGTGGCCTCGGCAACCTTCAGCATGGTGCCGTTCTCTCGCCAGTGGCGCTCGTCCAGGCCGGCGTAGAAGCAGGCGGCACCCTGGTTGCACCAGAATGGTGCGTTGAGACCGGCACGCAGGTGCGGGAAGGTGCAGTTCCCCAGCTGGAAGAGCTCGTACCACTCGAGCGTGAAGGCGTGTCCCGTGAGCGCGCTCCGGAACCCGATGGCATCATGCATAATGTTCTGTGCAGGGCATACAGATTGGCGAGAGGCGATAACTACGCCGTGAATACGAAGAGAAGCGGCGCTTTCGTCACTGTCATTAGCCTGTAACACATTACCACAGTACGATTCACGGCCATCATTTGATTCGATGATTATTTCTTCTATTGTGGTGAACGAAGCAACCTCTATAGTCACAGCAGGGGTTACTTGAACCCATTACATACAAGGGTCACTTCCTATCAGCCATGTATATAAACTCTGGAAATGAGGGCGCCTCGTGCAGTTGCCATCTCTCAGTCTCATGGTGCAACAATCTATCCAACTCCTGCTGATTTGACTGCTCCACCTCCAAGATCGTCAAAAACTCGGGCATGCTCCCGGCTTTGGCTACCACTCCGTAATTAGTTTTAACCACTGGACGTCATCTCATTTACTATTGTTTACAGCCAGTATGTGACTGCTTTGTGTCCGTTCCCCAATCCACATGCTCCTCTGTCTCCCAGCTCAATTCTGAGCGTGCAATTTTCCATGCTTCTTTGCGTGCTTTGTTACATTTTTTTTGTTAATGTCCATGGATCTGATCCATGTCATCGAGACCATACATACAACAATAGTGAAGCTTTAACAAGATACTTTTTTTACAGATTGTCATCTAGAGCAGGGTTCCCCAACCCCCGGGCCGCGGACCGGTACCAGTTTTGAAACGGCAGGGCATAGAGTTTCAAATGATTACCGCTAGATGCCTCTACCAGCGCACAAACAGCCCCTAGCCTCAGTCATTCGCAACACAAGGCGTTTTGCGTTCTGCAGTTCAGCTAAGGTGGCTAAGCGGTAGCGCGAGCAGCTCGCAATTGAAAGGTAGAGGAGTTCAAATCCTGGTTGGGGGTTGGCTCAGTCCATCATCTCTACGGGGTACATAAAATAAGTATCACTTCATGGATATGTCAACTGAGATTGTCCTGTGGAGAAACCCGCGCCTGCCATATAGTTGTGGAACTTCCATTCCTGGCTCAGGGCTGTAAACAGTGCTTAATTGAGCAATAAATCACCTTGACAACCGACATTATGTTTCGGCGAAAGGAGTGAACAAATTGGTAAAGTGACGAATTCGTGACAGATTCAGGAATCCACCGATATCTCCTGGCCACCTCATATCCTAACCCTTAAAATACCTTCTATTCATAGGCAGTCTCCCATGCAAGTATAAGCCAGGCTGCACGGCTTCTGAGACCTGACAAAATGGGGCACATTGAGGGCCATTTGGTCGTAGGTTATAATTACTAGGCCGTGATCCAAGTCCCGAGTACCACAACAACAAAAGCATGACTGCTCACAAATTTTCCCAGGAGGTCGCCAAACTTGAACTCCCAGACAGGCGCCTTGAGCAGGAACACTTCCAGCACATCCTCGGGGGCCATGGCGGGGATGGAACCCCCCGGGTCTCCGTCGGGGCAGAACGTGTAGCGCGCTTGGCAGAAGGGGTCCGGGGTCGGTCGGAAGTTCACTCGTCTGTGTACGCACAGTCAACGCACCCTCGCTCAGCTGTCCGACGTATTTTTGGGTTGTACCGTGTGTTGTTAGGCATGATGTTCGACTATTCGCTCCACGTGCTGAGAGCGTCTTCAAGAAATTATTAGAACTCACTCGACGTCGATTATATCGAACTTCTGACAATACTGGCAGCAGTGGCGATATCATAATATAGAAATAAAAATCGTAATGTACGGCTCTTTTGTCAATCAACTGCTGGAGGAAGGCCTTCCCATGCTGTTTTCATCATGGGGGTTTGTTTGATCATACTTCACCAAGCTGGTCGATGCAGGACAGTGAAGTGGGGGGAAGGGGTCCAGGATTAGTTCAGATATCACTCTCCATTGATGTCAACCATGGTCATAAATTAAACTCAAGTTTCCAGGTTCATAGCACAGTGCCACTGATCACACATTCATAACCATAGGCTCCTGAAATGTAAATGCAACACTGATTTAATTGTGTAAATGCATACCGTACACATTATATATTTTGAAATCTTGTATACGTGTCATTATGTGTTTGCTATCTATGCATCAATCTACACCATGGACACCCTTGCAAATGTGATGTTCCATCTCAAGGGATTTTACAGGTGATATATTTGAATAAGTAAAAAATAAATAGGGAAAAAGAATAAAGCCACCATGTGTCCTGTGACAATGGCTTCCTCCTGACCTGTAGGGCACAGGCCAGTGTGGTTTGTTCACCAAGTCGTCAGGGTCAGCAGAGTCAGCCCAGGTAGCCCTGGCTCCAGCATGACCTATGACCATGAGCAGGGCGAAGAGCAGAGCAGACTGGAGCCAGCAACCTCCCAGGACTTGACCACGCCAGGGCGTAACCCCTATGGTCACATCCATGTCCTAAACAATACGGACACACTCTCAGCTCTCTGTTGAGTTGGTGGTCTAGACAAGGCTGAGGACAATGTACAAGCAATGTGGTTGTCACAGAACATGTACACAAGGCATTATGGGGGTCGTGCCTTCCTGCTGTTTGTGTCTTGATATTTCTTTCCAATGTCACATTCACAGCAGATTGGTACATGTGTAATGGCATGGTGACATCTGCTGGACGGGAAAGGGAAACACGGGTACGGGCACAGTTAAAGTAACAACCAATCAGAGAAGGAGAGGTATCTGGGGCAAAGGTAACAGGTGGGGTTAGCCGAGATACTCTGGGAACCTGCTCGAAGGTTCCACGAGAGGGCGTGGCCAGAGGCGGGGCCTAGCCACGCGTGGGGGGATATAAGGGAGAGTGGACCCGGGGCTCGGGGTTCGCGTGTGGATTCTTGGGTCCTGGCTGCGTCGCTGTTCGCCGTCATCTCTCTCCGTCGTCCGGCCACATGGAAGATCTCCTGCGGGGGTTCCATTGCCATCCTCGGCACGCCGCCAGCCAGCGGCGTAGCCGAGTGAGGGCGGTGAGACCACACCGACTGATCGGCTGTGTGTAGCCAATAGAGACGTTAATATCAAAGTGTTGTACTCAGAGTGAGAAGAATAAGGTTGTCCTGTGCTGTGCCGAGTGTGAGAAATAAAATAATAAGTACCCTCTACATGACGTGTCGCGGAAGTCGCTCATTACACACGCAATAAACACGTCTGAAAAGTAATCTATTCGTTTGTATTGCAGTAGAAACAGCATTAAACACATGTCAGCCAAGCGTGGGGGCATACTCAGCATGTCGCAGCATCCAACCTCCAGCCAACAACCTCTATGGTCAGGGCTTAATTTCTCACTGATTATTTTCCAGGTGGCTGGTGAACTGGATGAGGTGACTCGTCACGGTGATCGAGCTGTATAGGCAGTAGCACAGTAACGATTGAACAGGGAAGGAAAGTCCAAGCCCCATCCTCAGACGTATATTTAAATGAAGTTCAATCTTGATTTAAAGCTTAAAATTATTTACAGCTTAGCATTATATACGATGTGTGTTTTTCTAATGACATTTTGAGCACAACAAATGTTATTGCAATCTTTAAACACACTGCATACCTGTCAACTCCTTATCAGACCAATTCAGAGACCTTAATGGTCACCCCGTGCCCTTATAAATGTCAACGTTCATCCTACAAATTCCCATTACAAGGGAGAAACAGAAATACATTTTGTTTTGCCCGTATTGAAACGGCTGTACGCCGTATATGGGTTTGAAAACGCAATTTCCCTGTACAAGAATACGAGTTAACCCGTATGGTTTGACACTGACACTGGATGTGGTCTTCATGGAACAAGTGGGGTTTTAAAATTCATGGAACGGCCATACCGGGGCACCCCCACCTCTGAATCGGCTCGCATTTTCAGGTGCACGCGATACAGTAAAGAATTCCGCAATACTGAGATTAGATAAATAAAATACCATTTGCACTACAGTGCTACAGTATAGATATCCGAACTCACATAGGATGGGGAGGAATTCCACATTTCTATGGCGAGAACGACGCAGGAAAACAACTGCTGAACACGAAACGCCAGCAGCGGTGCCAATAACACACAACACAGAACGTACAATACACAAACACACCAATGCAATACAACAAGATCACCGTGAAGGTGCGGCATTTGATTCCATACTTTTAGGCAATATGTCTTTGATGTTTATGTGTTATAATAAAGTTTGTTATAATCAAGTTGAAACAATAACTTACAAAATATGCAAGCGTGAAATAGTGGAGTACTGTATGCACAAACGCGGACGGAAACGTAAACCATAACGCGTCGTCACATACATAATTCATGCGACAACACTAAAGAGTTACACGATAAGTTCACCTTGATGTGACAAACTACCGCATGCTTAAATCTGATAATCAAAACAGTCAAATAAATGTTACCATAAAGACCGAACGGGCGAACCCCCCTGAGGCCTACTGCCCCGAACCGGAACAGGAGCGCCAACGCCGGCCGCGGATCTACGACAGAGAGGTGTCTGTCCGAGACACCGGCCTGATACATTTACATAGAAGCATTAACATAATCAATCCATTTATTCTACAGCTAAAACGACACCAATGACAACAGCAACGTTAACAACCCGATGCTGATACTGTACACATCAATATGGATGGATATATGTAAATAAGTAGCATCATCGCAGCGCTGTGCTTTTTTACCGTGAGAGAGAAGCTCTGGTGAATGGCGCTGGATTTGAGTGGCTCCACGGGGCGAGTGGTCACTCACCCCTCGTGCCTCACGATTCCCCAAACTCACCGAACCCTCACCAGTTGCCGGCTTCTTCTTCTTCTTTGGACCCTTCGCAACGCGAAGGGAAACTCAACATTGAGGCTGGCCGAGGCGTCGGTATCTGGACGAGTCGATCTCTTCGCTCACTCTCGGTGGTCTCGCCGCTCTCTCTTTGCGCCTGGTCCGTGCCACTCGGGAGCGCTGCGCCAGCAGCTGCCTCGGTCTTGGCCTTCACTCTTTCAAAGGAGGATTCCTCCTTCAAAGTGGCGAACGCTCAGACTTTTCGTAGGGGGGACGTGGGGGAAAACCGAAGTGCAATACTCTGCTGTACACTATATTCCACGTGTGTACAAAGAACCCCCTGAATAGCCTTATACAGACTGAAGGGACAAGTGCTGTTAACACTTAAGACTCTACAGATCCCCTGGTCACACGCAACATGAGGAACATTGATAAAAGTATCACCAAATGAAAGTATTACAGGTACACGTGTACGGTATTGAGTTTATGGTACAGCGCATACAGAGTACACATTTAGAAACATGTGTTTGGAGTATTTGGCTGCTATAAATTTCCACCTGATAAGCCACTTCGGTGAGCTATCATCTGTGGTACCCAGGTCGCTTCTGAAAAAGAGCTATCGAGCTCAGTGGGCCTTACCTGGTAAAATAAAATACAGTGAGGGAAAAAAGTATTTGATCCCCTGCTGATTTTGTACGTTTGCCCACTGACAAAGAAATGATCAGTCTAAATTTTAATGGTAGGTTTATTTGAACAGTGAGAGACAGAATAACAACAACAAAATCCAGAAAAACGCATGTCAAAAATTGATTTGCATTTTAATGAGGGAAAAAGTATTTGACCCCCTCTCAATCAGAAAGATTTCTGGCTCCCAGGTGTATTTTATACAGGTAACGAGCTGAGCTTAGGAGCAGACTCTTAAAGGGAGTGCTCCTAATCTCAGCTTGTTAACTGTATAAAAGACACCTGTCCACAGAAGCAATCAATCAATCAAATTCCAAACTCTCCACCATGGTCAAGACCAAAGAGCTCTCCAAGGATGTCAGGGACAAGATTGTAGACCTACACAAGGCTGGAATGGGCTACAAGACCATTGCCAAGCAGCTTGGTGAGAAGGTGACAACAGTTGGTGCGATATTTCGCAAATGGAAGAAACACAAAAGAACTGTCAATCTCCCTCGGCCTGGGGCTCCATGCAAGATCTCACCTCGTGAAGTTGCAATGATCATGAGAACGGTGAGGAATCAGCCCAGAACTACACGGGAGGATCTTGTCAATGATCTCAAGGCAGCTGGGACCATAGTCACCAAGAAAACAATTAGTAACACACTACGCCGTGAAGGACTGAAATCCTGCAGAGCCCGCAAGGTCCCCCTGCTCAAGAAAGCACATATACATGCCCGTCTAAAGTTTGCCAATGAACATCTGAATGATTCAGAGGACAACTGGGTGAAAGTAATGTGGTCAGATGAGACCAAAATGGAGCTCTTTGGCATCAACTCAACTCGCCGTGTTTGGAGGATGAGGAATGCTGCCTATGACCCCAAGAACACCATCCCCACCGTCAAACATGGAGGTGGAGACATTATGCTTTAGGAGTGTTTTTTCTGCTAAGGGGACAGGACAACTTCACCGCATCAAAGGGACAATGGACGAGGCCATGTACCGTCAAATCTTGGGTGAGAACCTCCTTCCCTCAGCCAGGGCATTGAAAATGGGTCGTGGATGGGTATTCCAGCATAACAATGACCCAAAACACACGGCCAAGGCAACAAAGGAGTGGCTCAAGAAGAAGCACATTAAGGTCCTGGAGTGTCCTAGCCAGTCTCCAGACCTTAATCCCATAGAAAATCTGTGGAGGGAGCTGAAGGTTCGAGTTGCCAAACGTCAGCCTCGAAACCTTAATGACTTGGAGAAGATCTCCAAAGAGGAGTGGGACAAAATCCCTCCTGAGATGTGTGCAAACCTGGTGGCCAACTACAAGTAACGTCGGACCTCTGTGATTGCCAACAAGGGTTTTGCCACCAAGTACTAAGTCATGTTTTGCAGAGGGGTCAAATACTTATTTCCCTCATTAAAATGCAAATCAACTTATAACATTTTTGACATGCGTTTTTCTGGATTTTGTTGTTGTTATTCTGTCTCTCACTGTTCAAATAAACCTACCATTACAATTATAGACTGATCATTTCTTTGTCAGTGGGCAAACGTACAAAATCAGCAGGAGATCAAATACTTTTTTTCCCTCACTGTACTTTAGTTTATAGTTTTAGCTCTTAACATCATTTAACTTTTTATTTTTCAAAGGCGACATCGCCGGCCCTTGGAGGACCTGGGAAGAAACGGCAAACGTCGCAATCGCAAGCAGAGGGCACAGAGGAAGAACGCAGAGGAAAAACGTACGGAGATCCCACAAGAGCAAAATATGATATTAACGATATTTATGACATGTACTTTTTATACGTTCACGGCAATACAAGTTCATGTTGCCTGCTACTCCATTGTCTCTGTGTTTTATTCATGGGACGAGTGAGGAAATTAGTGAGGCACCTCGTTCACATGTCTCGCCTTATCTTTTCATACATTTATAAAGCGCCTTAACCAAGGCGCTGTACAGTCAACTATGGTACAAGATGTTTGGCGAGATAAAACGAGACGAGTGGATGGGATGTGTGTAAACTTAGGTGGTGGTGGTGGTGGTGACGATGCGTGTAATAAACGAAGATGGAAATGAGATGAGTGGATTGATGATGGGTGACTATGGGGAGTTGGGGACAGGGAAGTACACACAGAGCGAGAGAGTTAACAGATGATTATTTCTTCACGCATGAGTGAAGAGCCTGGTCTCTCTCACACCGTCACGTGTGACACTGCTTATCTAGATTTTACATTCTCAGGCGAGCTGATGGCTGTGAGTTTGGTGAGGGTCAAGTGAGTGGGTTACCGTGAGTGGCGAGTCAGATGAGTGTACTGGTTTGCGATGGAGGTCAAGTGAATTCTCTGGTGAGGGTTAGGTGAGTATATGGCCGGTGATTAGTGATGGTCAGGTTAATTTATGAGTGGTGAGGGCCAGGTGAGTTGCATGTGTATGTTGAACTTCTTTTGCACCGTGCACAGCCAAACGTGCTCATTGGAGGTGTGGGGAGGACAACGAATTAAACAGAAAAGCAGTTCTAAAGAAATGTATTTTATTGTGAGTGGTGAGGGTCAAGTGGGTTCATGGCTGGTGAGTAGCGAGGATCAGGGGAGCTGACCGGTGAGGGTAAGGTGTGTGGTAAATGTGTGGTGTCGTATGTCGGGTGACCTCGGTCACAGAGCGGCCTGGCAAGCCACAAATGCAACAAAAACGTTGAGTGTGGGCTGGGGTCCATGGACACACATTTATATATTTTTTGGTTTTTAACAAATTCCTCTATTTGTACAACACTCAAAATTGCGGTAGAAGCCACTCAGCTCGCCAGTCAAACGACTTCCTATATCCAGTTCACTTTTGTATAAAAAAAATACGAGCCACATTTCTCACAATAAGCGTATCGGTGCTTTCTCAGGCCTTGGCATAATACAAACTAGGCCTTTAATGATTGGCGCCCGTCAAATCACTCATGATTATTCATTTTCACGATTCAGGGCCCTGATTGTATCCAAGAATATAATTCCCCCCCCCACCACCCACATACATTGGGGTGTATAAGTGTCCTTTAGAGGCTGCAGGATGTCACGTAAACTAATTTCTGTCTGTAGGACTGCATGTTTTTAGGGTCGTGCTGTATCTGCCAAGAGGCTAATTAACCGAAAACTCCACCAGACGTGGCGCCCAAAACGTCATAAAAATAAAGCGTTAAATATTTTTTTTTTAAACCCGTGCGTAAAACACCGAGATATGTCAACAAATATAAAACTAGTTTTCTTGTGAACCAGGAAGCATGTCCGTGCCTGCAGCACGTTTTTATCGGTTCTGCTTGTACGTGTTGAACTTCTTCTGCATCGTACTGAGCCAACCACGCTAATCGGAAGTGCGGTCGGGGTTCATGCCGAAGCCCCCAGCGTGTGGAGCGGAAGGTCGGACATGCCAAACAGCACGCGGTACAACCCGCAGCTAGAATTACCGTACAAACACCACATTCAATTCTTACGCACGTGACAGGTAACCCACATTCGTCTACGACACAGAGGCCTCAATAGGAAAACATCTTTCACATATAATACAAAGTATTCTTTAAAGTGTGTGGGTGTGTGTTTGCCCACTACGAGCAGAGCGCCGAGCGGCTAAAATGCAGCAAATTGGCACAGTAGGGGGGCACATTTGGTGCATCGGACAGTCATCTCAGTCAACCGGGGTCTGTCCCGTGACCTTCTCCTGCCAGCGAGCCTGTGCACCTGGCCTGGCATAGGCGCCGAGGTCACGTCACCACCACTTAGTGGCAAGTGTTGTTGTTTGCTTTGTGGGGAGTGATAGTGGAGTGGTTAGCACACTGCGCTATGAACCCGGCAACCAGTTTATTCCCGCTCACGGCCAACATCAGTGTCGAATATCGGAACCTGTCCCAGGGGCTTCCCTAGGTTCACATTGTCTCGGCCTTAAAGGAGTACCTGGTGCAGTGTGTAAACATCACCACTGGAGGAGGGGGGCCAAAGTCGGCTGGGTATGATGCTAGACCAGGGGTCTGCAACTAAAATAACGAGCGTTTTTTTAGAATTCGGCAAACTCAATAATTCAGAGCCGAAATGCATGTGAATATCTGACGGTCCTTACCAAATACCGCATGCAGCTCTGAAGCGACAGGTTGCCGACCCCTGTGCTAGCCACACCATGCCCTCGTGTGCCACGTTGGCTTTCATAGGCGCTCGCAAGTAACACTTGCCCCAACAGCTGGTGTAGGCTATAGGGGGTAAGCTTTGGCTTTGAGCAGAATAAGAATGAATGATTGGCTGTACTTTAATGACACTTGATGTCATTATTAAATCACGTAAAACTTAGAAGAAGCGCACATGGGGTATTCATTCTCCCGTGATTTATTGAGGAGGAAAACAATACAAAATAACAAGGTTTAATTTCCAGGAGCCCAATTAGATCATATGTTAAAAAACTGAAAATAAACGTTACCCGACTACACTAGCCAGATTTCCACAGGTTACACAAATCAGTTAAACAAAAAGTAAAAGCACACAAACTGCAATGGCCATTTGAAATACATTTCGAACATTCTTTTCTGTGATTTTCCTAGCAAGGCTCAACATGTTAACCACATTAGTCCTGTCACACAACGTTTCAGTCTAAATGTTATGTTGCTATGAAATTCTTATCCTATGGGAAAATGACAAACTAAGAAAAGCATCAACCAAAATCTTGGCAACAAGGAACAGCGCTATAAGTACTCGCCATAGTTTGTCAATCTGTCGAACACATGGCAATGTAAAGTTCATCATCGACGATTACATACCTACGAAGATTGAAATGCATGTTTGCAAAATGTCACAGAACAGCGTGTGTATAACACGTGGTTTTAGTCTCTCTCTTGCTATTGGTTGCAAAAGCCACTGCAGGCGGGTCACAAAACAAAGAAGCAACAATCAAGCGAGTACCCATTTCTGCGAGTATACTTTGCGAATGTGTTTAGGGGTGAGAAGAGGGGGCTACTAAAGGAGGAAGGGAAAGTCGTAGGCGGCTTTAGGCAACGGCCAAAACTCATCGGTCACAGCGAAGTACGGGTAAATCATCTGCAGCTGCCAGTACGTGTCGTCACGGTAAATGAAGAACCGCTTGTAGTACATGACCTCGACTAAGATACCAATGGTGCTCCTCGCACGCTCCATGAGTGTCTGGCCCGGCCGAAAGTAGCTGAAGAACTTCAGCATGTCCTTCGCCAGCGCCTGCTGCTTCGACTTGGGGCCGAAGATGTCGCTGCCGTTTCCGAGGGGCTTGGCTGCGTCGCTGTAGAGGGCGAGCCGTGACCGCCTGGCAGTCACGGACCCGATGAAATTTGCCCCGATGGAGGAGAGCTTCGCGATGACGCCTTGCACGTAGCCGTTGCTGTCCCGCGCGTCGAACTGCACCGTCATGTTGCTGCCCGTGCCGTTGTAGACCGTCCAGAGGTCGAAGGGCGTCACGGTGGCGTTTTGCGACTGCACCCAGGCGGCCATTTGGTTGAAATTCTCACCTGCGGGACAAGCCGAAGCAGGTGAAGAATTCACATCGCTAAAAATTACCACGTTCTACAGCACTTTTAACCCCTCCCACCAAGCCAACCTGTATTTTAAAGAAAACTTTTGAGGTGTGTCGTGTGATACAGATAATACATCAGCTTCAGGAAGACATCTCCCCCCTCCCCATTGTAATGCAGCGTGTTCATAAAGTATATTTATGAAGACGGCTCTCCATGTTACCGTATTCTCCCGATGATAAAAAATACAGATTTTCTTCGCAGCGTCCACTCTATATTTTGGTTCGTTATACTCTGCACCGTTCTTTCCCGCATTCAGTAGGAGACTGTTTATTTTGAAAACATTTGGGGTACGTCGTACTGTCTGGACCATCTTATAATCCGAAAAATACGGTATTTATTCTGTTATTTCCGTCAACTTTTGCGATGTCAAGGGATTCGTACTTAGGATCTCAAGTGCTCGGATCCTTCAACCACTGGACCATCACCTCGCTTGCATTTTTTTTTGTTCCATTAAAAAACTTACTTACACTCCTTTGTCCCTCCGCTTTTCTACACTGGCTTTTACTCAATTGGGTAATTTGCGACCAATTTTCAAACTTGGCAAAGTCGGATCGTAATACCGGCACACGTACACATGGCCTACACCGTTCTCAAATAAAGACATTGGACGTTTAACCTTTTTCCCATTCCGATGACGTACACATACGTCATCAGTTTTCCTTCCAATTCTGTTCCGATGATGTACGTGTAGTTCATTGGAGTGGAATTGGAAGAAAAAAAAACTCTATTGGGACCGAGGCTGCCAAAAGTCCATGCGGGAGGGCGTGGCACAGTTTGGCGCAAGCCATCACAGAGTGCGGTAGTGCCACTACGGTTCTCTGGCGAGCTCAATGTCTTCAAAACCAAAGGCGCTACGCCTCTCTAAATAAACTGAACGTTGAGCCACTTCCCAGATTCAGCGGTGAACGGGACCCCCACCCTGCAGACGTCCCGGAACGGGAAAGGGTTAATTCCCACTGCGAGTGTCATTTACGATCAAAAATATCGGCGGTGGCAGGGCGGGGGATGGGTGCTGGGAATCCGAACAGCGAACGTCGCTCACCCGTCATCTCGGCCACCTTGACGACGCTCGCAGCCTCCATTGAGCCACCCTCAACCGAGGTGAAACAGGAGGCCCCTACGTTGCACCAGATGGGGTCTCCTCCCTTGTCCAGGAGGAGGGGCGTCGCCCCGGAGGACGTGCCGAACAGAGGGTCCCAGCTCAGCGTGAAATTGCGTTTCATCAGGAAACTGTAGAACCCCAGGGACTCGCGGTAGCTCTGTGCAGTGAGGGGATGCGGTGGTGAGGGGTAAGAACAATATTAATTTCAGGATGTGTCTGTCCGTGCTGGCAATCCAGAAAATATTCCATCGCCTGGCACACCACATCTAGTAGACCTCTTGCGATGGCCACGGCTATCACTGGTCACGTGCTTTTCTCCAGTATTCCAAGCAACCCGAAAAATATTTTTTTTTTTTACTAAGAAATTAAGTCCTGTACTTGTATTGCCAAGGTCGCATCGTGAACCGTCATATATGCGCCTTAACCAACGAACCGCCCACACCCAGGGAAGCGAAGGGCAGCTAAGGGTGGTGACTCACACTCCACAGGCCTTGCAGCCCAGGGAAGTGGCTCTGGAGCTCAGACAGGAAGGGCTCGTGGTGGCGGCCCAGGCCCTCGGAGCGTAGCAGGAACACAACGAGGCCATCCTCGGGCTGCACAGTGGGCAGGCCGCCACCTCGACGGCCCCGCGCGCAGAACGGAGACTGGGCGTGGCACCGGGGGTCCACCGAGGGTGCCTTGTCCAGCCTGCGAAAACAAACCCCCCCCCCCACGCGTGGCCTTCAGCAAGAGGCAAGTATGTTTAACATGCAGTAGGCTTTCGCGACAGATCTTATCCAAAGGTTTTTTTTTAGTTCGATCGCGTAAATATAAATGTGTCATTAAAACCAGCCACCAGCCGACACAGCCCATAAGCAAGGTTTGTCAAAAGTAAATGCTGTGGGTTTAACTCTCGAATACACCGGTGTGCTGAACTAGTCCCTAATCACATGTTTTGTTTACATGACAAACCTTACTAATTGTCTGTGTCGGGTGGTGCCAGGTTTAACAACACATTTACGCGTTCTAACCCAAAAACACCTCTATTATGGGCAAGCATGTGTAGTGTCTTGTAAAATCACTCAGTCGGACACGTTGTTACAGGTCACCTGCCTACTCTATTCTTGCACCAGTTGTAGGCACTCCTGTCTCTGTCTATACGGTCACTTTTGTTGACTAACTTCCCTTATCTCAATTTTTATTTAAAGCTTTCGTGACTGCAGGGATTCAGTCTTGGTTCTTTCGGTAAAGTCACGTAGATGGGAAAGAATAAAAGAATAAAAATGTAAAACAATAGAATTCTCACGACGTTTCTTTGCAAGCCATCTGGCTACCATGAGAGATTCGTTCATGAGGCTATCCACATATACAAACACAGAGACAATTTCAACCGAGAAGATGGATTCTGGCTTAGCAATCATTGGAAGGATTTGATAAACCATTTCGGGTCTTAATTGATTGTTCACGCTTACGGTGGCTTTCAGACCGCATTCATTATTTTTGTCTCCCCCCTCCTCTTTTCCAAACATAGATGGACTCGTCCATCCGAATAACTTGCAAATCACTCTCCGTGGTGCTAACATTAAAAAACGCCACTTTTTTCAAATTTTCTTGCTGTGGTTTTCACACCTGATGATGATTGCTTGTGTTGCAGTCGAAACGTCGTGAGAATTTAGTTTTATATTTTTATTATTTAATTGTTTCCCTTCTACGTGACTTTACCGAAAGAACCAAGAATATATATTCCCTTATCTACTTTACACCTCGTTAACCTGCCTGCTGCAGCTCTTCCTCTCAGTAGCTCTGCACTCACAGCTCCGCACACAGCAGCGTTCACACAGAGCTCGCACACAGCAGCGCTCACACACAGCAGCGCTCACACACAGCAGCGCTCACACACAGCAGCGCTCACACACAGCAGCGCTCACACACAGCAGCGCTCACACACAGCAGCGCTCACACACAGCAGCGCTCACACACAGCAGCGCTCACACACAGCAGCGCTCACACACAGCAGCGCTCACACAGAGCTCGCACACAGCTTAACTCACTCTGCGCCTACGATCCCTCAGACCCACTCACTCGTCCGATCCGGGCGGGGGGGATCAACCATCACCCGCCCGGCGACTCGGCAGCGGCGAGGATGTCTTCACCTTGGTCCCAGAAACCCGAACTCCCGCTCCGCTCTCACGCGCCTCCTTATATCCTCCTCCCAATTATCCGGCTCCTCCCTTGTGTCTCTTACGGGCCAGAGAGGCTGGCGCCTGTCAGGCCATCAATCACCCCTCATCGCACGTCTCCCTGGCAACACCTCCGGTGTCAGCGTGCAACCCCGAGCCGACCCCGTCTGCACCGGATTCTCCCCTTAATGAGGTGGAAGGTTTGCTCGTGCATTCCCCCCCCCCCCCGTTGCACACGCGCGCCTGCCTGCCCTCGGTTGCCCTCGGCCAACAGTGCGCACCGCGTATTTTACCACACTACACATGTGTGCTGAACTCTCGCACCGCACGTAGCCGACAGTGCTAATTGGAGGTGCGGGGAAAGGAGAAAAACTGAACACAAAAAGCAGTTCTAAAAGAAATCGGTTTTCTCATTCGATTTAAAAGTGTGCAGCTTCCAGTGACGTTCCGAGTGGCCGCAAGGACTGTTAAGTGAGCAAGTATGATGAAAGCCAGCACAGCATACAAGGGGGTGGGTGGCCAATACCATGCCCGGCCGCCTTTGTCTTCCCAATACGTGATGTTTTTACACACACACACCGCACAAGATTATCATTTTAAAAAAGGGACACGCAAAATGCAAACATTTGCTGCTCAAAATCGAGCAGCGTCGCTACGACCAAAGCAGAGAAAAACGAAAGTTTAGGGAAATCCCCAAATTCCATTGACCCCGGCAGCGATTCATCATATATTATTACATGTCTCGACTCGCTGTTGTGTTGTATACGGTGGCTTCTTCAGGCACATTGGTTATGTTGCTGCTTTTCGTCATCATTATTGTTGGGCTTGGGTTGTTGTCCCAATTCTTAAAGTTTCTGCCATAAACTCTCCGGTTCTTTCGGTAAAGTCACGTAGATAGAAAAAAATATATATAATAAAATAAACACACGACGTTTCGGTCGCAACACAAGCGTCCGTCTTCAGGTGAGAAAAAATGATCTGCTGTTGTGGCTTTATATAGGCACGGGAGGGGAGAGGTGGGGGGGAAGGAGTTTGGCTGTAGGAGTTCACAGGTGAAAGGGGGGAGGGTTTGTGATGTGCATGGACGGGTGGGGCGAGAGAAATTAGCAAGTAAATGGACTTGTGGTACAAGTAGTACGGTCATCGGACAACGACAACCGGGTGGGCGAGTGAAAATCATAGCAGTTAAAATTTGACGTGGTTCGTCACATCCTTCCAATGATTGCTCAATCTGAATCCATCTCCTCGATTAAAGTTGTGGCTGCGTTTGTATATCTGGATGGCTTCATATTTTCCCCAAACAAACTAAAAAACATTCATCAATAGCAACAACCCAGAGGCAGAGGCAAATGGTGCTCATGGCAAATATACAGCCCTGCAGAGCCAGTGGTGGAAATTCCACATTTCTATGGCAGGTGCGAGTCTATCCAGTCATAAGACAACCATGGTCAACTTCTGCCCAAAGTGGTGCTCGTTTTATAGACCCCCGGAGGGATGATGTAACCGAGTAACCCGAGCTGGGAAAATGCGCAATATCCCAACCCCTCTGCTACAAGGTCTCTTTCATGGGAAGAACACTGGTTATGGTTGATAGTTTGCTAAATAAACACGTGACCACTGTCATCCCCACCACCACCACCCTTCTCTCGTGGTGTTACAGCAAAAACAGAGGGGAACAAACAAGTCCTTGACAAGTGCTAAAGGAGAGGATGGGGAGGGCGGGGTGTCAGAGGGGCACCGTGGCACCGTGGTGGCGAGATGTTAACCATCTCGCCTGGTATGCAGGAGGTCATGGGTTCAATCCCAACCCTGACACCTGTATATTTTGAGTATCAACGTTTCTCCCCGTCGTCGCGTGGATGTTTCTCTGGGTCCTCCTGATTTCCCCTCCACATTCAGAAACGTGTGTTTAAAGTATTTGGCTGCTATACATTTCCACGTGATAAGCCACTTCGTTGAGTTATTATTTGTGGCCAAGTCACTTCTGAAAAGAGCTCTATAGCTCAGTGGGCCTTACCTGGTAAAATAAAAAAATGTATTTAATGTCAGTTATATATAGTATAGTATTACAGCTTGGCTGACCCATGTCTTAGTGAAAGGATCAGACTTCCCAATGCAGCTGGTCCCTCCTCCAAATGAGTCTTGAGACTCGGCAAAGCCCAACAGGGAAAAGGGAATTTTCTATTTGTGTCGCACACTGCACGACGAACCCAGCGACCTTGGAACCCATCGCTGGCCACGGCGAACATCATTGGCGAGCGATGTCCCAACCGGTCCCAGGCCACCGACTGGCATGGGACCAGTGTGGTGCAGTATGGGTCAGGCAAATATCAACTCCGACCCGACAGGCACCGTGGGGAGGTCCTGGTCCAGCAGTGGATAGAGAAGTGCACGTACATCACCTGCGTCCGTCCACTGCTGGACGGTCCAGTTACTCCTCCCAACACACCCGAGTGGGTGGTGAGCATCACTTGAGCATACTTCGCCGTAGAAGTACAGTATGAAGAATGCATCTTTTTATTGTTTATTAAGATCATCACGAGGGGGAAATGCGTACTGTACGGTTGTTATGCGAGAGGTCACTGGGTGTGTGCGTGGATTCTTGCGGTTTTCGCCAGTCTTACAGCACCCCCCCCCCTCGCCTCCTCCGCTGTCCCCTACCTCCCACCACTCCCGGTGCAATTTGCAAGACGACGTAGGCCGTTTGAGTCCAAAGGAGGTTTTTACTCCTGGACGTAGTCAGCGTTTTTATCCTGTTTATAGCCGTAAGCAGTGGACATTCCACATTCCTATTGGAGGGGAGGGGAGCGTCTTCTCCATCCATAGGACAACCACTGTTGACTTTCCCACAAAGTGGTACGTATTTTATCGACCCGGAGAGATTATTGGCGGAGTATTAATATCTTGGTCAAGCTGGTGTTACACAGGCTTTGTTTTCGTGCATCAAAATGTAAAGAGAACCTAGACTATTGCCGAAATTTGTCATTATTTCATTCCTGGGTAGCCCACAGAGCGTTGCTTGATAAGCGTTGCATGGCTTGGTTTGGTCGCAATGGTTAGAACACTTAGTGGCAGGCGAGCAAAGTTCAGCTCGGTCTGACACATTTGGTGTTCGTTTGTTTGTTTTAAACAGTTTTCTCAGCGCAGGCTCAAAGTCCCAAAAGTGGCAAGCGGCTAGCAACAAACAGCACTATTATAAAAGTTATACTCGGTTAGAGTGTAACACGTGTCTTAAATTAAGCTAGGATATTTATTTTAAGAGATTGGGAGCAAAGAGATGATAGGATAGGGGATTCCAGGGTGAAGCAGTGCAAGGGAAGAAGCGGAATGATAAGTGTTTTGTCCTGCAGTGTGGTGGTCGAGCGAGTGGTCGAGCGAGTGGTCGAGCGAGTGGGAGGGTGAATAAGTGGGTGAGTGAGCGGATGGGTGAATGAATGGGCGAGTGAATGGGTGGGTGAATGAATGGGCGAGTGAACGGGTGGGTGAATGAGTGGGCGAGTGATGAGAGAGTCCTCGACACGACTGGAATGATGAATGAGTCAAGTTAGCTGGAATCATCTCCAAAGGGCTATTTCGCATTCGGCCCAAACTTTGTGTGCCAGTGCGTGGCAGTACAGAAAGCTGGTTGCCGAGACATCCGTACGGGCTGTTAAATGTTATTTTCCCTTTTTCCGAGTATACCAGGTTCGTTTTCCAACAGGCAGAACTTCTTAACTGTGAATTTACGACAGCTTCAGCGTCAGGGACAAGAGAAAGTGGTGGCTTAGTATGCAAGTATGTATGCACTTCTTTCACACTGTACGTAGCCAACCATGCACTGCTACATTAATTAACATTACTTATTTTATCTTAAATCTTGACTTAAAGCTTTCGTGACTGCAGGAATTCATATTCTTTGGGTCTTTCGGTAAAGTCACGTAGATAGGTTCAAAGAAAATAACAAAAAAAATGACCAAAAACTATGACGTTTCGATCACAACGCAAAGCGATCGTGATCAGGAGGAAGAGGGGGGAAGCTGTTGAGGCAGACTTTTTAAAGGTTTAAATGGGTGTATCCCAAGGGTCATAAACGAAGTGGGTGGGGCTAGTTATGTTAATGTAGAGATCAGCATGTTAATGTAGATCGGAGAGCGGCATCCACGCCCTCGCGGAGGCCGCTCTCCGATCTACATTAACATGCTAATCTCTCACATTGACATAGCTACCTCCACGTGGGCGCGGAGGTGGCTATGTTAATGTGAGAGATTAGCATGTTAATGGTAGACCGCAGAGCAACAACGTCGAGCTCGGCGAGCAAGGTGGCTGTATTAGCAGGGGCGGAGCCAGGGGGGGTGACAGGGGTGACATTCTGCGTGTAAGTGTACGACACTCAGTCTGGCGGACTCCGTGCAACTGCATTGTCAGAGTGTGTCGCCAACCGATGGCGTCTAGTTCAACAGCCTGGCTCTCTAATCATTCTTGAAATTAACATTTGTTGAATGTCACCCCGGCCTGAAATCCTGGCTCCGCCCCTGTGTATTAGTGTGGGAAATTTAAGGGAGAACTCATTGGGGTACCTTCAAATTGTTTGTAGAAAATTCCATTCCAGGTGAAGTAAGTGTTGGTGAGGCAGTGTCTCACTGGGGACGGTACATCAGCATTCAGTCCTTGTTGGACCAAGTCTTCAATGATTGCAATGGTGTCAGGCACAGGAACTTTGGTAAACAGAGACTACATAGAAACTAACGAGCAAATCACCTGGAGATAGTGAGATGTCCTTAATTAACAATACTAAGTGAGCTGTGTTAAGTACAGCTGAGGTGGTCTTACCAGTGAATGGTTGTAAGGTCTCAGACAGAAATCGGGCCAGTTTGTAGGCGAGTAAATGGTGGAGGCGATAGGACGAAGAGCTGTACCCTCTTTTTCCCTCCTGATGACGATCGTTTGTGTTTTGATCGAAACGTCGTAGTTTTTTTTGTTATTTTCTTTGAACCTATCTACGTGACTTTACCGAAAGACCCAAAGAATATTTATTTTATCTTGTCATGTTTTTTGTATCTTTGAACCCGGTTTAGTGCAGTTTCACTATCGGCGTCACGGAATGAAAAACATGGTCGAGTGCTTTCCGAGACAGCCTGAGGAAGCAGATTTTACAGAGTTACGTCTGAGATCCCTCTGAGCGACCTCCGTTGCACGTAGTGTAAGAGGGCAGGGAAGCACTTTCGCCGCCCCCTCTGCTACACGGAATAAAGTTTGTCGCGTGACGGTCGAACCAATGTTAAATTCTAAGAACTGAAATTTAGCCAAATTAAGAGCAGAACCTATTTTTAAGCGATTAAATGCAATTTTGATGCGCGCCATGCGGGCATCGAGTCGGGCGTGTGAAAATGTATAATTATTTTACTTTTCGCGCAAAACGCTATGCCTACCTTAAACAATGCCAATGGGGCAAACTGAACTGGTGGAAAACAATGCCAACGAGAAGGAAAAAAATGGGACCCCAAAATATATCGATTGTTGTGGTCAATTTTCATACAAAGGCGCTACCGCCCCAGAAAATGTTGTTGGGTCGGGGGGGGGGGATAAAAGGGATAATTCTATACCTCCCTTAAAAGACCACCCTTATTGTGACCCCCCCTAGGCTACTTGTATATCCAAGAGAGCCTTATAGTCTCAAATACATTTTCATCAGGGTTCGTCATTGACAATGACCCACCATGGAGAACTTCTTGCCTTCCACATTCGTCCCCACCCCCCTCCACAGAGTCTCCTGACGCGGTATCGAGGCTCGGTGGGTTTGCCGGTTAAACAGGAATATAGTAGAATTTAAAAAAAATATCCCTTTCAGATTGTGCCCGAGATAAGAAGCCAGTGAAAGACGACTCTTAACATCGAGCTAAAAAAATCTTTCCGGCCAGCCACCAAATTACCTGGCAACCCAGCACCTACTCATCCATCTACCACCCACACACCCACTTTCCCAGTCACCAGCCCACCCAGTCAGTCAGTCAGCCATCTGCCCAGATAGCCTGCAACAAAGCCATCCACAGGGTGGGGAACGTCCGGCCCGCGGGCCGTATAAGGATGCGAAATCAATTGGCAGTTCCAGCCATCACATTAGGGGCGAGTTAATTAAATGTTTGACCAAATAAAACAGGCTAATTCTTTAAGTTGATAATTTTGTATGGCCCGCGAATGATGTTGTAAATGTCCAAATGGACCTTGGCAGAAAAAAGGTTACCCACCCTATTCTAAACCAACTAGCACCAACCCACCCAGCTATCCAACTATCTATTTAACCAGTCTCCCAGCCACCCACCCACCCACACAACCATCCATCACCATCCATCGATCCACATACCGAGCCACCAGGGTCAGTGATAAGGGTGAGTGGGGTGGACCCTGCACTACCAAATATTCCTATGGCCCCCCAAATTAACTCTACTTAATTGGCGAATCACTATTACAATGGTCCCCTCACACAGCCGCGGTGGCGAGATGTTAACTACCTCGCCTGGTATACAGGCCGTGCATGTTCTCCCCATGTTCGCGTGGATTTTTCTCCGGGTCCTCCGGTTTTTCACTCCACATTTAGAATCAACATCACGCGTTTAACTGCACAGTGTTTGGCAGCTAGAAATGTCTACGCGATAAGCCACTTCGTTGAGCAAATCGTTTGTGGCCAGGTCGCTTCAGGAAGAAAAAAAATTGCTACATCGTTCAGTGGACCCTTCCCAAAAACCCAGCCACCACCACCACGACCACCCTCCCTCCCTCCCATCTGAAAGCAACAGCAGGCGTCACTTCCTCAAAGCGCTGGATTCAGTGTGTGCGATCACAAGCCGCAAATCGAATTCCTTTCCCGAAAATGTCGTAAGAAACAAACCCCACTCTCAGAGGGTGGGAGGGAAGGAGGGGGTAGACATACAGCTGCGCGCACCTAGCCTGGCACGTGCACATGCTGCTGCTGTGTACGGCAATGGTGCGAGATGGAAATGCGCGGCAGTTAAGAGACAAAGACGGCGAGACGCTGGAAAGGACAAATCTGGATGGATGTACACGGGAGAATGAACACGGAGAGAGGCAGACGCCACACACAAGATACGTGGATATGGACACGCAGAGATAAACTGTACCGTATACAGTACCGGCCATGTGCCCTCCCGCGCCCCATCTCGCCGTGCCAATTCACCAGCGCGGTGAAGTATGGTCAAACAACCACCGTGACCGACACCACGTGGGGGGGGGGGGGGCAGCCCTTAGTCCAGCAGTGGATTGAGCAGTGACGATCGTGGGTGTTCGTGCTCGTGTCGCATTTCACGTTGACAGTGCGGGCAGCAGTACGTGAAAGTGCAAAGGTGGTGCTTACAAATGAGACGGTGTGGGTGAGAAGAATAGATTCTTTAGTCTATTCTTGCCTGAAGATTAATCGAGTCAATGGGGGCGGGGGGGGTGTAGAAAATCGATTACACGCAGTACATCACCAGCATCAGCCACGATATTATCCACTGCTGGATGAATGCCTCCTTGCCCCCACCCTCGGTCTCAATGTGTCGCTAGCGAGGGCCCCCCGACGCCTTCAAACCAACCCCCCCCCCCCCCAAAGCGCGGGGCCCGAGGCGGCCGCCTCGATTCGCCGTGTTCCTTAGGGGACGGCTCCGACTCCCACCCCCCCACACCGGCGCCTAAAGCCCCGTGTGGGGCCAGCTTGCCGGCTCCGGCGGCTTCCTTAGAGCCTACGTGCACACGCTCCACCACTCCACGTTCCTACGACGGGAGCCCACCGTATGTTACATACGGGCAACGGCATGCGCGATCTGCGGTAGCGCAGACGTCTCGTTGACTCCGTGCATTTCTGACGTTCGCATTCACCGAACCAAAACGTCAAAGCCCATCGTTACTCCGATTTTTTTTAAAGATAAGGCCGCTAAAACAACCGTATTATCTTTATTCAGCGGCCGTGAGAACGCTTACCCCATGTGGGATGCGACTTGATGCTGCTTCAACAGCATCACCAGCAGCAGCAGCAGCGCGGTGCTGAACAGCCTCCAAGCCATTGCTGTTCGTTGACGGTGGTGGAGCAGGAGGAGGTGGTGGAGCAGGTGGTGGAGCAGGAGGAGGTGGAGCAGGTGGTGGAGCAGGAGGTGGTGGAGCAGGAGGAGGTGGTGGAGGAGCAGGAGGTGGTGGAGCAGGAGGTGTGGTGGAGCAGGAGGTGGAGCAGGAGGAGGTGGAGCAGGAGGAGGTGGAGCAGGAGGAGGTGGTGGAGCAGGAGGAGGTGGTGGAGCAGGAGGAGGAGGTGGTGGGAGGATGACGGACGGCGACGTTGCCGCTTTTTATACCGGCGGGTTCCGGAGTGGACCGCCCCGCCGCCGTCGCCTGTCACGTGCCGCGGGGCTGGCGGTGCAGCGGTCCTGGGCCCCCACTAGGTCGACTCAGCCTCAAAGAGTTGAGCAACCCGGTGCGACGTGGTGAGCATCGCCACTCGGGGAGACAAAGGCGGCCGGGCGTGGTGTTGGTCACCCCATTCGTGTGCCGTGCCGGCCTTCATAGGTGCTCGCTAACAGCACTTGCCCCTACAGTCTGTTAAGGCTACACGGGGGATCTTTGTGTGTGTGTGCAGGCGTGTGTGTGTGTATTGGTGTGTTTGTAGGCGTGTGTGTGTACTGGTGTGTGTGTGTGCAGGCGTGTGTGTGTGTAGGCGTGTGTGTGTGTGTAGGCGTGTGTGTGTACTGGTGTGTGTGTGTAGGCGTGTGTGTGTGTACTGGTGTGTATGTGTGCAGGCGTGTGTGTACTGGTGTGTGTGTGTGCAGGCGTGTGTGTGTGTGCAGGCGTGTGTGTGTACAGGCGTGTGTGTGTGTACAGGCGTGTGTGTGTGTACAGGCGTGTGTGTGTGTGTGTACTGGTGTGTGTGTGCAGGCGTGTGTGTGTGTACTGGTGTGTGTGTGCAGGCGTGTGTGTGTGTGTGCAGGCGTGTGTGTGTGTGGGTGTATACACGTGTGTGTGCAGGTGTGTGTGTGTAGGCGTGTGTGTGTGTGTAGGCGTGTGTGTGTACTGGTGTGTGTGTGTAGGCGTGTGTGTGTGTACTGGTGTGTATGTGTGCAGGCGTGTGTGTAGGCGTGTGTGTGTGTGCAGGCGTGTGTGTGTACAGGCGTGTGTGTGTGTACAGGCGTGTGTGTGTGTACAGGCGTGTGTGTGTGTGTGTACTGGTGTGTGTGTGCAGGCGTGTGTGTGTGTGTACTGGTGTGTGTGTGCAGGCGTGTGTGTGTGTGTGTGTGCAGGCGTGTGTGTGTGGGTGTATACACGTGTGTGTGCAGGTGTGTGTGTGTAGGCGTGTGTGTGTGTACTGGTGTGTGTGTGTGTACTGGTGTGTTTGTGTGTGTGCAGGCGTGTGTGTGGGGAGCGGTAGTGTAGCTGTTAGCGCGCTGCGCTATGAACCCGGCGACCCGGGTTCGATTCCCGCTCACGGCCAACACCAGTGACGATTATCTTAACCGGTCCCGGGCCTCCCCTAGGTCGACTCATCCTCAAATGAGTACCCGGTGCAGTGTGTAAACATTGCCACTGGGGAGACAAAGGCCTTCATAGGTGCTCGCTAACAGCACTTGCCCCTATATGGGGGAGGGAGGGTGGCGTTTGTGCACAGACTGCCCTACATAACATCATAACAACAGTCTGGACCACTGGGGTTCCGCAGGATTGGAAGGATGCCCTGGTGGTGGTCCCCCTCTTTAACAAGGGGGACGGCACAGACTGTAACAACTACAGGGGCATCTCACTCCTCAGTGTGCCGGGAAAGGTCCTGGCAAGGATTATTCAACATCGCCTTGCCAGGCTGAGGAGAGGCTTGCGGAGCCCCAATGTGGTCTTGTTGAATTCCAACAAGACCTACATCTCTGCTTTATTGACCTGGTCAAGGCCTATGATACCATCTGGGTTGTTCTTCGTGCTTTTGGAGTCCCTGACCCTCTGCTCACGATCATTAAGGACCTTGATGATGGTGAGCGGGCCCGGGTAAAACTACGTGGCCGGGAGTCAGAGCCATTCCCTGTACACCTTGGGGTGCGACAGGGATGTCCTCTGGCTCCCACATGATTTAACATCTATTTTGACCACGTAGTTCGTGAAGCCTTCAATAGCTGTACCGGGGGAATCTCCATATGGTACAAATATACTGGGAGGCTGATCGATGCCCGGGTGCGGTCAAGGGATGGCTCCCTATTGCTCAACCACGTTATGTATTAAATTTCGATTTAAAGCTTTCGTGACTGCAATGATTCATCTTCTTTGGTTCTTTCGGTAAAGTCACGTAGAATGAGAATAAAATTTATTATTCTCATTCTACGTGACTTTACCGAAAGAACCAAAGAAGATAAAATAAAATAAATTTTATCAATTTATTATTTTATTCTCATTCTACGTGACTTTACCGAAAGAACCAAAGAACACGTTATGTATGCTGATGATTTGGTAATAGCTGCTCATTCAGAGGAGGAGTTGGAGACGCTGCTGCTGAGACTGGAGCGTGCCACTAAGAGATGGGGCCTTACCATCAGCCCCACCAAAACTAAGCACCTGCCTGGGTATTTTGTACCATCGGACACTCCACCCCCACAACTCCCAATCGGTGATGGGGCAGTTGTGGAGAGAGTGGAGAGTTTCCCTTACCAGGGCAGTGTGCTTATGACCGGCTCCAGTTTGACAGCAGAGGTCTCACTCCGAATCAGTCGAGCGGCAATATCTTTTCATCGGTTGCGTAACGCTGTGTGGAAGCTACCTGGTCTGTCGCTCCGCACTAAGCTTCAGGTGTTCTCGGCCACGGTCATTCCCTCCCTTCTCTACGCTTGCGAAACGTGAACCCCCCTAATGGAACATCTTCGCCGGTTATAAACATTTAGGCTGGCCTGCCTACGATCCATCCTGGGTTTAACCAGGCTGGATTGTGTGAGGAGCTCACAAATCCTTGAAAGATCTGAGCAAGGTCCCATCGGTGAGCTCCTCCGCAGGCAAGGCTGCGATGGCTGGATCATGTAGCCCGCATGCCCAGCCACCGCATGCCGAAACAGCTTTTGTTCGGCCGGATTGAGGGGGCTAAACGGGCGCGGCACGGGCTAGAGAAGAGATGGAGTGATGTGGTACAGGAGGACGTGGAGCTGAGTGGATTTGCCGATGACCGGTACCAGCGGTGTCAAGATCGGCCTCTGTGGAGGAGGCTCGTGAAGGACGCTGCTGGGCAGTTGGAGGCAGTCGCCCTCCAACAACAACGGAGGGCGGAGGGGCGACGCTCACAACAACGAGCGGAGCGCCGGGTGGCTAAAGCACAGCAGGTTGGCACAGTAGGGGGCACAGGTGGTGCATCAGCCAGTCATCTCAGTCAGTCGACCCGTGGCAACTGGGTCTGCCCTGTGACCTCCTGCCAGCGGGCGTTCGACTCTTCACGTGGCCTCAAGGTGCACATAGCCTGGCACAAGCGTCGTGGTGACGTCACCGCCACTTAGTGGCGAATGGTGGTTGTTGTTGTGTGTGTGTGTACTGTGTGCGCGTGTCGACGGTCATTCAGTGTGTCGGATGCTGAGTTCCGATATCATCTGCGGCTGCTACGGCGCGCAGTGATTTACAAACACGCTATGCAACGAACCCACCCCCCCAGTTCAATTTTCCGCTCACGATCAACAACAACAATAACTTTTGATTTAAAGCTTTCGTGACTGCAGTAATTCATATTCTTAGTTCTTTCGGTAAAGTCACGTTGAAGGGAAACAATAAAATAATAAAACGTCGTGAGAATTTTTATTGTTTTATATATTTTATTATTTTATTGTTTCCCTTCAACGTGACTTTACCGAAAGAACTAAGAATATGAACAACAATAACAACAAGAGTGAACGAGAAATGTGGACCTGTCCTCTGGGCCTCCCCCCGTGGCCCGGTGTGTAGTAAACATCGTCACTGGGTCTGTCCCACCAATCCCTCCCTCGTGTGACATCGTCTAACAAGCAGCACTTGCCCAGACAGCCCGCGAAAGGCTATTTACGGGCCGGGGGATCTTTGTCTTTGTTGTGCGTGTCACCCTTGAGTGGCAGTGACACCCCTGCGGTGGAAATTTACCTCGATTCACGATTCACAACACCACATATGATGGGGGGCAATGGGGCGAAATACACACACACAGCCCCACGACCAATGTCAAGACTAACTCTCTTCCATATACATGGGCGAATCTCTGATCGGTGATTTCGTGTGTGGGGTGTTCGATGTTATCGTATTACCACTCACCGCGGCTCGGGCTCCGATACACCACCAACCCCCCTCCCCTCCCCACGGGGATAGTGGCGATGTCTGTTGGTGCTGGAATAAACAAAACTTGGCATTACCCGACCTGCCAGAGGCTTCCAGAAGCCCAGCGTTTAGAGAAATGAAAGTGTTCCCACCCCTAACAACTCGCCATCTCTGCGGCACGCAAGTCATCACTATAACACGTTAGTCATCACTGTAACACGTTAGTCATCCCTCTAACACGTTAGTCATCCCTATAACACGTTAGTCAACCCTGTAACACGTTAGTCATCACTGTAACACGTTAGTCATCCCTATAACACGTTAGTCATCCCTAGAACACGCAAGCCATCCCTATAACACGTTAGTCATCCCTATAACACGTTAGTCATCCCTCTAACACGTTAGTCAACCCTGTAACACGTTAGTCATCCCTATAACACGTTAGTCATCCCTATAACACGTTAGTCATCCCTGTAACACGTTAGTCATCCCTATAACACGTTAGTCAACCCTGTAACACGTTAGTCATCCCTATAACACGCAAGCCATCCCTATAACACGTTAGTCATCCCTATAACACGTTAGTCATCCCTATAACACGTTAGTCAACCCTGTAACACGTTAGTCATCCCTATAACACGTTAGTCATCCCTATAACACGTTTGTCATCCCTGTAACACGTTAGTCATCCCTGTAACACGTTAGTCAACCCTGTAACACGTTAGTCATCCCTATAACACGCAAGCCATCCCTATAACACGTTAGTCATCCCTATAACACGTTAGTCATCCCTCTAACACGTTAGTCAACCCTGTAACACGTTAGTCATCCCTATAACACGTTAGTCATCCCTATAACACGTTAGTCATCCCTGTAACACGTTAGTCATCCCTGTAACACGTTAGTCAACCCTGTAACACGTTAGTCATCCCTGTAACACGTTAGTCAACCCTGTAACACGTTAGTCATCCCTGTAACACGTTAGTCATCCCTGTAACACGTTAGTCAACCCTGTAACACGTTAGCCATCCCTGTAACACCTTAGTCATCCCTGTAACACGTTAGTCAACCCTGTAACACGTTAGTCAACCCTGTAACACGTTAGTCATCCCTGTAACACGTTAGTCATCCCTGTAACACGTTAGCCATCCCTGTAACACGTTAGTCAACCCTGTAACACCTTAGTCAACCCTGTAACACGTTAGCCATCCCTGTAACACGTTAGTCATCCCTGTAACACGTTAGTCATCCCTGTAACACGTTAGTCATCACTATAACACGTTAGTCATCCCTGTAACACGTTAGCCATCACTATAACACGTTAGTCATCCCTGTAACACGTTAGCCATCCCTGCAGCACGCACGCCGGCTGAGCAGAGATCGCGACCCCGGGTTTTGGCAGAAGTAACCGTGGGACATTTGGGAGGCAAAGACGTCCCCGGGGTGTGCGAGGGGCCGGACCACCACACCATCACCGATATGCGCCTTGCCGGCCTTAATAGGTGTTCGCTAACAATACTTTGCCGTAGCAATAGCGTGCTTAGTGGTTTCATAACTACGACTTCCGTCCGTGTTACCTTACCCTTTCGCAAGCAATACAACCCCATAAACAAATGCTGTGCTCGTTTGCGGTAGCAGCGTGGGAAGTAAAATCAGATTATGAAGGAAAACAATAGGCGAAACAGGAACAAGCTGCTACATCAGATCCATGAGATATGGTGGCTACGACTTGGAAGACAGATTTATCCAGCAGTGGTTTGATCATGGCTGCTAATGCTGATGTAAGTATGAATTATAATAATACTATAATTAAAGTCACGTAGGTATAAAATTAAATAAATTATTATACCTACGTGACTTTACCGAAATAACCAAAGGGTATGGATCATTGCAGTCACGAAAACTTCAAATCTAGATTAATACTATAATTATCACGGGCACCAATATCATCTCAATCGTCAGTGGTAACAGCAGAAATGCCCTGAGCAGCAGCAGCAGCATGAGTGAGTGAATATATAGAATCGACAATGAAGTATAATACTGGTAGGAACCTCCTGGTTACTACACCAGCCCACAGGGGATTATTGTGTCCGTCCGTCCGTCGTGCATCCAAAAATGGGAGGGGTGGGGCTGGGTGGGGAGGGGCTGGGTGGGGCTGGGTAAGGAGGGGCTGGTCACCCCGTGTGCCCGCCCTCACAGTCGGGCATATTTGGGGAATACACCACGTGGTGCCGCCGTTGACCCTAGCCATTGACCGAGCAACCCAACGTTCCTACCAGCTCCCACCGCAGGAATGTGTTTCTGAACAATCCATAGTGGAGTGCAATCTGCGAGAGAATTTACAGCTGTAGATCGAGGAACACACTTTCGCCACTAGGGGACGCTATAGTTATATAAAACGACTTAAGGGCAATACCGCCCCCCCCCCCCGCCTGTGATGAACCTTCCATCATTTCCCACCAGGAGCCAATTCGTCCTTCTTGCAAACCACCATTCATTTCCTACAAAGTGGTACTAATTTTATCTCACTCCACAGGAATGATGATGATGATGATAGAGGGCTGAGTTGACCCATGACCGGTGGCTGATCTCAAAACTTCCCACGGAGGATGGAGGTGGGGGGCGGGGTGATTAAAAATACGGCTCACTAAATTTGAAGCTTTTTTTTTAAATAGGACCCGAAATTAATATATACAACGAATCAATCCATTTGGTTGGTAAATATCAACAAAAACAATTGTAGTTGTTTCATGGGGTGGTGGGTGGGCGGACCAAAGGATGTTGATCACGTGGAGATTTCAGAAACTCCCAAACCCGCTGGGCTGCGAGGTGGTGGCCAGAAGGTACAGCAAGTGGGATCGTGACCTTATCTGTGTGGCAGAACTTTGAGCCTTACCCTTTCGTACACGTGGTGGTGGGTTTTGGATTCTTCAATCCATCCGGTGCGGGGGTATGTTTCAGAGAAAGAGACGTGCAAACTCCAAGTATACAGGGGTCAGGGTGGAGAACCAAACCCACGACATCCTGTATACTAGGCGAGGTCGTTAAACATCTCGCCACCGCTGCACCTCTTCTGGTCTTTCATTGTAATTTCAAGCATCCACCCCCTCGGTGCTTCTTGGCGCACTTTAACGTTTAAATCGTGGTCCATGTTTGTTAATGGCCGTGTTTCTGATCACCACTTACGACCTCGTAGAATCAAACAATAGCCAATAACAATATACAGATCGTTTGTCAATCCACTGCTGGATGAGACCCACGCGCCACGCCGTGTCGGTCGTTCGTGGGGGTTGCATGACCATACTTCACCAGGCTGGTCGGTGCGGATTCGTGACCGGGAGGGGATTTGATTTGAGTGAGGAGAGTCGCTCAATACAGGTTTATTCACCGTGGCTAGGAGTCAAACTCAGGTGCTGAAGGTGACAGTGCATGGCGTGGCTCGTTGGTCTAGGGGTATGATTCTCGCTTCGGGTGCGAGAGGTCCCGGGTTCAAATCCCGGACGAGCCCATTATCTTATATTTTTTTTACTATCGGCGTTACTTTACGAATATGTAGAGCTTATGCACGCACGCACACACGATACGTTTTAATAAATACAAGTTATATCTTCTTTACAACTTTCGTAGCATCGGAAGACTTTTTAAAATAAAACAAAATAAAATTCTCCAACCAGTGTTGTGGCGATGTGGGCGTGCACTATCACACCCCTCCCACCCCCTCCGGCCCGTGGGCACCAGCGCAGTTACACCGCCTGCACACTCGATAGCTGTACGCCACCGCCTCCAGCATGCCGGCAGAAGTGAGCTTTACTCAAACTGTATTGTTATAGATTATTGATTAATTCAAGTTCAACGTACATACATATGTAATGACAGTAAAGTCGACATGCGGGGTGAGTGGACTAGTGGCCACGGGAGGTAATGACATGGGAGTCAGCTTCCAGTGCGAAGGAACTAGTGGCCACGGGAGGTAATGACAGGGGCATCAGTTGTGAGTACGAAGGGACTGGTGGCTATGGGAATGATCGAGAAGGGGGGCGTGGTCAGGTGACGGAAGAGGACGGTAGAGTCTGCCGGTGGAGCGAGCGTCCAGAGTCAGTGAGAAGGTTCGGGAAGGGGGGGCGTGGCCTCGTGTCGCTATATAAGGGGGAGATGCGCGGGAGACTCGGGGCTGTTGCAGTGGGGGTCTCCGCCTATGTCAAGTGAACGTGTCTTCAATAAAGTGCCATCTCAAGAGAAGTGTGTGAAGTCGTCATTTCCCATACAAGAAACGTGTTACACTCGTATCTGTAGTACAACTTTAATGGTGCGGTTTGTTGCTGGCCGCTTGGCGTTTCGGGGCCTTCGGGCCTCTGCTCAGCATCCGTGATTTTTATGTATCTCGATTTTATATATTTACATATATAGATAACGAAAGATGATGTTCTGTCTCTCTCCCCCTCCTCTGTTCCGACCATGGATGGACTCATCCGTCTGAACGGGGCCCGTAGCTATCCGTGGTGCTAAAGTTGAGGGCGCTTTGTTTCCTCTCACAGAGCTTAAAGGTCGTGATCTGAACGTGGCTCTTTCACTCCAGCGCTGTCCTACCAGACAGTCTCGTCCCTTCACCTGATGAAGGCCGCTTGTGTTGTGGCCGAAACGTCGTGAGAATATTATTGTGTTATTTTATTTTATCAATTTATTATTTTATTCTCATTCTACGTGACTTTACCGAAAGAACCAAAGAAGATGATGTTCTCTTTATGATTCACTCCCAGTTCACTTTCCCCGTTCATCTGAGCACGCACCCGGCTGAACGTTCGGGGTCGGGCGAATCAGTTTTCATTCCGCTGAAACACAAATTAGTTCCACTGCAACAGACGGCCGCCTCATTTCGGAAAACGAAATGTATTCCACGTAAAGTAAATGTTCATTAAAATCCAAACAAACGGATCAAAAAGGAAATATACATCAAGGAATCATCAACAATTATTTACAAATGTACATATTGAATGAACACAAAAATGTTCTGACATTTTTTGGGGGGGACAGGGTGGGTGACAGGGGTGGGGGGGGGGGTCAGGGTTAATGGCTCCTCGTCCCCCCCCCCACCTCTTTTATCCGCGCAACTTTATACAACGCATTGCCATGTGGTTCTCCCACCCTCCCCTCCTCCTCCACCGGCATCGCCGCGAGATATTCATCTTCAACACATAGCACACCATGAGAGAGGGTGGCAACCCCCAGCTGGCTGTGGAGCGCCGGGGAATCCCACGCTTCGATCGTCGACGTTCCGCGCCCGCGCGCAGTCTTCAGTCCGAACTTTCCAAGCCCTGCGCCGCCGCCGCCGCCGCCACTCGCTCGAAGATCTGGTAAACGACGGCCCCCGGCACGCAGCCTTCTCGCAGGATGCGGATTCCGACTGCGGGACAAGACAACGACGGTGCCGTAGCATGGATACCGTGCAGGAGAAACGTAATGTTATCGCCGGAGGTGAACGCCCGCCCCGCGCTCACGCAAGGCGATTTTGAACGGACGAGTTCAACGCGTTTGGGCTCAGCTTTCGCGGCCGGAAATCACGACTTTTGGATTTTGATCGCGTGAGTTAATATATTACGTCGTAAAACCCTCCTCCACCCGACACGGCAAATTAATAGAGTTGTCTGTCACGTGGTGAACAAACGTGGCCCCATGTATGGTAGCACCGCTTCAGCAGCAGCAGCAGCACAACATTTTAATGGGCACGACGCTTCACTGATAGTTACAACCAACATCGTCAGGTAGTTGCCAGAATGTCGTAATAAAAGACGAAGGTGATACACTTATAACAACAAAAACAAAGATGCCCCATATAGCCTCGCACACTGTTGTGGCAAGTGCTTTAAGCGTGCACGCATGAAGGCCAGCACAGCACACAAAGGGGTGGGGGTCCAGCATCACGCACGGCCGCATTAAGTTAATAGAAGTCGACTTCAAATCGACATTTTTGTTTTAATTATCGTTTTCTTCCCTGCGCATTACGTTAGCCTGAGTCGACTTCGGGGAAGCCGAGGACCGGTTCAGATAATCGTCACCGGTGTTAGCCGTAAACGGGAATCGATCTCGGATCGCCGAGTTCATAGTGCAGCAAACTCACCACACTACACGGCCGTTCCCCACACGGACACACGCAAAGACAAAGATCCCCCATGTAGACTTTAACAGACTGTCGGGGAAAGTGAAATCAGCAAGCAACCATTATTCTCGGCTTGGCGCACGGGTGGGAAGTGTGGCCAACGCCACAGCGCCCGGCCGCCTTTGTCTCCCCCGGCTCGATGCAGTCGCTCGCACGCAGACACACGCGGACCACTCACTGCCGTCGATGTCGAGGCAGTTGACCACGGTGGACGCCACCGTCTCGTTGGAGTCTCCGTCGCACAGAACCCCGTCCAGCTTGTCGCCCAGGCGCCTGCGGGGGCCGGCGAGAGAGACTCTCACCACGGAGCGGAGCGAGCGCGGCACAGACCCACTCCGGCGGGTACTGCCGCCGTGAGTGTGTGTTGTGGTGGTGGTGGTGGAGGTGGTGGAGGTGGTGGTGATGGTGGTAGAGGTGGTGGAGGTGGTGGTGGAGGTGGTGGTGGTGGAGGTGGTGGTGGAAGTGGTGGTGGTCGAGGTGGTGGTGGTGGTGGTGGAGGTGGTGGTGGTGGTTGTGGCTGCTGCGTCCTTGTTGCCCTGCTGCTCACCGGATGACCATGTCGTGGTGGGTGCTGTCGGGCTCCCCGCTCGGGTTGGCCGAGGTGATGGCGATGGGCCCGGTCATGGACACGAGGTGCGACGCCACGGTGCTGTCCGGCACGCGGATCATGATGCTGTCCGCTGTGCCCACCAGGTCGTACGCTTCCCCCACACCTGGACACACGGAGGTAGGGAGGGGTGGGGGAGGTCAGTACAGCAACAAGGACAGCAGCAAGAGTAGAAACAGCGGGAGCAGAAACAATAAAATAATCTATGAGCGGTAGCAGCAGCTTCAGCAGCGACATCAGTGACAGCAGCAGCAACATCAGTGATAGCATCATCATCAGTGATAGCATCATCATCAGTGATAGCATCATCATCAAAATCAGCAGCAGCGTTATCAGACTGAAAACCACTGCTGCCACTATCATCATCGTCATCATGAACATCACCATCAAAGCCACCTCCATCATGACCACCATCATCATAACCATCTCCTACTATCATTATTCTACAATCATCATCATCATTATTATCATAACCAGCAGCACCATCAGCATCGGCCACCGGCAACCGCGCGTCGCGAGACTCATCGGCAGTGCAGGTTACCGAGGCGCAGCAGCCAGTCCCCCTTGGGCACGATGCAGCTGATGCCCCCCGGGTAGACGCCGCTCATGAACTCCCAGAGCAGGGGGCTGAAGGGGGGGCGCACGGACGCGAGCTGCTCCAGGCTCGAGATGCAGATGCACACCGGCTTCTCCTGGGGCCGGTCCTGCAGGCGGGGGGGGGGGGGGGGGGGGGTGCGGGGGGGGGGGGTGCGGGGGGGGGGGGGTGTGCAGGGGGGGTACAAACAGAACAGAGAACCATTTAATAATCTTTGCTCGCGGGTCACCAGTGTAGGACCCCACCCCCTCTCCACCCCTCCCCTCGCCCCCTAAAGTTCTACTGTGGGGGAGTGGGGGAGTGATCTCGTCCAGCGCGGGTACCCAGAGAGTGCTGCGATCACCACAGGAGTACTCTGATCACGTCACGAGCCCTGTGCGAGTAGCTAGAGCAGGGCTGGGCAGCCTGTGGCTCCCGCGTGCGACTCTACCGACACTGAGCCGCCTTTTGTTGTTTTGCCGAATTCTAAACAAATTTCTCTTCTCGACATTCTCCGGTTTGCCAACCCGTGACCTCGAGCCTAGACGGCGGTAGGTGCCGTTACCCCCGCCGCGTTCTACGAGTAACCCACCACCTCCTCGAGTACCTTGATGGCGTAGATGCGCTCGATGGCCCCCGGGTGTCGGCACGAGGCGGCGAGCGCGTACACGGTGTCCGTGGGGACCCCGCACACCGACCCTCGCCCCAGCAGATCCGCGATCTCGCGCAGGCCGCTCGTGCGCCGCGACACGGGGGTCACGCACGGGGGGGCCGCGGGGTCGCGGGTGGCACGGGTCTGTCGGGGGGGAGAGGGGGCGCATGGGGGGTGAGGAGAGGGGGGCACGGCGCATGCGAAGTGATTCATTCGTTACAATCGAATCATTCATTAATTTACGAATTCATCATCCATGACTCATTCATTAAATCAATGAAGACAGCGAGCTTTTTTTGCACGTCCAAGGACGGGTGTATATCGCAGTAAATCTGAAATATTCAATTTAAAATTGTTCAGCTCATGATTATTAATGAGGGGGGGGGTTGCCCCATGTGGAGTGACGTCAACCCCTCATGGTTATTGTGGAGGGGTGCGGCATGTGGAGTGACGTCACCTGCACATGATTATTAATGAGGGAAGGGGTGCGGCATGTGGAACGACGTCACCCGCTCATGATTATTGTGGAGGGGTGCGGCATGTGGAGTGACGTCACCCCCTCATGATTATTAATGAGGGAAGGGGTTCGGCATGTGGAGTGACGTCACCCGCTCATGGTTATTGTCGAGAGGTGCGGCATGTGGAGTGACGTCACCCGCTCATGATTATTGTGGAGGGGTGCGGCATGTGGAGTGACGTCAACCCTCATGGTTATTGTGGAGGGGTGCGGCATGTGGAGTGACGTCACCCGCTCATGATTATTCATGAGGGGAGGGGTTCGGCGTGTGGAGTGCGCGACCTTCTTGCGCGTTAGTGTCAATTTCCACACGGGCATGAATATTAATGAAGGGGGGGGGGGTCTCTTTTGCAGTGACGTCACGTACGGATGAAGCACTGTCCTGCGTAGATTTATTTTTTACCGTCACTTTCTGTAAAGAAACGTCATATTTGAAGCGACTTTGCGTAATAAATTATTAAATTCAGCTCGACCTTCCTCTGTGTTCGTGTAAAAATCCACCCACTCATGATTATTAATGAGGGGGGTGGGCCTCATGTGGAATGACGTCACGCGAGGGACGGACAGACATTTCTGGGTGATTATATTAGGTAATGTGAAATGGGTTTGGCACAGCCTACAATGGGCACTGTCTCCATTTCTAGCATGTTGTATTTCTCTATCCCCTGTCCCTGTGTCTCCTTGCCCCCATTTCTCCGTGTCACTCTGTCCCCGTGTCTCGCCGTGTCCCCGTGTCCCCGTGTCTCCCCATGTCCACGTGTCGCTATGTCGCCCCGTGTGTCCCCATGTCTCCCCGTGGCGTCCCGCTCACCCGCAGCAGGGCGCGTCCCAGGGGCAGCAGCTGCCTCTCGAAGACGCAGTTCGACACCGATGCGAGTGCCCCGTACGCACAGCTGAGCGCCAGCAGCGCCAGCATCACGTCTGGGGAGGGCGGCGGGAGGTGTGAGTGATGACCCGTGGTGATGGGTGACCAGGGAAGCTCATTGATGATCAGTGATGAGTACGTATCGTCGTTTTTGCATTGCTCCCTTACTGTCAAACACATGTCGCGACTTGGCAAGCCGGTGCCGTGTACGCCTTGTGCCACACAGGGACAGCTGCCACTGTGGGTTCCCTTGGCTAAATTTGCTACAGGGCAAATGGATGGTTGAGATGAGATAAGGCGCTTTGAGATTCCGATGGATTTAAGCACGCATCATTTTGCGCGCACATCTTCATCGGCGAGACTGGGATAACTGATGACAAGTGGTGGTGAGCAATGGTCAGCGATGGTCGGCGATGGTCAGCGACGTTCATCATCGACAAGTGATCAGTGATGTGCGGAGATCAGTTGTGTTGATGGATGTTGTCTTTACGGGTGCACTGATAGCTGTGTCATTGACATCATCTTCATCGTCCTCACCCTCTAGTGGTTGGGGGAGGCTCTTGAGTGTGAAGAGGAGGAGGCAGATGACAAGGATCTGCATGACGAGCGTGTGGAAGAGGAGGACGAGGTTCCCATACGCGGCTGTGGTGGCGGGGGGGGGGGGGAATCGGGAAGATAGGGGTCACGGGGTCACAAGACAGCGTTTGCATTATTCCACCGCAACATCACCTCGAGGAAAAGTGCAGTGCTTCTTTACGATGCGTTCTGTATAGGAATCTTGTGGTCGAGCCACGGGGGCGCGATCAGCGAAGGAGCTTAAAGGTCGTGATCTCAGCGTAGCTTTCTCACTCCAGCGCTGTCCTCCAGACAGTCTCGTCCCCTTCGCCTGATGAAGGCCGCTTGTGTTGTGGCCGAAACGTCGTGAGATTATTATTGTGTTATTTTATTTTATCAATTTATTATTTTATTCTCATTCTACGTGACTTTACCGAAAGAACCAAAGAAGATGAATCCTTGCAGTCACGAAAGCTTTAAATCGAAATATTTACATTTTATTTTTTAAACACAACAAAACAATTTGTAGAAAAGTATTTTTTATTAGAAAAATAATTTCCCATCTCCAGCAGCTTGGTGGGGTGTCGCCCCAACGCCCCTAGTGGACGAACCGCGCCTGAAGGAGACTTCCTATCCAGTGCCAGTGTCCACTTACCCACAAGTATCAAGAAGGTGTTGATGACGAGCGCGGAGATCGCTCCTGCCATGAAGCCGTCAATATCATTATCAGGGACCTGGAGTGGGGATCCTGGAAAACCATCATCAATAATCAACATCATCATCATCACCGTCAATATACTCGACGTCACCATGTTGTTGAGGCTCTGAGATCTGTCTTCCACTAAGATCGCACCGAATTCCTTACGAATCTGCAGGCCTGACCGTCAGAATCAGAGATCACAACACACATTCTTCCACCTAACAGTGGCAATAGGGGCAGCGCTGCAAGTGACACTTTTTAATGGATTTAACGAGTGATTTGGAATCGCGGACAACTGTGGCAATTTCCTTGTCTTCATTTTTGCATGTCAAGGATATGGACTTGCATTTGCTGTTCCATCACTATATAGTCCAGCAGATGTTCTATTTTGTGATTGGGTATCCGCCCAAGATGTGGAAACATTAGTGATGCAAAAGCGTGTTGGCGATTACAAGCCCATTGGCTGCACAAACATCTGGTAGCCTCCTATTGCTCTTGTTGAGATGATCTGTCCCACGCCTTCCAATCACTTCTACAAACGTGCTAGCATTATTATCCGCTCAGGAAATAAAGTAACCGAATAGATAACTGTGTTCCACGGGACAACTTTGGCCAACAAGCTGAGACAGCAGATCACACATGACATTTTCCTCATCAGCCTTGCCTGTGTCCCTCTACATATGTTAATCTACAGTGGGGGTATAGGCCACCCCCCAGCCTCCTGTTGATTCCTCGCCTCGGGTTGATTGGGAGGTGATCACCACCGCTCACCCGCCAGCCGCAGCCAAGTCCACACAGCCCAGAAGGCCGCGTAGCAGAAGGGCATCACGGATCCGCTGGACGCCGGGCGCAGGAGTCCAACCCGGGCCACGAACAGCTGCAGCAGAGCCCCGGGCAGCAGCACCCAGGGCAGGGAGAGGCGAGCGCGGAGCGGCTCCGTCGAGTGCAGCGCGGACATCGCGGCCACGCCGTTGCACAGGTAGAACGCGGCGTCTGACAGCTGCGCCATGGAGGGGCCGGGCTGGTTGTTGCCCGCCTCGTTGTTGCTTCCGCTGCTGCTGCTGCTGCAGCAGGACCTGCGGAGCGCGCCCAGGAAGGCCCGCAGGCGCTGCGTGGTGAGGGGCACGGCTCCGATGGGGACGAGCGGCTTCTCGGCGATGGAGTTGATGAGCCGGGCGAACGTCGCGTACAGGCTCACGGCGGCGTGCGCGCAGCACGCGGCGCCCAGGAACGCGTAGCGCGCCCTCGCCGGGATCTGCGGGATGGCCGCCACGGCGAGCAGCGCGAAGGTCGAATTCTCGGCGGTCTCCAGGACGTCCCTGTCCAGCGACACGAGCAGCAGCACGACCGCCGCCACCAGCAGGAACCAGTCGCCCACCATCGCCAGCTGCGCCGAGTCGAGCTTGCCCGTGCCCACCACGGTGGACACCACGAATTCTTGCCACGCGTGCACCAGCCAGAAGACGCAGCGCAGCACCGACTTGGCCCCGTGGTACGCGTCCTCGCGCAGGAACGCGTAGTAGGCGGCGAGCAGCTGCGGCCCGGAGTTGACGCTGAGCCAGAGCGCGCCCACGGTAAACGTGTGCGGGAAACCGAAGCAGTAGAAGGCGAGGATCACGGCGGCGACGGCGTCGCAGAGACAGCAGAGCGCCATGGGCTCGGCGTACTTGGTGTTCTTCTTGCGCTCGTTGCCACCCGCGCCGCCACCGCCTCCACCGCCTCCACCGCCGCTGCCGCTCGCCGCCCTGCCGGTACCCAGCAGCAGGACGTTAAAGAGCGCGTTGCCGAAGCCCGGCAGCACGTAGCGCTGCGTGATGCCCTTGAGCAGCAACGCCACGGAACCGTAGAGGCCCGCCGCGAGGATGATCATCTCAAAGAAGCCCGCCACTGGGGCCGCCCAACCAAGCGGGTACGCGGCCAGCACGGCCTCGAACACCAGCACGATCGTGATGGTGCCGAACACGGGCGGCATGATGTAGTTGGCGGTGGCGGAGCAGAAGGCGAGGATGGCCGACACACAGATGTACGCCACGAGGCTCGCCACGGCAGTGTGTGACACTTCTATGGTCGGTTCCGTCGTGTTGCTGATGACTATCATGCCGTGATCGTACACGAGACTAGTGATATTGGAGGGGTTGGTGGCAGCGGCGGTGGTCATGGCGCCGGAGATGATTCGGGATGCTCCGAAGCCGCTCCAGAGTGCGGCGAAGGCCAGGAAAGCCGTGCCGCCCAGATGGTCAAACTTGCGGAAGGTCAGGAGGCCGGACACCAGCTGCGTCATGCCGCCAATGAGGATCAGGTGCACGCCTGGAGATGTGGAGGAAAGGGAGGAGAGATGGCGAAAGGTGAGAGACGAGTGGGGGATGAGGGCAGAGTTGGGATGTTGTGTGGTTGAAGGCATTGTGTGGCGACACAATTGTTGGTTGAGCATGTGACAAGTGTTGCAGACTTTCGTGGTTCCAAGCCCGGCAGCCGTCCTGGTTAACACTGCAGATGTATTAACCGTACATATATACACCACTATCTGTTTTACAGATTATGTGATGTAAACAAAAAATAGACTATGAGTGATACACGTAGGAGGCTTTCACGACCAATATTATTCATGATAAAGATTTTTGGGTTAGACCGTGTAAGTATAATTGTGTTGTAACCCTCCACCACCCGACACAGCCAATTAGTTGGGGAGTAAATCCGCAACAATTCAAACACACCGGTGGGCTGAAGTGGTAACTAATTGTCGTTTTGTTTACGTGACAAATCCCTTACTAATTGGCTGTGTCGAGTGGTGAAGGGTTACAACACATTTATACTTACGCAATATAAACCAAACACCTTCATTATGACTATGCGTGATGATTTCATGGTCCAAATTTACTGAATTTTGAAAAATTTCCCACGAGCATGGATACAAAATAGTCACTGTCATATCTTGAGAATTCCAAATAAGTATTTTTTGGGGGAGGCCTATTTAATTGGAAGTTTTTAGGCCCGCCCATTCATTTTCACAAGCCCCGCCCCTTCATGTTTGTGCCCCACCCCTTCCTGTTTGGGCCCCACACCTTCCTCTGGACATGGGTTTTTGTTGAAAGGCAATATCGATTTTTTTCCCCTGTTAGACTTGGCAACTCTGGGCAAAAGCAAAGTTAATTTGAGTGAGAGACAGCGTGAGTGTGGTGGGGGTGGTGGAACGAGGGGGGAGCGTGCTCGCACAGCAAGAGGTAGTTGTGAGCGGGGACCATAGGGGTAGAGGTGAGAGGGATGTTGGTCATCATGACGCCGTAGAAGCTCTACCTATTGTCCACCCCCACCCCTACTGTCTCCAGTCACCCCTACCATGCCAACCCCCTCCACTACCTCCTGCTACACGCACACAGTCTATCCCCGCACCTCCAGCACTACCCACTCAGCTGTCTCTCCGTCAAGTCAACTTGGCTTTTAGCACAGAGTTGCGGCGAAGTCTCGTGGCAGAATAAAAAGCCCGTGTCCGGAGGAAGGGTTGGGGCCTAAAGAGAACCGGTGTTGCCAAAACCGGAACGGGGTGGGGCCTCAAGAGAAAGGGCGGGGTCTAAATATGAGTTGGGCCTGGTGAAAACACATTTGTATATTGAGGAGTGTTTCAACCATGAACCTCCCTTGTTATTTAAAGGAAATAAAAGCGTGTAATCTATAAACTAAAACAACAACACTGTATTTTATTTCACCAGATAAGTGGCTCATCATGTGAACATTTAAAGTAGCTCTTTGCCCCAGAGGGCTTCGCTGAGTTTTGAGACTCATTTAGAGGAGGGACCTGCTTCATTGTAAAGTCTGACCCTATCGCTAAGACATGGGTCAACCAGGCTCTGATACTATAGTATATGTAACTTATATTAAATATATGTATTTTACCAGATAGGACCCACTGAGCTCTATAGCTATTTTACAGAAGCGACCTGACCACAAATGATTGCTCAACGAAGAGGCTTATCACGTGAAAACGTACTGCAGACAAATACTCTAAAACGCATGTTCCTAAATGTGTAGGGGAAAACCGGAGGACTCGGAGGAAAAACTAGGCGACCACGGGGAGAACATGAAAATTATAAATATACAGGCATCAGGGTCGGGATCGAACCCGCGACCACCTGTATAACCAGGTGAAGTAGTTAACATTTCGTCACTGTGGCGGCCCATAAATAAGTGCAGCTGGCAGAAAAAAAAACTATGCCATAAATACGACCACGGGCCAACGAGTATCCTAAATCTCACCGGGGCATCCCAGCTCTAATGAATGATAAGTCCTGTACGGTACATCACGTGAGATCATTGCTGCAGTTGAATACTGGCCCGAGACGGGGTGGTACCTCCTTTACAGAAATAAAACAAAATTGTCAAAATATAATTTCAACCTTTTGTCATTTCGCTGCTGTTCACGCAGTGTAGGGGGGTGGGCGGAGGGTGGTTTGACCATACTTCACCACGCTGACCAGTGCATATTGGTAAAGGTTTGGAGTGTGTGACCAGGATCGGTTCAGAAATCGTACGCCACTGATGTTAGCCGTGGCCGGGAATTGAACTCCGTTCGCGGGGTTCATGGCAGCAGTGAGCGAACTCGCAAGATGTGTCGACACAAAGCCAATAATTTTACATTTGCAACAAAAATTCTGTTCTGCAGCATGCATTTGATCGTCTTTCATGAAGCCTGTGATCACAACGCATTATATGTTAAATTGTTTTCTGTTTTTTCATCTTTGCCGTACCACCATCAATCGCCATGTGAATGATCAACCGCAAAAGGCACCACCTCCTCCTCCGTCATTACCGTTTGGTCATAATGACCCCTATAACTTCGTCATCGTAATCATCATCGTCTTCGTTAATTGCATTACATCCACCACGGCCACCTCTAAACCATCATTCAAAGAAAATTCGCCATCGTCGTTGACGCCAAATTCACGATCAACATCGTCGTCGTCATGATTAAAACTGCCACCACCAACATCATCAACTATGATCAACATCATCACCACCATAATGATCACAACCATCGCCACTACCATCAGCAAGACCACCTGCAGCATCATCACCATCGTCATTAATTTAACTACCCCTCCAAATTACGATCGTCCTCATCATCATCATCATCGTTTCAACCACTTCTTCCATCAGCGCGATTGTGGTCATGGGGGGCGTAGCGAGGTGTGACATGGGCCCTCGTGCAAGGAATCTTACCTCGTATCATTTTATAATTATAGAGCCCCCTTTGATCAAGGTGCTTCACGTGATTAAAAAAAAAACCCGGTATGAACAAAAACATGCTGTTTTGACATGGTAGGGGGCGTGGAAAGGATGAGGAAGGGGTGACCACGATGGCGGGTGCATCGTAGGGGTGAGGAAATAGGAGGGGAAGGAAGAAATGGAGCGGCGGGGTGTGGGTGGGGATGAGGGCAGTGTGTGTCAGTGTAACGGCACAATTGTTTAAAATGTAAAACTTTCCCGCACACTACTCAATTGGGTTTATACATACAGCTATAATTGTCGCCCCCCCCCCTACTGGCAGACTAATGTCCCAGGTCACTCTTGCAAATGAGACTCATCGTGGTCTCTTGAGGTCTCACCTGGTTAAGCAAAATAAAGTTGATAATAAAAACAACCTCCATCATCATCGCCATCATGAACACAACAATCCACACGATCATTGTCATTCAACCGCCTCCATCATCATCATTATCAACACTTCCACAGCCACCATCATTATTAACATCATCACCATCGTAAACCCACCTCCGCGATCATCGTTATCAATCAAAACCACCAACATCATTGTCATGAAACCATCTCAATCATAAAGATCATCATTAAAACCACCTTCATCGTCATCATCGTCATCAACAAAACAATCCATACGATCATTGTCATTCAACCGCTTCCATCATCATCATCATTAAAACCACTTTCACAATCACCATCATCATCACCATCGTAAACCCACCCCTACGATCATCGTGATCAATCAAAACCACCAACATCATTGTCATGAAACCATTTCCACCATCATCATTAAACCACTTCCAAAGCCACCATCATTATTAACATCATCACCGTCGTAAAACCCACCCCCACGACCATCGTTACCAATCAAAACCACCAACAACATCATTGTCATGAAACCACCGCTGTAATTATGCTCATCATTAAAACCACTTTCATTCGCATCGCCACCACCTCCCCCCCGTACCGGACAGGATGTTGTTGGTGGGTGAGAGCTGCTCTGCAGCGCGGTGCGACGAGAAGTTGTGCATGGCCACGAGCAGCGCGCTCACGGCGTTGGCGAGGAGGCCGAGCACGCCGGGCTCGCTGTAGAGCACGGCGGCGAAACCGCGGCTCTCATCCCCCGTGCCGGACATCGCGACGCGGAGACGCGACACGCACAGAGACGCGACACAGAGACGCTGCGCAGAGACGCTACACGGAGACGCGACACGAGGCACACAGAGACGCGACACGGAGACGCGACACGCGACACGCACAGAGACACGACACGAGACGCGACACAGAGACGCTGCGCAGAGACGCGACACGCGGGCAGACGCGACACGGAGCGACGATGATAATTCGACTGATTCGGCAGGAGTCGACGAGTGATGGGGTAGGTAGGCGCGCGACAGCAGGGATCAGGGCTCGACACGAGAGGGACGCGGCGCGGCTCTGAGCGAGGAGTCTTAAAGACGCGGAGTGGGAATTTCCAAACTCCCGCGTCTCTGCGATTTCCAGAACCCAGGTCCCTTATATTCAACTTCGCCCACCCACCCACCCACCGCCCCGAACCTCTCACACTCCTCCCACCGCCCCCCCCACCTCCACCACACCCCCCACCACCCCCCACCACCATCGACCCCTCCCTCCTGCCATCTGCTTCCCTATACCTTAACCACATCTTGGAAATGACGTAACCGTGGAAAGGATTTCCAAATCCACTCTCTTCAGAATCCAACTCGCGTCTTGCACATTCACCCAGTGCGTCGATCTGTGTCACGGGGTATGAGGGGGCGGCGTGAGCGGGGGTGTTGAGAGCGGTGGGGGGGGGTTAGTCAACTGTGACGTACGTTGATGTCGGAAACGAGACGAGCCAATCAGCGCGCGAGTAAGCGATGGAAATTCCGCGGGACACGGACAACGACGACATCACCGACGGCCAAGCCTCGACTCTTTGTTTTGCAGATTTGCTTCTTGAAATTTTTTTGACTTTTTGAGCAACTGATCTCCACGCCTCCCCCCCACCATGACCAATTTATTTCCCCGCAAATTGCAGTCACGTGAGAGACGCGGGTACATAAGGGGCGAACTCCTAGACGGAGAGGACATCGTCGACTTGTGGACCTCACGAGACTCCGACTCGACGCCCTCCTCCGCCTCTCCTCTTCGCGACTCAAGTCACCACTCGGCTCACCATGACCTCCTCGGCGCTGCTGCTGCTTTCCGCTAAACAGGTGAGATCTCTACTCGTGCACCTCGCCGGGTCTCAAGACTCGTTCACGAGAGGGTGCTGCGTGAGATTGCTGGGGCAAGACGTTACGCTGCTTGCTTAAGACGTTAATAGTTCACAGACCCTTTGTAAATCCACCCGCGACGCGCCAGATCTCGACAGATATCTCAAGCTAAGCCGCGTTGAGCCTGGGAAGCTGATTGGATGGGTTGAGCAGCATGCACACACAGGTTGCTATGGGGTGGCGGACCTACGTGGTGGGACGTTGTTCCCCTGCTCTCCCGTCTGTGTATATACATAAGAGGCTGTTAGGGCAAGTGTTGTTGGCGAGCACCTATGAAGGCCGGAACGGCACACGAGGAGGTGGGTGGCCAGCACCACGCCCGGTCGCCTTTGTCTCCCGAGTGGCGATGTTTTTGCGCAACCGGGTACTCATTTGAGGCTGAGTCGACCTAGGGGAGGCGCAGGACTGGTTCAGATAATTAATCGTCACTGTTGGGTCGTGAGCGGGAATCGAACTCGGTTCGCCAGGTTCGTAGCGCAGCGCGCTAACCGCTAACCGCTACACTACCGCTCCTCATAAGTTCAACATACGTACGGTGCGAAAGAAGTTCAACATCTAATAATAGGGGTTTTCCCTTTTTCTGGCAATAAAACTGAAACAAACAACAATAAGTGTGTGAGGTTATCCCACTTCCCCAAATCTGGAATAAAAAAGTTTCATTTTCATTGAGTGCGTCTGAACTACATTCATGTGTTCGCAATGAATACAATGTTATTATTGTGCATACATTCATACGTATTTGAAATGTTTGAAAAAAATATATATCCGTGTTATAGATTAAACAAACATATTTTCGAGTCGAATCGTGACCAATTGAACATTAAAAAAACCCATAAATATTCAAGTATATATCATGTTTTCCCACCTGATGACGGACGTTTGTGTTGCGCCCGAAACGTCGTGATTTATTTTATATTACACCTACGTGACTTTACCGAAAGAACCAAAGAGTATATAAAAAAAGACTAAACCACAATAACACTCAGGCCTTCTTCAGGTGAGGAGCCTGAAGAGTCGCCGGCTATGACACGGGGCTTCAATTGCTTGTTAGTGTCTCGTACAAAGACTGCAGCTGCCGATAACTTCAAGACCAGCAGATGCCAACGCTCGCGAGTCTAAGAACTGCTTCTTGTTGTGTGTGTTTTTTTTATTTTGTTGTCCTTTCGCCGTGTAAACATCAGCACTGGGGAGACAAAGGCGGCCGGGTGTGGTGCCTCGGTCACCCCCCATCCCCCCGTCGCCCCACGTGGGCCGTCACCGCCCTTCATAGGCACCTCCGATTAGCGCGGTTGGCAACGTACGACGCGAAAGAAGCTCAACGTACACACGATGACATTTCTAGAATTTTTTTCGAAAAAATAATTCGAAATATTCGTGTCAATTTGTAGTTATCGATCCCGCCAAGAGCACACGAAAAATGTATTAACACCAAGTCGCTCACTCAGCCGCGACCGGCTACGTGCAATATAAATATGAATGTGCCGTAGACTCAGACCTTCGTCCAGCAGTGGATTGACCAAGGCGGGTGTTAAGTGAATGCGGTCACCGCTTTTGCACGAATCCCAAAACGCAAACATCGCGCCGCAGTGATGTTTCACGATTGTTTTCCTGAAACTAATGAAATAATTATATCTTACCCCCCACCACCACCGCCCCTCTCTACCCCCCTTCCAATTCCCCTACCGCCCCCTCGCTCTCCTTTGTCAAACGCCTTTCACTCTCCTCTATTGCTTCCTTTCCTCCTCTCCCTCCCTCTCTCTCAACATCCCTCCTCTCCGCTATCCCCCTGTACCTCTGTCGATTCTCTCCCCTCACTCCCTGGTCTTTCCCTCACTTCTCCCGCCATTCTCTCTCTCTCTCTCTGTGCCTCTCTCCCCGCCTCCTCTCCGCCTCCTCTCCGCCTCCCCACAGACGCGACCCATGTCGAGGGTCCCCATCCTCTTTCTGCGGGGTCCGGGCTGCAGGGGTCTCCACAGCGCGACCGGGGGCAGTGGAGCCCCGCTCAGAGGTGAGACCCACGAAATGTCGCCCTTAACTCAACCTCAACTCCGCCCTCAACTCCTCAACTCCACCCCAACTCCACGTCAAATTAACCTCAACTCCACCCTCAACTCCACCTCAACTCCACCCCAACTCCACCCAACTTCACCCCAACTCCATCTCAACTCCACCCCAACTCCATCTCAACTCCACCTCAACTCCACCTCAACTCCACCCTCATCTCCACCTCAAATCCACCCTAAACTCCACCCCAACTCCACCTCAACTCCATCTCAACTCCACCTCAACTCCACCCTCAAGTCCACCCTAAGCTCCACCTTCAAATCCATCTGAACTCCACCTCAACTTCTTAACTCCACCAAAACTCCACCCTCAACACCACCCTTAATTCCATCCTCAACTCCACCTCAACTCCACCCTCAACTCCACCCTCGACTCCACCTCAACTCCACCTCAACTCCACCCTAAATCCATCAAAACTCCACCACAACTTCATCACAACTCTCCCCAACTCCACCCCAACTCCATCTCAACTCCACCAAAACTCCACCCTCAACTCCACCCTCAACTCCATCTTAAGTCCACCTCAACTCCACCTCAACTCCACCTCAACTCCACCAAAACTCTGACCCAACTCCACCCTCAACTCCATCATAAGTCCACCTCAACTCCACCAAAACTCCACCCTCAACACCACCCTTAATTCCATCCTCAACTCCACCTCAACTCCACCCTCAACTCCACCCTCAACTCCACCCTCGACTCCACCCCAACTCCACCTCAACTCCACCCCAAATCCATCAAAACTCCACCCTCAACACCACCCTCAACTCCACCTCAACTCCACCCTCAACTCCACCCTCGACTCCACCCCAACTCCACCTCAACTCCACCTCAACTCCACCCCAAATCCATCAAAACTCCACCACAACTTCACCACAACTCTCCCCCAACTCCACCCCAACTCCATCTCAACTCCACCAAAACTCCACCCTCAACTCCACCCTCAACTCCATCTTAAGTCCACCCTCAACTCCACCTCAACTCCACCTCAACTCCACCCTCAACTCCATCTCAACTCCACCAAAACTCCACCCTCAACTCCATCTCAAGTCCACCCTCAACTCAACTCCAACTCCACCTCAACTCCTCAACGCCACCCAACTCCACCAAAACTCCACCCTCAACTCCACCCTCAACACCACCCTCAACTCCACCCTCAACTTCACCCCAACTCCACCTCAAATCCACCTCAAGTCCACCCCAAATCCGTCAAAACTCCACCCCAACTGCACCTCAACTCCACCCCAACTTCACCCCAACTCCACCTCAACTCCACCCCAACTTCACCCCAACTCCACCCCAACTCCACCCCAACTCCACCTCAACTCCACCCCAACTCCACCCCAACTTCACCCCAACTCCACCCCAACTCCACCCCAACTCCACCCCAACTTCACCCCAACTCCACCCCAACTCCACCCCAACTCCACCCCAACTCCACCCCAACTCCACTCACACCCCGAGTCCCCACGACTCCCGACGATAACGGCAGTAGCCCCGCGACGTCATCGCCTCTGTTCACGAATCCGGAATCCGTGGCGCTGAGCCCAGTCCGCGTGTTCGCTCCCGCAGAGAAACCTCAGCTCCAGCAGCAGCCGGAGGAACATTTTCAGCAGCAGCAGCAGCAACGGCGTCCACGGGAGAAGCCCAAGGGCAGCTTCTCGCAGTCGCTGGCGCAGCTCACGGCCGGGCTGGGCCCTGAGCACGCGAGCCCCGTGGCTCGGAGCCGCGCCTCCCGCATGATGCTCGACGCTGTCGGCGTGGGGCTCCTGGGCGCCCGCACCGAGGTGGCGCAAATCGCGCGGAGCCACGGGGAGGTGAGGGCGGCGCAGGGACACGGGGACCCGGGGGTCGTGTGACGCGCGATCGTGGTGCCCTGGGATCTGCCGCCACAGCATCTCCAGTGGAATTAATTGACCGAGTCTCGTTAGCACGCGATGGCTCGAGGACAATGTTAAACAATCGAGGGAGGAATGAATGCAAATTCAAGCAATCGCCTCGATCTGTGGCTCCTATCGCTGACATCGACCTCCTTCTCACCCCCTCCCCTCCAACCCTCCGCCCGTAGCGCCTCTCGGCAGGGGGCCCCTGCACGGCGTGGGGGTCCAGCGGGGTCCAACTCTCAGCCTCGGCAGCGGCTTTCGTCAACGGGGTCTCGGTGAGTGGCATGATGATGATGATGATTATTCGATAGTTAATATTGATGACTGTGGTGGTTAGAATAAATATTAGCGTGCTGATTATGTTGCCGATTAATCGTGGTGATGATGACAATTAGTAGATGATTAGTAAAAACATATGATGATGATGCTAATGATCATTATGATGATTATAATGACGATGAGAATGATGATGATACCTCGTGCACGCCACGTGGCAGGCGCAGGCCATGGATTGTGATGATTCTCCGCCACGATGAGGATGATGATGATGTTGACGATGACTGTGATATTACTGCTCCTGATGATGACGATGCTTCTGCTGCTGCTCCTGATGCTGCTGCTGCTGACGACTGACGATGACACCTCGTTTGCCTCCTGCCCGTGGCCAGATCCACGCGATGGACTTTGACGACACGTGGCACCCCGCCACGCACCCGTCGGGCTCCCTGCTCCCCGCACTCCTCGCCGCGGCCGAGGCGGCGCCCGCGGGGCAGAAGCCCTCGGGGCTGCAGCTGATGCTCGCGTTCCTCGTGGGCGTCGAGGTGCAGGGACGCCTGCTGCGCTGCTCGCGCGAGGCCAACGACATCCCCAAGAGGTGGGTGGGGGAGACAAAGGCGGACGGGCGAGAGTGCGGCCAGACGCGTAAAGCGTCAAACGGACCCGGCACAGAGATGCGCGCACACACTCACGCACAGACGGACGCACAGAGATTGAGACAAAGACACAGATCCCCCGTATGGCCTTGAACAGACCTTGGGGGCAAGTGCTGTTGACGAGACAATATGAAGTCCGGCACGGCGCGCGAGGGAGTGGGTGGCATTGAGCCAGACACATTGGGACAGACACATTGGGACAGACACACTGGGGCAGACACACAGATACAGGCACACGGAGACACAAACAAGCAGACACACAGTGGGCTACACACAGTGACACCCACACTCACCCTCCACCCCTGCGCCCCCCACTAATCGCCTCCCCTCCCCTGGTCCAGGTTCCACCCCCCCACCGTGGTGGGCACGATCGGCGCGGCCGCGGGCTGCGCGCGGCTGCTGGGGCTGGACGAGGCGCGGTGCCTCCACGCCCTCGCCATCGCGGCGTCGTTCGCGGGCGCCCCGCTGGCGAACGCGGCCACCCAGGCCAAGCCGCTGCACGCGGGCCACGCGGCGCGCATGGGGCTCGAGGCGGCGGCGCTCGCGGCCTCGGGGCTCCACGCCAACGAGGCGATGTTCGACCTCGCCGAGAGGGGCTTCGGGGCCTTCTACCCCGACTACGAGACCCCGCGCACCCCGCTGGACCCATGCGGGGGGGCCCCCCTCCTGCTGGAGCAGCAGGACGTCGCCTTCAAGGTGAGGGGCGCGGGTGGGGGGTGAGCGGGGGGGCGGGGCGAGTGTCGTGCTGGGGGGGTTGCGAGGAACGCTCTTGGCAGTGGGAGATGAACACGGGGAGATCCATTTAGAGATGGTCCACTGTAAATGCGCGCGTCCCACCAACCCCGATACACGGATTGAACCTCTCAGCTGAGATGATTTGCGGATGCACCACCTGTGTTCCCCACTACCATAACAACGACAAAGATCTCCCGCATAGCCTGAATAGACTGTTGGGGCAAGTGCTGTTAGCGAGCACCTACTGTCATCACACGCACGCAGACGTCTGTAGCATTGCATGGGACTGGTGGCCCCATCGCCCCCATGACCTCGTGACCTCACGTGCCCCCTCCACCGCTCTTTCCCCCCACAGCGCTTCCCCGCGCACCTGGGCACGCACTGGGTGGCGGACGCGGCGTGCGCGCTGCGGGAGCGAATCGCCTCGGTGTGCGGGGGCCACGTGGACACGGCGCTCATCGAGAGCCTCGTGCTGCACGTGCCGCGCAGCGCCTACGTGGATCGCGCCTTCCCCGCGGACGAACACGAGGCGCGTCACTCCTTCCAGGTGCGGGCCAGCTGCCAGGGAGCGGGCGAGCTCACCTGCGCGCTCACTCACTCACCTGTACACTCACCAGCACACTCACCAGCACATTCACCTGCACACTCACCTGCACACTCACCTGCACACTCACCAGCAACACCTGCACACTCACCTGTACACTCACCTGTACATTCACCTGCACACTCACCTGCACACTCACCTGCACACTCACCTGCACACTCACCAGCAACACCTGCACACTCACCTGTACACTCACCTGCACACTCACCTGCACACTCACCAGCAACACCTGCACACTCACCTGTACACTCACCTGCACACTCACCTGTACACTCACCAGCACACTCACCTGTACACTCACCAGCACACTCACCTGTACACTCACCTGCACACTCACCTGTACATTCACCTGCACACTCACCTGCACACTCACCTGCACACTCACCTGTACACTCACCTGTACACTCACCTGTACACTCACCAGCACACTCACCTGTACACTCACCTGTACACTCACCTGCACACTCACCTGTACACTCACCTGTACACTCACCTGCACACTCACCTGTACACTCACCTGCACACTCACCTGCACACTCACCTGTACACTCACCAGCACACTCACCTGCACACTCACCTGCACACTCACCTGTACACTCACCAGCAACACTCACCTGTACACTCACCAGCACACTCACCAGCACACTCACCTGTACACTCACCTGTACACTCACCAGCAACACCTGCACGCGTCTCCCGCTCAACCTCCTCGTCTCCCTCGGCTCTCTGCCTCCCCCACCCCCGCACCCGCCCCCCCCCCCTCTACACCCCCTCCCCCATCTCCACACTCACCCCCCTCCCTCCCTCCTCTCCCCGCAGTTTGTGGGCTGCTCGGCGCTCCTGGACGGCGCCGTGACGCGCGCCTCCTTCGAGGCCCCCGCGCGCTGCCGCCCCGCGCTGCGCTCCCTGCTCGAGCGGACGCGCCTCGAGCACCCGCGGGACAACGTGCCGAGCTTCGCCCTCATGTACGCCGAGGCGAGCGCCTCGGTGCGCGGCCTCGAGGTGTCCGCGCGCTGCGACTCCTTCCTGGGCCACTGGCGGCAGCCGCTGGGCCGCGAGGCGCTGCTCGGGAAGTTCGCGAGGAACGCGGCCGAGGGCGGCGTCGGCGAAGCGAGGGCGGCGGCCGCGGCCGCGCTCCTGGAGGGGGTCGAGGAGCTGAGCGACGCCTCCGAGATCTGCCGCCTCCTGCACTGAGAGGAGCGGGGGGGAGGGAGGGGGGTGGGGAGAGAGGTGGGGAGCTGCTTGACGCCTCCTGCATTGAGAGTGGTGTGGGATTGAGGAGATAGGGGGATAAGGGGAGAGAAGAAAGTGCGTGAGGTGAGAAGTTTAGAGTTACAAAATCCATCAAGTTACAAAATCCATCTCCATGCATTCATCTTCTCTGACCGTGCCGGCTCCCAGACCAAGGGGAATGGGCAGTGGAGTAAAAGATACAAAAAGATCCCCCCTGTAGACTTAACAGGCTGTAGGGGCAAGTGCTGTTAGCGAGCACCTATGAAGGCCGGAACGGCACGCGAGGGGGTTGGTGGCCAGCACCATGCCCGACCGCCTTTGTCTCCCCGGTGTCGGTGTTTTTACACATCGCACCAGGTACTCAATTGAGGCTGAGTAGACCTAGGGGAGGCCCAGGACCGGTTCAGACAATCGTCACTGTGTGTTGGCCGTGAGTGGGAATCGAACTCGGGTTGCCGGGTTCGTAACGCAGCGTAGCGCTGACCGCTACACTACCGCTCCCCTTACCGTGCCGCCTCCCAGACTAAGAGGAATGGAGAGTGGAGTAAACACACACAACACACACGCACGTGCAATTGATGCACGGGACCGCCCGAGAGCGTCAACGCCACCAAATTCCTCCTCTGCTACCCCCACTCCCACCGACCGTGGACCAATGCCCCGGCGACCCAATGCCCCCTGTGTGACTCAAGTATTCAACACAGCCGCAGTGCGCGTGTGGTCTGGTCGGGCTGGGTTGGGAGCGGAGGGGCTCCTGGGGAATTTCCCATCTGGCGACAGCTGCTGAAGTCACGGCAACTCAGCTGCTCGCGTGAATTGGACTGCAATTTATAGATGTGTCCATTGCAAGAGAGAGAGAGAGCGGACACAATCTTCCAGTTTCACTATAAATCACATCGAGCTCCATCGGCCTCTCGGCCTGTCGGACCAACGTCTTACCCGGCAAGTATTTGTTTTCGTGGCGAAAACCTTGGCCCGGCTTCGGCTACTCTGAGCCTCGTCAGCAGGTTGTGTGGCCCGGTAAATAAATGCCCGACAATCCGCCGCGACGTATCAAGGTGCACGATATCACGATATCCCGCCTACGGCCAACTCAGCCGGGAGCTGAGCAGGCTTGAGCCTGGATAGTGCTGGGACGGGCGACCACCGTGGATAGCAGGGTGGTATCGGCTGCTGCGAGGGTTGTGGACAGTGGAAGGCAGGGGAAGCTACATCACCTCGATGTCTATGCTCTCACGTCCGGCTGACCCGCCTCCCCCAACCTGTCGTGACCAAAATGGTGAAATATGGTGAAATAACCTCCCCCCCCCCTGCCTCCATGGACGAACAGCAGTGGATTGACGAAGCTATGTAAATAATTAATGTATTGTTAATAAAATGAACATTAAATACTGTCATTAAAATTCGCGTGCACACATAGGCAATGTTGTATACATGATTGTCACCTGTGTTAGTTTCTTGTCACGTGTCAATGTATATACCTGTGAATATGTTTTAAATCAAGTCTCGTGTTTGCTTTGAAATAAAATATTTAAAAAAATGGTTTGTGTTGCACAAGTACTCAATAAGTGGCGGTGATGTCACCACGGTGCCTGTGTCAGGCCAGGTGTACCTTGAGGCCACTTGAAGTGTCGAAGGTTCGCTGCAGGCATGAGGTCACGCAAGAGACCCAAATGCCATGGGTTAACTGAGATGACCGGCAGATGCACCACCTGTACTCCCTACTGCGCCAACTAGAAGTATTTTAATTCGCCTGGCACTCTGCACGTTGTTGTGAGCGTCACTCCGCCGCCCTGCGTTATTGTTGGAGGGTGATTGCCTCCAGTTGCCCAGTGGCGTCCTTCACGAGTCTCCTCCACAGAGGCCGATCTTGACACCGCTAGTCCCGATCATCGGCAAGTCCCCTCAGCTCCACATCCTCCTATGCATCAGTCCATCTCTTCCCCAGGCCGTAACGCACCCGTTTAGACCCTTCTATCTGGCCTAATATAATCTGATTGGGCAGTATAGCGTAGCGTGGCTTCGCATGCACCCTGGTGCAGTGACTGAAAAGGTGAAGTATGGCAAGAAAATCAAGCCCGACGACCGACACGGCATGCGGTAGGCCTTTATTCAGTAATGCATTGACGTCGGGCTGCAAATTTCGTTTTTATTCACGGTTCTTTTTTTAATAAGGCGCATCAGACCCAACAAAGGGCGTCAGAGTACCGTGCAGTAAAATGTATTTCGAAAAAAACCCAACTTCTCTGATTTATCTAACATATATTAGAAAATCAGGAGGTATTTTTTTTATTATAAATGGGAGAATCTCAGCGGCCAGGCGCAATGCTTGAGGCAGAGAGCCTTCCACATTTGAGGGCCAAGGACTGAAAAAGCCCGAGGTCCAAAACTTTTTTTTTACCGTAAGCGTGGCTGACAGAGGAGCGTGGTCGCTCTGCATGATGACCTCACACCTGGAACAAGGATCTGCAGTTTATCGGTAAAAGATTGAGGCGATTGCTGCAAAGACTTCTTTGTGAATGACGCAGCACAGTAAATTTGAACCTAGCAGCACGGAGCTCAAATTGAAGCCGGTGGTTGTGGGTCGAGTAACGTCTGGGAGATTGCGTCCCAGAGGGAATGACCGGTCGGTCACAAGTCGCTCAGAGGCGTTCTGGATGCCCAGCAGTAGTATAACTCGACCGACGTACACAGGGCATTGTCATCGTAGATACGCGATGTTATTCTTGCTATAACCGTATCGTGAAATAATCTACACGTGAGGAATCATTCATCCGATCACAATTAAAAACAGACCAGGACGCTCCTTGATGAAATCATCCGCACGTCATGGCTAGTGCACAACGCCACTCGCGGCTACGACAAAGACACAATCCCGTTTCGTTGACCCGAAAGTTGATCGATCACGACGTTTCGATCGCAACAACAAGCAAACCGTCTTCAGGTGAGAGAATCAGACTGCTGTGGACGAGGCATTATATTGACCCGGGGGGGGGGGGGGGGTTCCCGCATCGGGCAAGAGGGTGGGGCCAGCGATTGTGAGAGATGGACTGTAGGACGTGTGAGCATGAGAGTGTAATCCAAAGGACATGTGAGCATGAGAGTGTAATCCAAAGGACATGTGAGCATGAGTGTTCAATCCAAAGGACATGTGAGCATGAGAGTGCAATCCAAAGGACATGTGAGCATGAGAGTGCAATCCAAAGGGCATGTGAGCATCAGAGTACAATCCAAAGGGCATGTGAGCATCAGAGTGTAATCCAAAGGACATGTGAGTATGAGAGTGTAATCCAAAGGACATGTGAGCATGAGAGTGTAATCCAAAGGACATGTGAGCATCAGAGTGTAATCCAAAGGACATGTGAGCATGAGAGTGCCTGGGGCGTGTTCCCAGCGTGTTCATATTTAAATTTTGTTTTTACAATCCTCTGACCGCTATCGTGTGGACAATTAATTCAACGCGACCGCAGCGGCGACTGTGAGCCAGAGTGAAAGCAGAAGGCAGAGCTGCTACCCACGGCGCGACCGGAATCCTCCTGCCTTTGGGTTTGGCGATCGGGACTGCCACCCAGACCGCAAAGCCAGCAACACTACGCACGGCCGCCTTTGTCTCCCCCCCCCCCCCCCCCCCCCCCCCACAGCGGCGATGTTCGCACACCGCACCAGGGTGCTCAATTGAGGCTGAGTCGACCGAGCTGTAGACCCCGGCTCGGTTCGGTTCATTATAACCGGTGTTGGTGTCCGTCAGCGAGGATGCCGAGTTCGTTTAACGCGACGGTTCTGACCGCTGCACTCCCCTCACCCCTCGGATCCCAGTCAGCTGCCGGAGAGAAGGCGACTTTGCCCCCCTCCCCCACCATCCATGCGGCTCCTCGCGACCTCGCGTTGGGAACTCCCCACCCTACCCCCCTTCCCAAATTCCCCGGTGGAGTCACCCAGAGACGTGGGCTGAGCAAACACACCGGGCGCCTCGAGCGAACAAACATGTTCGGGTGGGCCGTGTTGTCTTGGTGTGTGTTGAGTAGGGCTGAACGATGAATCGATTTAAAATGGAAATCGCAATTTGAAACAATGCGATTAGCAAATCGCAAAGGCTGCGATTTTTTGCGATTTGAAAAGTCTTGTTACTTTATGATTGGAATTGTTTTTATTATTGTAACTTTATTTATTTAAATTGACAATTGCTCCACGTATGATTGTTCTATTTCAATTAAAACATTTTAATAAATACATGTTGGAAGCAATTCATATATTTTAAGTTCTCATCCTTGCATTAGAATATATAGAGCAGTTCATATTTTGATGGTATCATGAGGTAATGCTCTATCACATGTTTTCAATCTATTACGCAGTGAATATTGAACTGAAACTTGACTTTAAAAATATTTAATCGCAAATCAAATCGCAATATCTATCAGAAAAATCGCAATTAGATATTTTCCCCAAATCGTTTAGCCCTAGTGTTGAGTGTAGTGTGGATGCGGTGGTGTAGCGGCCAACACCAGTGACGATTATCTGAATCGGTCCTGGGCCTCCCCTAGGTCGACTTAGCCTCAAATGAGTACCTGGTGCGGTGTGTGAAAGAGCTGGACACGGTCCCATCAGTGAGCTTCTCCGGCAAGCGAGTCTGCGTTAGCATGCCCAGCCACCACATACCCGAGCAGCTTATGCTTGGGACAAACGTGCGTGGGACGTGCTTGAGAGGAGATGGAGCTGATGCGGTACAGGAGGATATGGAGCTGAGTGAACTTGCCGATGACTGGTACCAGTGGTGTCAGGATCGACCTCTGTGGAGGATGTTCGTGAAGGAAGCCATTGGGTAGTTGGAGGCAGTCGCCCTCCAGCAACAACGGAGGGCGGAAGAGCGACGCTCACAACAACGAGCGGAACGGCAGGCAGCTAAAATGCAGAGAGTTGGCACAGTGGGGAGCAAAGTTGGTGCATCTGCCAGCTATATCTGTCAGTCAACCCATGGCACCTTGGTCTGTTTCGTGACCTTCTGCCAGCGGGCCTTCGACACTTCACGTGTCCTCAAAGTGCACATTGCATGGCACAAACGCCGTGGTGACGTCACCGCTACTCAGTTGTGAACGGGGGCTGTTGTGTGTGCGGTGCTGACCACACCACGCGCTACGCTACGAACCTGGCGAACCGAGTTCGATTCCCGCTCACGACCCAACAGTGACGATTAATTATCTGAACCAGTCCTGCGCCTCCCCTAGGTCGACTCAGCCTCAAATGAGCACCCGTGCGTAAAAACATCGCCACTAGGGAGACAAAGGCGGCCGGGCGTGGTGCTGGCCACTCACCTCCTCGTGTGCCGTTGCGGCCTTAATAGGTACTCACCAATAGCACTTGCCCCAACAGTCTGTTAAAGTCTATACGGGCGGTCTTTGTCTATCTCCCTCTGTCTCTCTGTGACACTGTATATTTCTATATTTCTCTGCGTTTCTCTGTCCATATCTATTCCCTGTCCATCTCTTTGCTTGTCTCAGCTTTGGGGTACCACTTTGTGATAGGGTTAACAGCGGTTAGTTTATGGATACAGACTCGCCCTCCCTCATAGGAACGTGGAATTTCCACCAATGGGTCAGGCCTGTAAAATCAGCAGATGAACACCGATGTCTCATCAATGCTCATTTGAGCAGAAAATCACGTTTGACTTTGCCGTCTTGTGACTAATGAATGCGTTGAGTGATACAGATGCACACGGCGAATGATGCAATCCGATTAAAGAAATAACAATAATATTCATAGCGAAATAAAATACAGAAAACGGGGGAAAACCCACGCATATATATTTTACAATGGAAATAATTATTGAAAACAATGCATCGCAGTGGCCTAACTCAAGGTTCACACCTCTTTGATTGATTGCTGTAACCCCGGGGGAGTTTCCTCTGCAGGTTGATGGTCGTCCGGCTTTGCTCCCAATTCTAGATTTGAAGCTTTCGTGACTGCAAGGATCCATGCTCTTTGGTTCTATTCGGTAAAGTCACGTAAAAGTATGATGAAGGCCACTTGTGTTGTGGCCGAAACGTCGTGAATTATTTTTTATTTTTTATTTTTTGTTGTTTTATACTTTTACGTGACTTTACCGAATAGAACCAAAGAGTTTTGCTCCCAATGTTTGACGCTTGCGGCTCGGAAATCATTGTCATCGTGTGAAAATATCTACGGCTCTACCCGCGACTGACATAATAACATTATTATTTTATGGGACCTCCCTTGCCAGTATCAAAATGCAATAATAGGTTTTACCCTTTCTGGCAATAAAACAGTTGTGTTAAGATGTTAAAGCCCCAAACTGAAACCTTTTGCAAGGGATCATGTCTGCATTAACCACATATACTTGTGGTGAACATGTGTAATGACAGGGTGCCACCTGTCGGCCTGAAGGGGTAATGGCGGTTGTGGGCATGTTACGTAATGTCTCATTATGAGGGGGGCGTGTCTGGGGTAAAGGTGAAAGGCGGAGTCAGTCGGGAAGCTCCGGGAACCTGCTCGAAGGTTCTGGAAGGGGGGCGTGGCCGGAGGCGGG